AAACCATTTCATTTTGCTGATCATAGTTGATTTTATCTTTTTTATGTTCAATGATCTAAACCCTCTCTTTGATGTTTGAACCTCTGTTTTGTCTTGGGTCAGTAAGGTTTCATATTGTTTGTAGTGATTCCCTGATAAAGTTAGGCGAACTACCAATAAATAAACGCATGTTACTCAGGAGAATTATTATTGTAGATTAATTCACTACATAGTACATAAAGCTAGGAGAGCTACATGTACCAGTGGATCAATCTGATTAAAATACAGATCTATTTCTTCTGTTGCTGCGAATATTTACCCATAGTTCCACATATAGCACAAAAAGAACTCGACGCAACAAACCATTTGATTGGCTTATGCCTTACATCACCCAGAACGCGGGTGCCAGGTTTTTTAATAACTACACGTATTTAATTGAACTGTAAAAAATGAAACAAAATAAGATCCGTGTTTTAGTCAGATTACTAGTAAATAAATAGAGAATTATGATATAGAAATTTACCGCATAGTAATAAAGTTAGGGAAACAAACTAGTAGTAAAAAAACTGACTAATCTAGAGAATTATTAGAACAGTCACAGATGTAGATATAGAAATGGACTACATTGTAGGGGAACTACTAGTAATAAAATCAGGCTATTTGAGAGAGAGAGAGAGACCCCACAAGGTTGAACAGGCGACCTTACTCCTTGGCTATTTACAAGAAAGATTTATTTTATAGTACATAATAAAAATAACTGTTTCTCAATGTTTTTTTAGATATTATACAATGCATCAACATGGCATAATAAAATATAGATAGAACAAACCATAGGAGAATAGAGCACACAGCCAGAGAAAAAACTGATTCAAGATGTAAACTTGTTTTAAGACGTAGTCCTCACCCTGAAATGACAACTGATGCAGGTGTTTAAACACTACAGATTACACAGTGGCCAGAATGCCACCGTTTGAATGACAATGACCTATTGCACTCAATCTGATTTTTGCATTGGCAAATTCCACGGTTCTTCTCAGCCCTCACTGGGATTCGACCACTGGATATTTGAGTCTTGACTACAGAGGCACCCAATTCAAATGATAAAATCAGCATTAATGTGACACCAATACAGACTAGTATAAAGCCTGCTATCTTTACACTGCCCTATGTACGTATTATGCTATAAAGATTTGTGTGATGTGACCCTTATACAGAATTGTAGGAAACCTCGCTGTCTTTCTACTACCCAGCCTGGTCGCCGTTCTGTTTGTTGTGCTGTTAAGACCTGTATGATGTGGAGGGTTTGCTTGCGGAATGATTTAACAAGTGCAATTTAGATCATAAGGTCTATCATTGAGTCAACTAGCAGGGTTTTGATTGACAAGGAATAGGGTCGTCATTCCAACCTCATGGGCTTTCTCGGGGTCCTCTGGTTTCTTCCCACAGCTAAAAATCCCTAAGCCCATACAAATTATTAGAATAGAATTGAACTGTGTTAGTCCCGAAATGACCCAGTTTGTGTTGAGTGGAGCTAAACGCAATTTCTCTCTGTCTCTCTCTCTCTCTCTCTCTCTCTTGAACTGTGAAGACATGTGTGACATGACACTAGTATGAAATATGCTGTCTTGTCATTGCCGCTTGTTGTGCCGGAAAACAACTGTGTAATGAGACCTTTAAGAAGAGACAAGTTCCGTTTTTTTGTTTTTTTTTGAAGGTGTCAATTTTCAATTACCAGTTTAAAATTTCAAATACATTCATCACTGTAGCTACATGTACACCAGATACTCTTCCAGTCTCTTCAACTGTTCACACATTTTTTTTATCTAACTGTCAAAGTGAGAGAACATCATACGTCTGTGTAAACTGTAATATAATCCAATTTCTTTAAATTCAATACTTGTCATGACATTTTAATTTGGAAAGAATAGAGGTAATCTCTTGACATGAAAAAAAAACAATTTAAAAAAGCAGACACAGTGTAGAACTGTATATGAAGGAACACGTATAATTCAATTTCATTAAATTCAATATTCTTCATGCTAAATTTGATGAAAATCCATCCAGGCAGGCATAACTGAGACAATTCAACTTGTTGTCATCAGCATCCTTTATTATCATGCTTTTGAGCCAAGTTTGGAACATAGTTGGTAAATAAAATGGGTATATTTTTTTGGTGATTAATATATGTATGTAGTTCATCTCCCCAAATAACAAAAAATGTCATATCTTATGAACAAAACTTACAGTTCTAGCTTTAAAATGTGCATTTTAGAGAACTCAACGCCCGTCCTTAATGAAACAATGAGATTCTAGTACAAAGTAAATGGAAGCTTGTTAAATGCTTTTTTAAACAAAAGTTTTATGACACGTTATAGTATGGCCATTATATAATGTGTTAAAGACTATAATAGTTAAAAAATAGATAATGTAAAGGGAATTTGCTGAAAATTTCAGTCAAATTGATCCACTGTGAAACAAGAATTTAGCGATTAAATTTTAGGCCTAGTCTTGATCATCGTTACTAAAGTCGATACAATAAAAAAAACATAGTCTTGATTATCCATTTCTTGATTTAATCCTGTATGAGCATTGAGCAGCAGATCGAATTATAATCCAGTAAATATCGCAGGCTGGCGATGACATTGAGAGTTGATTATGGTCTGGATAAGTTAATTAATGTCTAATTAATAATTTAGAAAACATTTCAGGCCTAAAGAAAGACGTGCAATTGGCAGAATTAGCTCTTGCATGATGTATGTGTTAAGTTACTTTATATTATCTACATGTATATCATTACCTCATTAGTTTTACAATGATGTAGATAAATGAGATGTCAAGATGCAAGCTTGACAAGAAAAGTGTGCTTAATCATTCACCTGTGGCTATATGAGCAGGCATGGAAAAGAACCCCTGCTATTTGGAAAAAATTCTCCACCTCATATTGCACATGAAAATTACCATACTGTATTTTAGTTAGATTCGAAATGCCTGAAGATTGGGTTGACAAGTCTTCAGAAATAAAATCCATTTCATTTCATTATATCTGTATATCCTTCATCTGCTTTATTGAGAAAATGTCAACAGTATCATTACATACAAATTATTTCCATTTCTCTTAAAGTTTCTGAGCGTGATTTGAGCGATATAGGAATCGCTGGCAAACCACAATATATTGTGAAAGTTTATACTCTAATGGGAGTATCATTTGATGCGCCTCTTTTTAATCTGATTGATATTTTGGTTTTATTTTCTTAAATAAACAATTTGAGTACTTATTAGCATAGATTAAGCTGTTGGATATTGTCCAAATGCAAATGGTGATCAGCAACTTTTGATTTGATTTCTATTGAACCATTGACTGTTTGTATTAAGAGAATTTTTATATCTCAAGTCAAAAATTGTATTTGGTAAGTAGAGGAAGTGATAAACCATCTGATATGTAATTATTGATAAATGTGATATTTTATAATGGTGGCTAGTTGCCGTGGGTTACCACCTGATGTTATGACAGATGTTATAAACACCTTTTATGTCATTAATCAGGTGTTTTAAACATCAAAAAATCTAAACTAGAAATATATTTACATCTGTTGAACTGAACATACATCTTTTTCACCTGTATCTCACATCTAGGTTTTCTCCAGATAGACCTACCATATGTCGGAAGCCATGGTGGCTCACTGAGTAAGACGTTGGTTCGCAAACCGGGAGATCCCAACTTCGATCCCTGCGTTGACTAAGAAAGTTCATCATGATTCCCCTATCTTAGCTGTGCAGTACATAGGCCCTGGCAAGGGACAATGTATCTTGGATGGGACAAATGATCAAGGACCTGTGTACACATCCGTGTGCACGTAAAGGAACACTTGACAGTTGGAATTCGATAAGAGTAGCCCATAGTGCCGCTAATCGAGCAAAATTTCCCTCCCAGTCGGTGCAGAAAAGTAGAACGTTAAACCCCATATCAATTTCATACCTGCCATGTTGTACCTACTGATCTAGTGCTTGACATTTTTAACTTTCTGCCAGATAGGTAATGCATAAATGAATGAATGAATGAATTAAATAATGTTTTATCAGCTCAATAAAACCACAGAAAATGACAAATCGGTGCCAGACAAAACAGTTTGTGCCTGAAAATTCTTGACAGGTGCCATTTTTCCAGGTTAAAATGTTACACCTGTTTTACCTGTGCTAAAAATAAATCCTTGTCCTTAAAAAGAAATACCAGTTTAAAAAAAAAAAAAAAAAAATTGTTAGCACAATCTTAGTAACTTATGTTTATTTGGTATCGTTAATTTTATGTTCAATCCCATCTTCTCTGGAACAAACTTCCTCAAAATATTAGAACCTGTTCATCATTAATATTTCTGTACCAATGGAATTCAATAAGTATGGGCGTACTATTTATACATGTATTTGAACCTGAACGAGTGTTATTTCATCACAATCAGCTTGGAATTGTGACGTCAATCAAGAATCAAAACCTGTCAATTGATGTATACAATTGTAAAAGTTGATGTAACAGGTATGCTGAGTTTCACTTCCATCATGCTTCAATTGGTGGAGTCTTAGGTTTTATCTGAAGACACATTGGCATGCACGTTAAAGATCCCTTGGCAGTTGAAATTCGATATAAGAGTAGACCATAGTACTGCTGTCTGGGCAAAATGTCCCTCATAGTACACTGTATGGCGTATGCAGAACAGTAGGCCATTAAACACCATTTCATTTCATTTCATGTTTTATCATTTAACGTCACCCCATGAACAAAAAGATTAGTCACAGTTTGAGAAGCAGTTCCTGGTGTGAAAATCTCTCTGCCTCTGTCTTCCCTCTGCCTTCCTGAAATGCTTGATTTATGTGTTACAGATGATTTTGTCATTGAATAATAACATCTGCCATTTTGATCTATAGTATACACATGACTATTATAGATTTTGAGCAAAAATATTTATTACTGTTTTTATTTAAATCTTTATATTTATACTAAATTTTTTTTTTTTTTTTTTTTTTTTCAGAACATATTGTCAGAAGCGATCTGTTTTAGAGAAAGAATATGCTCAGGTAAGTTTCCCATGTATTTAAAGGTTTTGGTTAACAGATTTAATTAACGATCAGTCTTGTTTACTAGTTTAACTCATGTAACAGAGGGCTGTTTTTTTTTGGAATCAAAGAAATATCTTTTTTTTCCCAGTATCATCTTAATACTAATATTCCTAACTAACTGATGCTACCTGGGTGTCTTATACTCACCTCCAACCATTTATATTGCATATGTGCGCACCAGCTAAATGAAAATAAGGCCATTAAAGATTTGCTAATTATTATATAATTCTCTAAATTGTCACATTTCTTAAATCCTCATGTGGAGAGCCATGGTGACTAAAGTGAGTAAGACACTGGTTCGCTAGCCCGGAGGTCGCGGGTTTGTCTGTCAGTGTAGGCAGAGAAATTTCATTGTGACCTTCCGGCGTGGTTTCCCCTTGTCAGTGGTGCAGGATGGAGGGCCTGATAAGGACAAATGTCTAGTCGTTTCGGATGGGATGAAAACCTAAGGTCCCGTGTACATATGACGTGCACGTAAAAGATCCCCTGGCAGTTGGAATTTGGTGTAAGAGTAGGCCGCAGTGTATGGTGTATGCCCATCTTCATTAACCCAGTCAGAGCAAAACAGTAGGACTTAAACCCCATTTCATTTAAATCCTCATGTGTATTGACCATTTGTCAGTGTAAAATATTATTTTCTTGGGGGCGATGCATGCTCTTTCGAAAAAACCTAAGGCTTTGTCAATTCCAGTACGAGCAACATTAAACTTGGCATGTCTGTTCCTTCTACAATTGCGCATCAATTGATAGACTTCTATTTTATGATGTGACCTTACAATGTGACCTCAAACTTCTTGCTCTGTTCCCAGTCCATTCAGGATATTTTTTGTGTCCTGTACTTATGATCTGTTTGTTTTTTCTACAATTTACTTTTCATGTCACCTTCATGGTCTGTTTGTTCTGTGATTTGTTGAACATTCATGTTGCGTTGTCTATTCTAAAAAATGGCTAGATTATTGTCAATGATAGAAGTTAATATAGAGTTAAATACAGATAGAAGTTACTATAGAGTTAAATAATCACAGAAGTTAATATAGAGTTAAATAATGACAGAAGTTAATATTGAGTTAAATAATGACAGAAGTTAATATTGAGTTAAATAATGACAGAAGTTAATATTTGGTTAAATAAAGAGAGCTAAAAAGAGAAGTAAATATAGAAATTGAATACATAGAAGTTAATATTGAGTTAAATAATGATAGAAGTTAATATTGAGTTAAATAATGAGAAACAAAAAGATAGCCGTTAATATAGAGTTCTATAAAGAGAAAATAAAGATAGCGTGAAGTCTGATTATACGTCAAGCTATCTATTTTAGAAGATATATTGATTGATGTTAGTATTAAATGATGAGCTAATGTAATGCAAACATGTCAAATTAATGGCTTAATATTCTATCTCATTTACATCTTTATAGCTTTATTGCAATCACAGTAATCAAAGTACTTGTGTATTTAAACAACCTTGATCATAACCAGGTCAATAGCTAAGGGAGATGGACAGGGGGAATATTCTCCCATCCACCACTTGGCCAGGAAATATTGTGAATTGTTTTGCCTGATGTATTACAGCCTATGCTCTGTTTACCATCATCCATGAATCTGAATATATAATGAGAGAGTTAAACAAAACTAATTCTAGTTTATGTACGTTCTGGGCGACATTTATTAACTTGAGCCACATGGAGACTGTGAACTACAAGAAGTTAAAGTTAATATCAACATATTATATATCTACACAGCTAGTTTCAATAGTTTATAAGTCTTTGAACCTTTTAGACTTAGTTTCCAAATTAAAAAAAAGACCAGCCCCTTGTCAGAAAACATTGTGTCCTAGGAAGGAGCCCCATGGAGACTGTAAACTATAAGAAGTTAAAGTTAATACATGTATTAACAGATATGATATATCTACGCAACCTAGTTTCAATAGTTTCAAGTTGAAACAAGTTGTCTCTATTGATTGGTCAATAACTGGTGGTATATTGGCTAGTATGGCCCGGAAGACAACCAATGGTTATTGATTATTGTAATTACATCAGTTTCGCGAATGAGGGGTAATTTTAATCAGGCGGTCTTCTGGTTTTATTATTCTACCGATCGGGTGTTTAGCCTGGTGCTCTGTTAAAATCAATAGTCTGTATTTACAAGGGGGTAATATTACAGACCAGTAGCAGGTTTTTTCGCTCCGGGTGGGTTGTTTCATTCTAGACAATGTTCTATTGAAAATCAAAAACGTTTGCACTTACATCAACATGTTTCATAGATATTCAGGGATATTTTACTTGATTTAAGTTTCTGACATACAGAGAATATTACTTTATTTATATTCATTGATGCTGAACAATTTCTTGTTTACATGTAGCACTTTCATATTTTTATTTTGACACTTCGTCAATGTGTTCCTATTCATGAACTACCTAGAAATTCTAATAGCTCTCATTTCATTATGAATTCATGTTAGACATTTATGATACAATTTATTATGATTTAATATTTAAAGATACATTATGGGAGATTTTTATAGAGAGTTGGCCATTCTTGCTATAACAGTTCAAAAGTAGATGATGAAAGAAGAATATATTGAAAATTTCGGTCAAATTACTTTATTTTGAACATAGTTATCATCATTGTAATATTTGACTAGAAATGGTAGCGAAATGTGTCTTCACCTTGACCGATCGTTTGATTGACAGGCGTTAACTCCACCTAAATATCTCGATTATCAAGTAAAGTTTTCAATGGCATACAGAAACGCTCTACAGCGGCCTCGCTAAGTACACTCTATCATTTAGCCTCGATCTAACTGACGTATTTTCATCAGGTTGCCCCATATTTGATTTAATCAATTAGTGAAATCCTATTTAAATCCGAGCTGTAGCCGAGCCATCCGTGGGTCTACAGAGTTGATTTTGGTCTTGTTGTTTAAATAAAGATCTAATTAATAATTTCTATAAGATCTGAAGCCTAAATTAAGACTTGCAATAATCAGATTTAGCTCTTGCATAATGTATGTTTAATGTATGGAATGTGTAAAACAGAAAGATATGTTATAAGTGCCATAAAAAAAATAGAAAAATAAGATGAACTTAATTGGGTTTAACATCTTAATTAACTCCATTTGACCTCATTTTTGGTCCCATCCTGTTGACTAGTCCCTTTTCTTACCAAGATAAAAAAAGAAATTAGTTGAATCATATTTGAATAGACTACACTATAAGTTTGTAATGTAACATTAACATGCATCAGACCTCATATTGGGTCCTATCCTAATGACTAGTCCCTTTTCTTACCAAGATGAAAAAAAAATAAAACAAAAAAAAAGTCAAAAGTTGATCACATTTAAATAGACTACACTATAAATTCATAATGTAACATTAATTAGCTGTATAAAAGTAAAAGTTTAGTTATATCTAGTTTAGTTATAGTAATATGAACTTTCAAATTAATGGCCGTGATTTTTGCTCGACTATTACATGTAATTATTATGCTAGACTGGTCTCAAATCTGTTCAGATTTTTGATGCCTCATGATACTTTATTCATTTAATCGTTCTTGTGTCTTGTTTCATAGACTCTTTCCCGAAAGAGCAGAAATCAAATTTTCGACAGAATTTCTGAATAATTGATATCTGTTACACGTCACTTAAACTGACGTGACCTGTCAATTCAAGCTAGTAAAAAGTGGCTATTTATATTAACAACGACCTGCAACTGTTTCAAGTAGGATTGTTAATGATATCACTTAATTGTGGTAGTTATTTCGGAACTAGTGAAATGCTGAAACTTGAGCATTTATCTTCAATCTCTGTGATATAATGTATATATGTGTGCTTTTGGTCCATAACAGCAATCAGTGGCGGATTAAGCTCCACCAAGGCCTGAGGCGGCAGTTGCTGGAGGGCCTATTTAGTTTTTAAATAGGGCCTATTTAAAATGGCGTGGGCCTAATTAATTTCGGTCAGGGCCTATGTTGATTCCCGTTGGGCCTAAACACACCCCCCTAACATTCATTGTCTATGCGATTGTAATCGTATCAGACAAGTCTAAAAAAATTTTTTTTTACAAAATCTTTGGGCCTGAGGCTGCAGCCTCATCAGCCTCACTGATAATCCGCTACTGACAGCAATGTGTGTGTGTGTGTTTTTGCTTAATCACTGCAATGTGTGTGCTTTTTCTCAATCACTGCAATGTGTGTGTGCTTTTGCTCAGTCACTTCAATGTATGATTTTGCTCAATCATCGAAATGTGTGTATGATTTTGCTCAATCACTGAAATGGTTTTTTTTGTGTGCTTTTGGCAAATGATGACATTGTGTGTGGGTTGTTGCAATGCTGAAATAACAGTAACATATATTCAGCAAGTCGTTTTGCCCTCATGTAGGTCTTTGATAGCAGGATTGATATTGACAGCAAATCAGCTATTTATTGCCATGATTTTTCCCTCCCAATGGCTTGGGACTCATTTGTTAACATTCAGTATCGTAATCCCCCACAGGCATGTTGGTGATAATTATGTTATGTCAAGTTCGATCATGTTCGTAACTAAATCATTAATCTGGTGCTATTGTAAACACGGAGAAACGTCAATAAATACTGGAGATAGACTGGTTTCTCTTACTTCATACATTCGATACAATCGTTTGATCATATAACAGTCAGAGTTTCCGATACCTAACGCTCATTTCCTTAATCAATTCATACTTTAGTGAGTTAATTGAGTAGATTATGCGATCTATATGATAACAGTTTCTAGACGAGACACTACAGGACATCAAAACTTTTCGTATAATCATGTTTTAGTTACTGCTAGAGGATTGAATCCTCCTAGATTTGAGATTAAGAAATGACTGTCCGATACTATTTCTAGACCCGAATTGCCCAGGCATCGAAACTTTTCGTATAATTACATGCTGCTACTTGAAGATTGAATCCATCTAGATCCAAGATTAAACTAAGAAATGGCCGTCAGATACTCTTTTCAAGTTTTTGATTAATTTTCAATTCAACATTTTATTATTATGTATTATTAAAATTTCCCCTTAATTATTTACAGCTAATAAATTGTAAGTTTATAAAAGTACATTTAAAGCCTCTTAACCTCATTTAAGGGAATGTGAAGTTGATTCTCTAAAAGGAAATGAAATGAAATGCCGTACTGTTCTGCTCCGATTGGGATAATGCCTGGACAGCGACACTACTACGGTCTACTCTTATTTCAATTTCCAACTGCCAAGGGATCTGTTAAGTGCACACCAAGGTGTACATTAGACCTCGGTTTTTCATCCCATCGGAACAACTAACAGTTCTTTTGTCAGGCCCTCCGTCCTACACGACTGATAAGGGGAAACTAAGCTGGAAAATCGTGATGAACTTTCTCTGCCAACAACGGAAGAGAAGCCACGACCTCGAGGCTAGCGCGCTAGTATCTTACTCACTTAGCCACCATGGTTCCCTTCTCCAAAAGGAATATCAGTTCAATAATGGTTCAGTTCCATTCAGTGTTTCCAAAGATATGATGAATTCAAAATTTGTCTACATTCACCTTCCTCTACAGATATACATGTATACCCTTGAAACAGCATGTGTATTGTAAAAGAAATATCTGTTAAAAATGGTTAAATGTCATTCGTTATTTACAAAGATATGATAATTAAAAAAAATTCAGCATTCGCCTTCTTAAACTATAATCTTCGCAAACATCTTTTAATCTGATTGAATCCTAACTGGGAGATTCTCCACCGTTGATATTTTGGTTAAGTTTTCATAAAGATGCATTATGTAGGATTTAGCGATGACTGTTCTTTCTATAATGATAGATAATTGAAAATGAATATATTGAAAATTACTTTAATCTGAGCCATATTGTGAAGATTTGACATGATTTAGCCTATGTAGTCTTGATTGTCAAGTACCATTTCCTACATTAATAAGCATGGTCTTGTCTATACATTATCGATTATCAAATGGTGTACATTGTAGGTGTTCTAATCCATTTAATATCTTGGCCATTCAGTGCCCTAGAGTGTTGATATGGGCTTGTTATTTACATGGAAATAAATGTCTAAATAATAATATATAAACCATTTGAAACCAGAAAAAGTAATGCATCTTTAATTATAAATGTCTGATAATCAATTTGAGTACGTTTTTCCATGGATTAGATATTGTACGAACAATGTAAACAATGCAAATGACAACCAGCACCTTTGTTTGCAATCATCTGCTGTGTTTACAATATGCATTATCAAGACAAGGTTAGTTTAAATGAAATGAAAAATAGATTCTTGCTTCTGTAAACATTTGCTACATTTATAGATAACTTATTTCTTGGATTTTTTTTACAACAATTATGTTTAAATATAATATCGCGTCACCTTTATTTTTAGCAACATGGGGAATGGTCTGTGTATCTTGACGAACCAGACGCTATAGATCTGCACTTACTATTAGTATTCGGGAGGGAGTCAGGGTGGCTAAATTAGTAAGACGCTGGCTCGCTAGCCTGGAGGTCGAGGGTTCGCTGACGGTGTTGGCAGAGAAAGTTCATCACGATTATCCGGTGTGGTTTCCCCTTGTGAGTGGTGCAGGACGAAGGGCCTTACAAGGACAGCTGTCTAGTCTTTCGGATGGGGTGAATAACCGAGATCCTGTGTACACACTTTGGTGCACGTAAAATATCCTTTTGCTGCTAGAATTCGATATAAGAGTAGGCCGTAGCGCCACTGTCTGGACAAAATTTCCTTGATAGCACACTGTATGACGTACGCCCGTCTTCATTAGGCCAGTCGAAGCAGAACAGTAAGATGTTAAACCCAATGTCATTTCAGTATTCAGGATAAACTACATGGAGGGAAAAATGCCAGGGCATTCACATGTATCTGAAAAGTCAAAGATATGTACTAATTTAATGTAAAGATAGATAACGTACTAATCACATTTAATTGTAGTCTTAAACTCAGTATGAAATCTTTATTCCAAAATATTAAAATTATGAAATATCAAGAGCTAAGTCTTTCAAATTGAGAAATTAAGAAAAAAAGACAAGACTATCTAAATTCAGATTGGGGCATATACATGTACGACCCCAAGTTAGAAAAAAGAATTTAGAAAGAGATAGTTTTGTACGTTTATCACTTTGAATTGGCAGCATTTCAAACTTGTGTGTATTCAGACTCATGCACTAGCAGTCATTAAATAGAAAACATAAACTATTACCAGGGTCGGGAAGAGAAATAATTTCTGATTTATTTCGTCATTTCATCTATTCCTGTATTTTCTCACTTTAAAAAAAAATTTGTTAATGTTATAATGTATTTTATGTTGAGAAAAAACTCATGACAGCTGGGTGATCTGGTATGAGAAATGGCTGTGTTTACGTGTACGTGCAGCTCAAGATGTTAGTTCGGTTTGTATGTTGATTACACACGGCCAGCCATAGACTAATTTGTAAATTTGGTCGCATGCCAGGGATGTTTGAATGGCTATTGTTAAATTAATACTCGAGGTGTCAGATTGTAATGTCGTACTAGAAAATAGCAACTTACATATCCCATTCAGATGGGGATATACAAGCATGGGCGATAAACGAAAGCTAAAAGATTCCCTGACAGTTGGAAATCAAAATTACTATAGGCTGTAGTACTGCTGTCAAGGCAATGTTAACCTCACACTCCTAGCACATGACATGGTGTACGCCCATCTTCATTAGCTCAGTTGCTGCAGAAAATGTTAAACCACATTTCAATTCACTGGCCAGTAATTGACTATAACTTTACATAGAGGAGACTCAACATAGATTGTGGGGTTGGGTGGTCAAGTGGTCTAATGTATACCCTTTAGATCCTAAGGTCTGTAATTGAGTGAAGTGGCATGGTTTTGATCCTAAGCTTGTTTGTGACAAGGAATAGGGTTGCCTGCCCGACCTCCTTATTTTACCTCCCACAGCTGAAGGCAACTCTATAGACGTAAGCTAATTATTGAAATAAAATAAATTTACCACATGTTCATCTCAAAATGACCTACTTTGTGTTTAGTGGATGTTAAACCCCATTCTCTATGTCTCAAATTATATTGTTTGCAAACTTTGAGTCGTACCCTTCATTATCAGCTGGGAGCCACGGTGTCTAAGTGGGTAAGACGCTCGCTCGCTAACCTAGAGGTTGTGTGTTCAATCCCTGCATTGGCCTGAGAAAGTTCGTGATTTTCCGGTGGGGCTTCCCCTTGTCATTTATGCAGGACAGCTGTCTAGTCGTTCAGATGGGATGAAAAACAGAGGACCTGTGTATACAGTGGAATGCGCGTAACAGATTCCTTGGCAGTTGGAATTCAATATAAGAAAATGCCATAGTGCCGCTGCCCGGGCAAAATTGCCCTCATAGCACACTGTATGGCGTATGCCCATATTCATTAGCCCAGTTGGAGTAGAACAGTAGCACGTTAAAACCCATTTCATTTCATTATCAACTAAAATGGTTTTAATGGAGTCCTATGATAAGGTGGTTCCAAGCTTACTTTGTGTACGATATACAAATGTATAAAATTCATTGCATTTATTTTCATGATAATCTGCAAGTCGAACCAACATAGAAGCAAAAAATTGTATTAAAGTTAGCCATTAATATTTTTTATTTATTAGATCCTACTCTCATGTTGCCTGGACTATATAACATCTAGATATTGATTATATCAACCAATGTTGAACATCAACATTAATAATGGGAAGGGGGGATACGTGTAAACTTACACATCTCTTATATGGACCAGTTGTGTTGTACAATGGTTAAATTAGCTGGTTGACATTTCTTACTAATGCTTGCTAATGGCGGGGCAGGGGTCCATTTGTCGAATACTTATTAAGATAGAATGTTTCACAACAGTTCACATTATAATATTTAAAGGCTGACTTTTCAGAAAAATCTTTTTTTTTTTACATTATTTAGAAAGGGGATTCCCCTCCCATGTGTTTGTACCTCTATTTATCTGTTTTAAAAAGAAATGTTGTCATCCATGTCCATTAGTGCTTGGTATTGTCACTGCAGTCGCAATACAATACATATTGCGATTCAGGTACTACGATACGATTCGTATCACGATTCATAACTAAGTCAATATTTTCCAAGAAAACAACAGGACAAATGAATAATTCATATTTTTAGTCCTGCCGATATCAAAGGAATAAGACTGTTTTATATCATGATATTGATAGGTATCAAAATAAGAACCAAAACAATTTGAGAGTGTTTGTGTACCTACATGTATGGATAATGTGTGACATGGATAATTAAGAGTGACAGGTACCTTACTGAAGCGACAAAAAAAAAACATAAAAGAGAAACACGATACATCAATTCAGCATCTCCTGAATCGCGATACATAGATTCAATGATGTATAGTGCCAGCACTACTGTTGATTCAATGATGTATAGTGCCAGCACTATTGTCCATCTGTCCATTTGCAATTTAAAACCTGCTAGAATTGTGGGCGGATGGGTGGTCGTGTTGGAGTCTGGAGTTTATGACTTACATCACTAGAGAGATTTTCACATTTTCACAATGCTGATTGAAGGGGTTTATTTTTGTTGAGTAGCAAGCATTTGTCCAATATATTATTGTAGCAGCCTACTCACCAAATAAAATGTTACTTTAATTTCAAAATAAGTATATATATATATGTGTGCAAAATAGGTAGTGTGATGTTGCTGTGCAGATAAAAATCTGTGACAAGCACCCATCCTGTCTCTAATCCTGAGTTCAGTAGTATAACTTGTCTATACATCAAATTTCTGTACATTTTATTCATGGAAGATTTGGTTTTAATTTCAGGGTTTATTAAAATTAACCAATCAGTTATTAAAGAGAGAATTTCCTGCTCAGCCTGATGTATCTTCTGATGATGGACGAGAACACAAGTAAGTTGATTCATGAATATTATTATTTTATTAATGTTCAAGGTCTGAAATTATTTGTTTCATTGTTGATATTGTAATAGTGTGATAATATGTCAATTGCTAAGATAATAAATGTTTCTTATGTTAACAAATTTAAGATCAACTGGCTAATAAGTCATTAACCTGTCATCACTTTTCATGCCGTCACGACGTTAATCCCATCTATTGTTTTTGTTGATATATTATATTGTTTAAGCCTTTATGTCTTGTTCATCTATGCCATGTCAGTTTTAATTACATTTACTTTAATCCTATTATCTGATTTTCCTTAAATATAACAAATTTATACATTTGTAGTCACTAGTAAGGATCCCTTACTAAGTGCAGTAACTGGCCTGTCAGTACTGTATGACAATATATGTATATTTATGTTCCAGTATATTAAAGAATCAAAGAACTATTTGATGTCTGTTATATCCAAAGATAGAATTTACTCCTCTAGAATATTTTTCAGGCTATTAAAGTTATTATTAAGTTTACTGTAATACTACTCTTGCAACCTCAGTCAAATTTGTTTAATTACATTTAGGAATGAAAAGGAATAGGGTTAGCATTTTCTCAACACACTGTCTTTTTAGAGACTAACATGCCATAAAGGAAGGGGAAAGGAGAATGTTGTTAGAGATTCAACGTACACAGTTTGCAAGGGAAATAATCATCGTATAATATATAGTGCATTTGATATTACATATAAAAGCTCTCTTGTCAGTTATAGTTTGAGAAGTAGCATGTATCTGCATTTTAACTATTATTTTTCCCAACACTTAGTATGCAATAAAATTGATCAATTTTTATCCAATTATATGTTTCGAGGACAATGCCAAGAAACTCTGTTATCTGATAGCAATATCTTCAGGTCTTCTCAGATGATGCAACATTGCTTGTCACGTTAATATTATGTTAGTCTCAGAATGACCTGAATATTGTTTTGGCCATTGTATCCTCTACTTCCTCTAAAAGTAATTTATAATATGATGAGACTGGAGTAAGTGAATACCCTCGAAGATAATTGATTAGATATAAAGATTAGATAGGTATAGATGATGAATTTTGACAGTTGTTAGTCTATGTGTAGAACTACTTATCTTGTAATCTCATTATCAGATGGGTAGATATAAAGCTATAACTTGATTAACAATATATCTAATATATAACAGAACTCTGGTATTCAATAACAGCAATTGTCTTGTCAAATTTTGAGTTGATTAGTTTCCTGGTATGAAATTTGAACTACTGGCAGTAACTAGTGGGAGAAAAACGGGAACAACACTTCTCCTGAGGATATTTTCATTGTTTGAAATTCGAAGTACATCAGTAACTACTCCCCCTAAGCACATTTTTTGAGTGTAAACTCTGAGCTGCATGTGTACATGTATATAGCTAGGGGGAGATCAACGGGAACCACTACTTCCCCGAACCACAATTTGCTAGAGTAAGATTTGATATAGTACATGTACATGTATAAATAAACTTATATTATCTACTGCTGTTAAATAAGTTAAAGTTTCATCAGCTGTTTCTAGGTTATTTTGGTACTAACACATTGAAACTATGCCGCTTGACTCAATGACAGACCTTATGATGCAATGCACATGCATTAACCATACCATTTGGCCACCTAACCCACTTTGAGAGATTAATAATGACATAATGAGTAGCAATTGTATTGCCACCACTTCATGATTTGTGTGATCAGAGTAGCCCAGTATGGTTTGCTCTACTGGAGAAAAAAATGGAGATTCGTATAATAAATTATGGTAGAATTCAGTTCAGATCATATTTACAATAGAGACAAACCAAAATATGACAATTGTCAGACCTAGAAATAATGTTTATACAGTTGTTGTATCTGACAAAATATAATAGTATCTGACAGTCACGCTCATCAACAGTAAATATAATCGCTAGGCCACTATATCACTGAGAGCGATGATATCGGTGCGGTTAATAATAATAATAATAATAATGATATTTGTATCGCGCAACTATTCAATGCACTATAGGCGCTAGAAAATTTTCTTACTTTGGAGTGTTAATGATAGTGACTAAACAACCAAATTTTCACTTTGGATTTTAAAACCGACACAGATTCACATTGTCGGATATTTTCTGGAAGTGTATTCCAAACAATTGATGCGCTGTTTCGAAAAGTTCTGGATCCTAAAGATTTCAAATTATAGGCAGGTACATCCAATAACAGTTTCCCTTCTGATCTTAATGAGCTCGCAATATTAACTTTTTTTCCTTATGCAAATTAAATTCTAGAACATTCTTTTTTTTTTGGAGTATTAGAAAAATAATGGTGTTTAAAGTGTATTTGGATAAAAAACTATTTCCTATATATTTAGTGTAAATGAGCATATGAAATGAGTAAAAGGCACTATTTTGCCCTGGTCTGTTCACGTTCTGTAAACATTGCACAGTCTATCGAGTCAGTGATCAAGGTCATGTGATGTAACGTCACACGTAGAATGTACATGAACTTTATAAAGGTCAGTCATCTTATACAGAGTTATAAAAAGAAGGAAGGCATTCACAACACCTGTATGAAACCGAATGCCTGACAGTTTGAACTTTATGCTGGACATGTATTATGAATATAATTAAAAACACTTATAAAAGACAAATATTTGCTTTATTTGTGCCTGATTTCTAGAAATTTGCAAATTGTGTATGGAGAACAACATTCTCATCCATGGTTTCCATGCAGGTTGCTATGCTTCACATAATGAATTGTGATGTAATCTGTGCAGTTGTCATGCTTGGTAAACATGGGTAAAAAAAAGTGTTGTTGTCATTATCGTAACCTGAAATGTCAAAGTGTATGCGTGTGTATCCTGATAAAAATGTTGGCAGGTATATATATACATGTATCCTGTTACAAATGCACCAGGAAATTTATCTTGTCTGGATATCAGATGAAATTTATATATCAACTACTTGGACTACAATTCCTTGTCCCAAATTTCCGATATAAATTCTGTTAATGTGTTAGTTTAGTACTGGTAACCAGATTTATACTTGATAATATTTAAATCTTTTTGCGTAGAAAATTTGTAAATTATTTATGTTTTATCGAAAGGGCACGTATTTTGCTACTCTTCATGAATTGGACATAAAAAAAATTTCTGCTTGTCCGAAAGAAATTAAAAAAACGAGTTGACTAAAAATGAGTTTTTGTTGACTTGGGCAATCAGGCAATTGTTAATTAATATCAAGCCCTTATAAAACATTTTTAATCAAATTCCAATTTCTAAATATCATCTACTCAAATCTTATATAGTTTTTATATCATATAATTCCAGCTTCAATTAAAACTTGTAAAAAGTTTATATATAAATATTGTGTATGATTCCAGCTTCAATTGAAACTTGTAAAAAGTTTATAAAAAGTTTATATATAAATATAATATGTTTCCTACTTCAGTTAAAACTTATAAAAAGTTTATATACCGTATAAAAATATTGTGTATAATTTCTACCTCAGTTGAAACTTATAAAAAGGTTACATTTATAAATAAATATTGTGTATGATTCCAGCTTCACTTGTTATATATAAATATTGTGTATGTTGTCACAGTCGTGTCATTAAATCTGATCAATATACAGTCAATACAGGTCTTTTCTTTATTTCTTATTCATATAAAACTACTATTATTTAATACTTTTAAATATTGATCTAGTCTACTCTAACAGTATTGATTTTACTATCCAGACTCAAACATGTTTATTTAAACTTCAGAAAACAGAAAACAGCTTTTATTTCAGATTATTTTGAAGGGTCTTGATCATGAAAAGATGATTTAGAAAAAATTAATTGGATTGAAAGGATGACAAACTATTCTTTAAATAAAATTCTAGAAACTGTTAATGAAATAATCTCCTGTTTTCAGAAAATGGTTCCCCTATTGTGATAGGTAAAATATTCACTCATTAATTTTGAGATCATCTTTATTTTGGAAAGGGATCATATGATTGGTGTTTGTTTTTCCTTTTATATTTATGGTGGATACATTTATTAATTTTTATACGCCCTTGTGGAGGTCATATATTGCCGTCACCTTTGATATTGCATCAGACTGTAGCCCAGAGGTCTTGCTTTTTTCTGACCTTGTCTTGAAACATATTTATGTTTTGGGGGTGAGAGTAAAATTTTAAATGTATGGACTTACATTTATACCGATTTCAGTAAATACTTATTAGAGTTATTTCCCTTGCCTATCTTACCACAGGAAAATCAATTATTAAAATATATTTATCTCAGGACATATTGAACCGATTAAACTGATATGGATTTTAGAATCTAATCAATCAGAATAAACGCATAGAAAAAAATGTTTTATGTCATTGTAAATTTCTGATAAAATCATAAAACAAAAACAAAATTACAGCACAGACGATGTAATGTAGCTGCTGTTGGCATATGTATGTTTAGTTGTCTGGCAACTCATGTTTATGAGGCTAGATCTGTACATTCATCAGTATATCATATTCATATTTCCTCTATATATTTTATTTCCTAATCTATAGACTTTCCCATGGAAGGTAAGGTGTTGGCTGTATATACATTTTAGTTCCCCATCCACCCATTATCTTTTGTTTCAGTTATTTTTTTTTTTCGTTTGTATTCTTTATTTTCCATATTTATTATTTTTGGGGTTACATACATGTACATGTACACTATTTTCTGTTTGATGTATAGGCGATACATGTACTACCGAACACATATAGCCATCTCCATTATGTTACATTTCACTGTACTTTTCTTTCCCAAATGTTCAGATTTCACTAACTATAGTGCAGTCAGTACAGACTACTGCTCCTTAGACTGCTTGAAACCGCCTAAGTCACACCTTAAAAAGTTCACTATGGTTTGATGCACTTGATGGAGGTATATGTATCGTAATGTAGATAGTGCTGTGTTCAGATGCAACCACAAAATGGAATTCTCGGCTAATCTGGTTTTGCTGCAGATAGATTTTTGGGATTTGTTTTGTTTTGTTTTTTTAAATAGAAATTGGAGTTTATTGTAGATCTTTTATAAATGTCATTTATTTTATTTACCATTTGTTTTCACTATATGTTGTATATCCTGTTGGGTATTTTTAAACAACAGAGTTTTAATAAGCCCACATTTAATGTGTATGGTCATCTAGTTTTTTGCCATTTTACATATAGCATGTTAAATGTTGTTTAATCATTGAAAGCTGATTAAAATCATCTTTCTAAGAATGAAAGTCAGCCATATTTAAAACGATTAATTTATATCACAAAACAAGTCAGTATCTGGTTGAAATGACTAAATCTCTTTGATTGGGGTAAAAAAATGAAAAAAAAGATTCAATTAAATTTGATTTGTTGATTTCTTGGAGCTAATGATGAGATAGAACTGATTTTGTCTTCAGCAGTCAACAATTTAGCTTGACCTAAATCAAAGAGGTTTAGCCCCTTTAACTAAGGATATCATGGACTCAAGAATAAAATGATCCAACTCTGTCTGATAATCTTAAAGTAGTAATATTATTATTAATCAAAGAGGTTTAGCTCCTTTAACTAAGGATATCATGGACTCAAAAATGAAATGATCTAACAGTGATTATCTACAAATTTATTGAATCTTAAATAAAATGTATGAAAACTCTGATTCATTGATTAGTTGGCTTTGTTGGCAACAATAATAACGTTTGTCATGTGATAGAATGATAGAACAATGGGCATTACTTGAGAATTTTGCAAGTATCGCAGCTAAAACTATTAGAATAAGTCTGATTTAAAGACTGATAAATGGCAACAAATTATTCAGACTTACTTAGACTTATTACTGCTTTACACGATTTATATAGATAATTATTAATATAAGACTGATATAAGTATTAATATATGTATTAAAATATTTATTCTTCAGGACAGCATGTACTGTGTGGCATAATATACTGGAAGAAACAGAGAAAATTGCAAAAGCCAGATTACAGGCAGCAGAAATGTACATGGAAAGAATTGCTGAGCCAGTTAAACCTCTTAGAGCCAGTAAAATGCAATGTATGAAAAAGGTAAAAGTGCAAAAATACATGTATGTACTACACACTGCCATACTCCTTGCCGTGTGTCATTTGATAAATCTACACTCTGCACTAGTGGTTCCAGACCCTTTTCTACTAGCTGACCCTTTGGGATATGTTTCTAATATGCATTTCCTCTAGATCTGTTCAGTCAGGAGTCACGGTGGCTTATTGGGTAAGATGCTGGCTCGCCAGCATGGAGGTCGCAGGTTTACTCCCGGTGTTGGCTGAGAAAGTTCATCAGGATTTTCTGACATAGTTTCCCCATTGTGAGGGGTGCAGGACGGAGTGCTTGACAAGGACAGCTGTCTAGTTGTTCGGATGGGACAAAAAATCAAGGTCCCGTGTACATATTAGTGTGCACATAAAAGATCTCCTAGCAGATGGAATTTGATATAAGAGTAGGCCTTAGCACCGCTGTCCAGGCAAATCTCCCTCATAGCACACTGTATGTCTTCATTAGTTCAGTCAGAGCAGAACAGTAGGACGTTAAAATTTAATTTCTGTTCTGTCAAATTTCCCATATTTGGGCCATTACTACATCGACCCATAGTAAGATGATTGCCATTTCTATTGAGGTGACTATGATATCAGCTACTGTAATTCATTACCCGAATAACAATTTCGTAGATTTCACAGACATCATTTTCCCCACCGTGACATTTGACTTGGATTATTATGCAAGTACATTTCAAAGAAATCATATAGTATGACCACTATCTTGTATGATTGATTATTTTAAATAATGGTACACCAACATCTGTATTATTATATTAATTAAATATTTCAGGTAATGCCTCAATTAACAACAATACAATCAGAGTTATCTAACACTGTACTAGAGTTGACCAAATCACAGAAAACATACAACACTGAGGAAAGTCTTGCTCACGAAGCTCGACAAAAATCATCAGACGCCGACGATAAGTAAGTAGATGTTTGGGTCGAACTAGATATTTATTTCATGTAGTTTTTTCTCAGACAATCCTCATGCTGGAGAAACGTTATTAATTTATTTTTTAGATCTTGTCAAACAATTTTCTGGGTAAATCATCACTTTTCTTGGTTCTATTTTTAGCTCATCATCTGTTCATACTGTGTACAGAAATACTTGTTGTTGTATTTCATCTAAACTTTACTATTATTGTATGCTAAGCTGATACAAGGTTATTTACAAGCAGCACCTAATTTTCATCTCCGGGGGGGGGGGGGGGGGGGGGGGGAGAGGGAGATGGGATTAAATGTCCGCTCGACACAAACTAGGGCATTTTGGGACTAACATATGGTCCAATTTTTTTTAATAATTCACTTGCGCATAGGGGTCTTTAGCATTGGGAGGAATCCAGAGGACCTGGAGAAAACCCACGAGATTGGACAGGCGACTCTACTCTTTGTCACGTACAACCGGGGAATCGAAACCACTGCTAAAGACCCCTGTGCGCAAGCAAATTATTGAAATAAAATTGAACCATGTGTAAGTCCTGAAATGACCTAGGTTGTGTCAAGTGGACTTTAAAAAAGACTTGTCCTAGATATATTTGAGTGAATTAAACTGATGAATTCTCTGTTTAACTGCCAGGAACTCTATGATACTATCAGTATACACATGTGGATTTCCGGTCTTTTTCAAACAGTAAATATTTTATATCAGTATTATTTATTGATAATTTATTTTATTTCAGGTTGAAAAGAAAATCAACAGGAATATTTAAATCTATGGCCGGTTTACAGAAAAATAGTGCTAAGGTTAGATTTATTTTACTAACACCAAACTAATATTAACAATTAGTTATAAATAGGGACCAAGTCTATGATCAAGTGTGATGGGGAGGTTGTTATAAGTAGGGACAGGTGTAGTACACAATACAGAGAATGCTTGTATTATTTAAGTTCAGCCGAACATAGCATAGTGTAGAGTAGAATCAATTAAATATATCAGCCAACTGTCATTTTAGAATTGATTGACTTTATTTCTATACTCATTTATATTAATTTTATAAATAATATATTCTTGTTTTATTTATTGTGAAATCTTTATAGTGTATCCAATTTCAATTGTTTTTTTGTTATTTTCAGTTAAAAACTCGACGGGATGGATGTGAAGTGAGGTCAACTTCTTGTCGTAATGAATATATTTTAAACATGTCTGCCGCTAACGCGCACCAAATAAGGTATTATAGTACAGATTTACCAGAACTCTTACAGGTTAGTCACAATCTTTATAAAATTGAGTGAAGGTGAACTTATCAAAATAATTTCATTACTTTTTGCAATCTAAAAAATGAAATGGGGTTTAACGTCCTACTGTAGTGCACTGACTGGGCTAATGAAGACGGGCATGCGTCATACAGTGTGCATGAGGGAAATATTGCCTGGACAGCAGTGCTACGGCCTGCTCTTATATCCAATTTCAACTGCTAAGGGTTCTTTTACGTGCATGCCAATGTGTGCACGGGACCTCAATGGAAGCATGCAATGAATGATTGATATACCATGGGTTAGTCTTGAAATGATCTAATTTAAGCCCCACCCAGGCTAATAAAGACAGGCATACTTCATACAGTGTTCTATGGCATTATGACTTATTCTTACTCCAGTTTCAAATGGTCATGGAATCCTTAACATGCTGCCAATGGTATACATGGAACCTTGATTTTCCATCCCATCCGCATGGTTAGAAACTTTTTCTTGCCAGACTCTCCATCCAGAAATACTGACAACTAGAAAACCTGCTGGAAAATCTTGAACTTTCTTGGCAAACACCGGGATTGTACCCAGAACTCCTGAATTAAAAATTTAAAATCATTTAACAATGTATGAGAATTATCACTGTATATGGTTAGTGCAGGGGGACTGCACCACACACAAACAATTACACAAGACAGACCTATGGACAAGACTAGACACAATATACAAAAATCAAAATAACAAACGCACATATCCAATCAATATAATCACACTATTTGTCTTTGATTAGGTTTTAGATGGAGAAGTTTATGAGAAAATAGAGGAATACTTTAAACTGATTGGTCAGACAGCAGCAGATATAAGCCAATCAGAAACAGACAGTTTTAAAAATGTTGTGACTCAAGCAGAAAAGGTAAATTTTTGAAAATTTGTCATTAAAGTGTATGTGATTATTATTTAACTGAAGTGACAAATAAAATGCTTGTTGTTATATTTGTATGAAATATAGAATATAAAATGCTTGTTGTTATTTTTGTAGATATGTCGACAATATAGTTTACAGTGTTTTTTATATCAACATCCGGTATTTACAGATTTAATACAATATCAATTTGAGCCATGTCACCAAGATCCTGTAAGTATTCTTTAACATTTTAACTTCATTCACTGTGTCAAAAAGTATGGACATTCGGAACTTCAAAATGAAATGAAATGGGGGTTTAAGGTCCTACTGTTTTGCTCCTACTGGGCTAATGAAGACAGGCATATGCCATACAGTGTGTTATGAGAGAAATTTTGTCCGGGCAGCGGTACTATGGCCTAATCTTATATCGAATTCCAACTGCAAAGAAATCTTACGTGCATGCCAATGTATACACAGGGCCTCAGTTTTTCGGTCAATCCGAACGACTAGACAGCTGTCTTTGTCAGGCTCTCGGTCCTGCAGTTCCAGATTAACAAGTATATTATGCTTCAAATGTGGCCTTAAATCATAAAAGTATGTTACATTTTTTTTTTGGGGGGGGGGGTATAAGCAATATTTTTATTCAGATTTGTATCTGAATAGGGATTGGGGAACAGGCATAGCCGATATTAAACCCCTGTATGTCACAGTTGAATAATACTTAAATTTTGAAATAAGTTTGCAGTGATTATAAATTATTTTTATCTATTCCTTTTGTAGATATGCAAACTAAGTGCTGATTATAATGCAGCTCCTGATTTAGATAAAGAATCCAAGAAATGGGCGACGAAAGTTGCTAAAGAAACAAAACTTATACGAGAATATAACAGATTACTGAAGGCTTATCAATGTGGTGGTTCAGTTGAACGGGTTAGTTCTATAATTATTCTTGTTCATGATTTATTGTTAAACAGTCTGGGAAGAAATAAATGAAATGGGATGTTTAATGTTCTACTCTTTTACTCCAAATGGGCTAATGAAGAGCGGCATGCGTCATACAGTGCTCTGAGGGACAAAGGGGGGGGGGGGGTGAATTAGTCTGAAAATCCTGATGACCTTTTCAGCCTAACAGGGATCGAACACAGGAACTCTAAGTTAGCAAGCCAGCCTTGTACTCACTGAGCCACTTTGACTCCTGCATCTGGGAAGAAAAAAAATGTTGATACTTCATCAAGTCACTATCAAATCATCTTTAGAGTGTGCTTGGTGAGTAAGGCACTGGCTCAATGACCAGCAGGTCGAAGGTCTTGGCTGAGAAAATTCATCAGGATGTTCCAGCCTTGTTTAAACTTGTCAGGATGATGTCGGATGGGAAGTCTTCTGGGGCCTGTTTCACGAAATTTTAACTTAAGATAAAATCAAAATTTTAGTAATTTGATTGGATAATATTAGATTGATTTTATTGCTTAGCCAATCAAAATTGAAGTTTCTACTAAAATTTGGATTTTATCTTTAGTTAAGATTTCGAGAAACAGGGCCCTGGCTAGTAAAAAAGCTTCTAGCTTTTGGGATAGTATGAAAAATCAAGGTCGATCTGTGTACTCATCATACACTTAAGAGAAGCCTTGACAGTTTGAATTGAATGAAGAATAGGCAGGAATCCTGCTGTCTGTCTGTCAAACCTTTTGGATTACCATAAATGCTCCTAGATTGTAGATTGCTGAAACTTGGTGTAGTTGTTCTTTAGATGAAGATCTTGACTGAGTTCAATGATGAACATTTTCTATGTAAACTAAGTCATGATATGCAATTTTATTGTACAGTGCATTGTAAAAAAGATAATTGTACAATTCTTTAGTGTCATCTATTTATTTGGCGATCGAGGCGGCAGACACTAGGTTTACTGTTGGCTTGTTTATTTGATTTTTACTGAAACTGATGTTACATGTAAATTCAGTCATTATTTTTTTTTTACTCGGTAGTTGACTGAACCTGGTGATGGGGGAACAACTCCAACCCAAGACCCAGAACAAAAAATGGAAGAGTTACGACAAAATATAAGAAAAGCTGAGGTATGATATATTATTTTCCACGTTTCTGCTGACACCTAGGGCTCGAATTACCAGGCGACGTGGGCGAAAAAGTCGCCTAACCCATTGATGACTTCGACCTAAAAGGCAATAGGGAGAAGTTGAAGTCGCCCTCACTTCGCCGTACATTTGTGCAAGGGCGAAGTAGGTAACAGGCATCGATATCAACGGTAAACAAAGCATTTTCTAAACAACACAACACGTGTTCGCATTGTGAGCATCGAAAGGAAAACTGAAAATTAAACAAGTTGTGAAAAGCAAAACATGTATTAATATTTTGTTTTTCGACTTTCTCTGTGTTGGCTGTGACAATGTTTAATAGTTTCAATGAAAAACATTGTATTTGATGTCAACAGGAAATACAATTCTTTAAAATAAAGCGAAGGAATCGAATCATAAATCTCCGTTACAACCTCTGGCTTCGTCCAGAAATAACAGCCAATCAAAAGCTGCGATGGCCAATATGGCGGCGGATACGATAATTTTCATGTATTTCTGTCTAGACAAAGTACTGAAGGTAAGTGAGTGGTGTGTCAAAACAATAATTTCATACATTGAATGTCGTAGGCCTACTACGTAACAACATGACTATCCTATTGTGAAAGGTGCTAAAACAATCACACAATAGACCCAGGACTAGTAATTAAATGTATTTAGGCACGAAAGGGTATAAATATTGATGTATTTGATAGAGGGGTATTACAAATCTTATTTGTATTGCTAAAGTCAAGTCTGTCTTAGTACTAGTATATGTGTAATTTATTATCACAGTAATTTTGATACCAGTAAGAGTATGATGACATACTGAAATAAATATATGTGTGCAGCTAAACGATGTTTGTTATTTATTTAGCATATTGACTGGGTAACGACTTGGTAAGATTGGTTGCAGCAATGCATGAAATATGACCTCTCCTTCAAGTCTCCCTATGTCTCCCTCATTTCTCCCTATTCTGTCCCTAGTTTGAGCCCTGCTGACACCATTCATGTGACGTTTATGCCGACACCCTTCAGTTCATGTTATGCTGATACCCTTTTAGGTCATGTTATGATAATACGGTACCCTTCAGGTCACCTTATGTGGATACTCTTCATGATCAGGTCCTGTTATGCTGATACCCTTCAGGTCACGTTACGCTGAAACTCTTCAGGTCATGTCATGCTGATACCCTTCAGATTATGCTGATACCCTTCTGGTCACGTTATGCTGATATCTTTCAGGTTATGTTATGCTGATACCCGTCTGGTCACGTTATGCTGATATCTTTCAGGTCATGTTATGCTGATACCCTTCAGGTCTTGTTTATGCTGATACCCATCCCCATTGTTGGTTTTCCTTGATTTGTGAAATTCTACTCATACATCCATTTACGAGACTGTTTTATGTTTTCAGACGTCTAAAGCAAAAGCAGAAGGTAGATTAGAGGCTTTACGTGCTGTTGGAAGTAAGATTTTATATATGTATCTGTTGATTATATTTTCAAAATACACATGTATAGGGTTTCATTTTGATTGATTAATAGCTCTGGACTGGACTCTAAACAAGACTTCTGGCCTAGACCAAGAAGAATGTTGGTATTCTTTAAGCCTCTGAGATGTTCATGTTAGCTTGTACATAAACAAACTCATGATAGTAGGAATTTAATAAAGAGTAGACTGAATCATCGCCATCGGCAAACTGTCCCGAAATAACACATTGCATGACTGGTATATAAAAGTAGGACATTAAACTCCATGTTATAGTCTTAACTGCGAGAACTTTTCCATAAAGCACTCAGATTCCCCCCACCCCCACACTGTTTCTTTCTGTCCATATTGACAATACCAAACATCAAATAGCTGGACCTCCTGTTTTAACTTTATATAATTATGACAAAGGGAGAAGATGTCTCTCCCTTTCTTCTCATGACAGCAAATTTTAACATCTTGTTTGTTTTTTTTAAGTGAACTTTGTTAATGTATTTTTTTTTTTTTTTATTACTCCTTCATATGTAAATGATTTTAGGTATATCATGTAATGTGTATGAAGTTGAATTTGAAATAAACAACCCCATTTCATTTCACTTATACACCTATATCTTTATTCATTTTTAATATTTGTTTGTTTTTTCTTGACAGTGAATATAGATGAGTATTTAAATAATGCCCAGATGGAAAGTCTGGGTACTGAAGATCTGACAATGGCCAGGGTGCCAAGTCAAATGTCTCTAAGAACAGAAAGCTCTGGCGGAGTACGTATCTACATTATAACAATAAAAATCTGTACTTGTAGACATTTGTTATTTCAAAGGAACATTCTCAAATATATTTTATATAATTAACCATAAATGTCAGTGATACTTGTCTAGAGGTTCAAATGGTCTGTTTTTATGCATTATGGCAGGAACTGATTCGTATGCTATGGTGGGAAATATTTCAATTATGAATTCTTTGAAGTATTCTAAACATTGATTTGTACTTATTAAAGTATGTAGTTAAGGAGCATGTGCACAGATTAAATTGTTTTGGGTTTTCTCTAAATACCAGCATTGGTACCATGACATTGCCCAGACATTCTTAATGTTTTGAAACATCGTTGTTTGCCTGATATATAAGTAGCAAAAGAGAAATAAGTCATCCACACATATAGAACTGAGTAGAAGTGGAAAGACTTTCGTTTACAGAAATATTATTACTATCAGTGATTTTCTGCAGGGGTAACATTGTATGAAGGGTGATGTAGAATCTTGCCTTAGTGCAGCTAAATATAGTTCCTTTTCTACTATTGTGTTTATCTCAGTTAATTCTCAATCAATGGAAGTAAAATCAATTTTAAAATTCATTGGAATTTAAGGGCAATGTGAGTTATTTCCCTTTTTAATTGGCCAGACACAGTATTTAAATTTGCTGTCTAAATAATGGTAATATTTGTTTTAATTTATAGCACAGCGCTGATGAACCAACGTATACACATTACGATGATGATGATGATTTTATAGATGACACGTTTAATACGTCTGCTGAAAATGAGACTTTCTTCATCCATAGTTCCGGTAAACAATTCCCCGTAAAATGTCGATCTCTTTATGCTTTTGAGGTAACTTTTTTTATCATAATTCCAACCAATTCTAGACCCAGTCCAATTAAAACAACAAGTTTTAAAACAGAACTCATTACCAAGTGTTCTGATAAGTACACAATATTCTGGGAGATACTGTTGAAGCAAAGCCCAGCTTAGGCATGGGCCTGAGGGGTCCAAGCCCAGAGCCCCGCGGTATAGGGGCCCTCGCGGTTCATGGCAAAAAGAGAAAAAATTCAAATTCCAGATGAAAGTTTCATGGTAATCGATCTAGCGGCGCGAGGGCGGAGACTGAGCTATCGCTCAACCTTCTCTGTGAAATTCCACTCGGTGATCAGTCTAGGCTTGTAGCGACGCGATGGGCGGAGACTTGGTGAGTCTGCAATCCCTCAACCGTTTAATTGTGTGTTACACATGCGTGCCATTCAAAAGGATGTGAAATAATCTTTTCGTCGCGTTAGGGGCCCTTCGATGCTAGTCAGGCCCAGGGTGCTCCGGTTAAGCTGGGCTTTGTGTTGAAGTAGAAACCCCTGGTATATTTCAAGAAATAAAACTTGTTAATTCTCAATTTGTTTCACAGAGGTAATGCGTAAGCGGCTTCTTATACCTCTGTATAAGGTGACTGACCTTTATAAGGGACATCTACATGTGACATCACATCACACGGCGTCAATCATTGGCTCAAGGGAGCATGCATTATTTAATTAATGTCAACTGGTCAGGGCAGAATGATGCCTTTCGCTCATTTTATATACCCATTTACACTAAATAGGAAATATTTTTATCCAGATATACTTTAAACAACTTTATTTTTTTTTTTAATGCTTCAAAAATTTTTACAAAATTAATTTGCAGAAGGAAAAAATTGCGAGCTAATTAACCCACACCGATTTCATCGCTCTCAGTGGTTGTAGCGGCCTAGCGAATATTCGCTGCTTATCGGCGTGGTTAATTCTGTGTGGAACAGGCATAAATTCTTTTATTTTAATCCCAGGCAACTATCTAAAGCTCATGTCAGTAAAAGAAGAAATGAAGACAAGAATTCCAATGTTGTACTGTGATTAGCTGATTACAGCCAAAGGATTTATTAATATTAGAGGTTTATTATTATTTTTCAGGCCACTAATTCAGATGAATTAACGATACAGGCTAACGAAGAATTAGACCTCATTGCTAATGGTGATGGTGATGGATGGGTCAAGGTCAGTAAATGGTTTGGCCTAAGTTTTAAGTTTTTTATGTAAATGGTTTAAGCAACAGAAAAGTATGATTTATTCCAGCTTGTAAATCTAAAATATAATTCTATCTGAGTTGGCATCTGCAAGAAAATTGTGCCAGATTGGATGGAACACCAAGGTCACATGTACAAAGTTGTTGTGCATGTAATAGATCCCAAAGCATACTTTTCTACATACAGACACAGACACTTAGCTAGTTGACAAACATTGTAATTCCTAAATCAATGATTTTAGTTGAAAACACTAAGTATACTTTGAGAATTTGGTTAGTATTCCTTCTGCTTCCATTTAATAAAATTGAAAAAGTTTGTTTAGTCTGTGTGTGTGACATATGTGAAACAGAGTAGAACCACACTACAAAACAGTATACCAATTTTTGGATATGGTGGCCATGTAGGGCAGAGATCTATTCTCGAAGAATGAAGTGTGCAGATTGACTTTTCTAGTTAGAACCATGATTGAAAATCTAGGACAGTCTTGTCTAGAGGCCAGAGCTATACTACTCAACTGTTACTGCCTCCATAACACGCTGGTAATTTTCTAGCTGAATGAAATAGCTTATATGTTTGCTCTATTTTCAGGCTCGAAATTTGAGAGGTAAAACAGGCTACATTCCTGAAAACTATGTAAACCTTACCGATAGTATTATAACAGATAACCAAACACCCAGTGAACCAGCTACTCCAGTTGCTATGCAACCACCAGAAATACAGTCCCCTATAGCAGCCGACATACAACATGAAACAACCTCTAGTTATTCATCCGGTGACCTTGAAATTCAGCAGACGACGGATGTAATGCCTGTTGATAATTTCCATCTACCATTACAAGAATCCTGTACGTGAAAAATATTTTATTGTTTAATTTGTATACCTCTGCCTGTGTTTAGAGCTGGACACCAGCAATGGGTAGGATTTATAATAGTGTTTTAGGAAAGGGTCATTTTGTAGCAGCATAAGGTTTTTGATCAGGCTTTCTTCTCATGATCCCAGTGCGTCATTTGTGCCTTTAGATAAGGTTTTTGCCAGGCAATACCATAACCTTACACTTTGTGATCCCTTAAGTTTTTGATTCAGTTTAATTGGCATTTATACTCTTCAGTGCCAACAGCCTAACCTTCGTGGAGTGGGGATGGAGGGCCTGAGAAGGACGTTTGCCTAGTCGTTTGGATTGGATGAAAAACCGAGGTCCTGTATAAAAGATCCCTTGGCAGTTGGAATCGGATATAGCAGTAGGCTGTAGAGCCACTGTCTGGGAAAAATTTCCCTCATAACACACTGTATGGCGTATGCCCATCTTGCTTAGCCCAGTCAGAGGAGAACATTTATTTGGGTGGCATGGTTTCAATTTCCCGCTAGTACATGACAAGGAGTAAACGGGTTGAGTGGCCGCTAAACCCCATTTCTCTCCCTCTTACGGGTAGGTTGCATGGCATTTACCCATCTTCAATGGTTAGTAAGTGTAGAAAGTAGTAAGATATTAAACCCCATTTAATTTTTATTAGTTGATGTTTACGATTTGTTTATTTCAGATTTACAAGATGTATGGGCTAGAGCTTTATATGATTATACTGGTAGTACTGCCGAGGAATTACAGTTTAACGAAGGAGCTCTGATAAAAATATTACGCAAAGATCATGGTGTTGATGATGGTTTCTGGGAAGGAGAAATAAACGGTAGAGTGGGTTTATTTCCGTCACTTGTCGTAGAAGAAATAACACAAGAAGGAATGTCTCTCGATGTAAGTTTTATTTTTAATGTATGTTATAGTATCGGTTTAATTCTGTCAAATTGATTTGCATTATAATTATTAAAACTTAACCCATGAAATTCTTTGGATTAGTTTGGATTATTAAGTGTTCCTGGAAAAAGTCCCAATTCCAGGCTAATGCAAAGACAGAAAATAAATTATTGTGTTTTCTATACTTTATTCTTTTTATAAAATTATTATAAAACATACATATAGCGCTATGTTTCAGGTACAATATAGTTTGAAAATAAAAATATCTATAAAAGCACTAAAATAGATACAAACAAAAATAAGCTAAAAAATATAGATAATGGGAAAAACTTAAATAAATTTAACAACTGAGACGCTCTTGGAATAAAAAAACTTTTAAGTTTAGATGTAAAAGTTGTCAAAGAGGTGCAACTGCAGATACTAAAAGGCAAAGAATTCCACTGCCTATTGGCAGAAAAATATTAAGGGCTATTTCATTTAAATTTATCTGGGTGGGAAGGCCACTATTTATGGACCCTTTAGGTCACAGATTGCAATAATTTCATGACACATTGATATTTTAGGATCCTTTCTCTCCTCAATTAACAAGTCCTCCTGACTTTGCCCCACCCCCACCAGTGATGGTAACATTACCAACACCCGATGAGTTACCTCCCCCTGTCTCTAATGGTGATGGTAAGTATTACATCAATTCATTAAATATATTTCATTGTCTTTGAGAATATTATACTGAATACCTGGCAATTTGTTTTCTGAAATTTAGGCCTAGGAATAAGGCAGGATTAATAATAGAATTTATAAAGATTCGTAAAAAGAAAAAAAAAATAATTGGGGTCATAAACAAAAAAAAAAGTTCAGCTCTGAATTATTTCTGTTTCTTCACTTTCGATATATGGTGGTTGGCTGGCATGTTGGATTTATTATTTCTATACGATTACAATTTTGCAATCTCTGACCCACTAGAATGCATGATGGAATAATCTTGGAAAGCATGAACAATTTTACATACAAGTTGTAGCTATTTGGTTAGAGTTAAAATAAAGTGTTGAATTGAGGCGAACTGGTGTGTTTTTTTCATCAGAGTTTGGCACAGGCTCTATCCGTAAATTTAGAAATAAACTGTTTGTCATTTTTCCTCACAGACAATCATAAAAAATAGAATCTATGTATGACCTTTAACACTATAAAAATTTAGCGGAGCCATGGTGGCTAAGTGAGTAAGACGCTGGCTCGCTAATCAGGAGGTTTCTGGTTGGATCCCAGTGTTGTCTGAGAAAATTCCTAAGTATTTTCCATTGTGGTTTCCCATTGTCAGTGCTGCAGGATGGAAGGGCCTGGCAAGGAACTGTGTCTAGTCTTTCGGATAGGATGAAAATCTGAGGTCCTGTGTACAGATAGACGTGCATGCAAAACTAACCTCATAACGCACTGCTTGGTATATGACCATCTTAATAGAGTAGAAGAGAAGGACATTAAACCACATTTAAATTTCCTATGAATTTAGTGCTATTTTGTCCAGACTGAAATTGAACTGGATTGATCATGACTACCATCTGGTAAAACAAATAACATCAACAATAGTGCTATTTTATCCAGGCTGCAATTGAACTGGAGTGATCATGACTATCATCTGGTAAAACAAACAACATCAGTAATAATCAGTTCAACATTTTAATTTCTCTCTCAAATCAAAGCAGTTCTGTCCCTTTAATTGTTTTCTATCTATGTGGATATTTGTGTTAATTTTATGTTTTGTGTGATATTAATAAACAGTCTATGCTGAAACATTATTTCAAGACTTGTGTAAGTTGTTACAACATTAGTCTTTCAGAAACAGCTGCCATTTTAAAATGGTGGTTTTCCTGTTTTCATTAGAATATTTAGAAATTTAAACAAACCACAAAAAGATGATATTTATCCTAAATTTAAATGAATTGCTTAGCCGATGTGTTTTGTATGTGTTTCTTTTGTTTTCTGTGTGTTTATCTGTTCTTTGTTAGAATTTCAAATTTTATCTTTAATGTTGAGTTTTTTTAACATTAATTAAGAGTATTTTAATTACTTAAGGGAAAACTTTATCTTAAACAATATTTTATATTTTATACATTCCTGTGCATTACAATTTTGTAAAATCCTTATTTTATTTAAACATTGATTCCTTTTTCGATTTGAATAATATTGCGGAACTTGATACAGAAAACCTGAGGTCATGTGTCTTTCATTAGAAGCACATTGGACAGTTGGTAATTGAGATAAGAATAGGCGTATGTGGACAATTACATCTCATAGCACACAGTCTTCTCAACTAAATACAAAAATGTGGGGTCCCGCTAAAGATCTTTGATTTTGGAAATTTAGCCGTACTGTTGCTGTCAAGGGAAAATTTACCCCATAGCCCACTGTATGATGTATGCCCGTCTTCATGTGCAGAATAATAAAATGATATACTCTATTTCATTTTCCTGATCTTGTAAAATATTTATCCTAATTGTTTAAAATAAAGTTTTCCGTTTAGTTCTGAAAACATAGATTAGTTGTAAACAGTGGTTATCCAAATAATCCACCATTTGACTGATCCTGTGTAGAGTGGTGTATATATGATTTATATTTCAGTGTTTTATTATTATCCTAGTAGTACCAGCCAGTGTTAACAGTAGGTTACACACATAACCCTCTTTATGTCTATCATTTCTTTTGTCTCTGTTAGTTAGTCGGTTTGCTTTGTCTGTTTTCAGGAAGTTAAATCAGAGCTCTCATTTCATCAATATTTGTCAATTTACATTCCCTAAAATTAGAATTTCAAAGAGTTTAACCTATAAATACAATTAGATATGTAGCAAAATTAACCGACTATGTTGCACTTTGTCTCATCTGAACAGTTTCAATATGGTAGCATGATTGTCAACTTTCTTTTCAGTTGCACTACACGTTTCATGTCACCGATATCTTTCACATATCCCACTAAATAAAATCTATTTCATATCACAGATATCTTAGGTTATTTTATTTATTCTCTGTTTCTCTTTAAAATATATTCCATTATTCAACTTGCTGTTCTACATGTCTTATCTCTACATGTCTTATTATCTCTACATGTTGTATCATCTCTACATGTCTAATCATCTCTACATGTTGAATCATCTCTACATGTCTTATTATCTCTACATATCTTATCATCTCTACATGTTGTATCATCTCTACATGTCTTTTTTCTATTCATTGTGACTTGAGTCCTTATCAGCTCTTTCAAGTTGTAAGTTGTTGCGAGAAATATTTCAAGTTGAGTCGCAAGTTGGGTCTTTGATGTGACTTATGTCAGACTCAAGTTCAAGTTGCAGGACTGTTTAATACATTGTCATTTTCTCTGCTACATTTCTTGACACTACATGCCATGTCACACCCATTCTTACTACAATCTCTACCTGTTCTATGTCTCACCCTTTCTGATTTGTTTCTTATGTTGTTCTGTGTTCTAAGTCTCTTCCTCTCTAATCTGTGTCTCATATTTTCACTTAATCTGTGCAATGTCTCTCCCCCTTTCATATTTTCACTGTGCAATGCCTCACCAACTCAGTATCATATCTTTGTATTTTCATTTGTATTCAATTCATGCATCGCTAACTTTTCCATTTTATAAAAAGATCTAATCTTGTTTGTTTGATAACAGAGACTAAGAGTTAATTGTTTTGTTTGTTTGTTTGTTTTATTTACTAGTAACTAATCTGTAGACTATAAATTGTGTGTTTTTGTAAACAATGAGTTTTGTGTGTATAACACCTGTATTGTGTTGTAAACCAATGTGATTTTTATATTTATTGTTTTCATATTCAGTCATTATCAATGTCTTCATAAAGATCTTCACTATATTTTCTTGTACCCATTGTTAGGTTCACCACCGTTCTGTTTGGAAGTTTATTTCTAAATGTAGAAGTTAATCTCCATCTTTTCTGTCTTATCTTACCTTAGAATCATTTTGTGGCTACAGCTTGCATATGCATACTCTAAAACATGAAATTTTTGTGTCGTGAATTTTTAAATGGATTTTACGCCAATCTAGGAAATGATTATTTCTAATAATGACAAAATGTCAGACACTAATGAACTAGTACCTGATATTTTTACTTGTATTAGAAATATTATTAAAAACATAGAAAAATGACAGATCTGTGGTGAACAGAATAGTTCATCGGGATTTTCCAGCGTGGTTTCCCCTTGTCAGTGGTGCAGAGTGGGTGGCCTGACATTGATAGCTGTCTAGTTGTTTGTAGGGGATATAAAATCAAGGTCTTGTGTACACAGTGGCGTACACGTAAATGATCCCTTGGCAGTTGGAATTCGATATATGAGTAAGCCATAGAGGCCGCTGCCCGGGCAAAATTTCCCTCATAGCACACTGCATGGCGTATGCCCGTCTTCATTCGAAGTCGGAGTAGGACGTTAAACCCCATTTCATTTCACAAGAGGATTGCATCTGATCAATCCTGAATTATAACCTGACAATGTCTATGACAGGTGGCATATTTCTAGGCTTGATCATGTCTGTGTCAGGAAATTAACAATATCAATTATTCTTTAATTCCCACAATAAGATCATGTTTTATTGTATTATTTAGACATTGTGTATGATTTGTATATATGTATTTGAGTGTGATTATTTTCACTTGATTTAAAAACTGTTTCTTTCAGTAAAATCCCCCACAATTAAACGCACGCAAGTGTTTCGTCTGGGAAGTGTAAATGCTTCATCATATGAGTCAGCCGTTTAGTATTTAGGTAGATTTAGTCGCCACTCCAAGCTACATATAGCATGCGCATGGCTTTCTATCATAGAATCCTCTTTAGTTTTTTTTTCTTAATTTCTTGTAGACTTTTTAAAAAAGATTCTTGTAGATTTTTTCAAAAACTCTGTGTAGTTTTATCTTTTTATTGGATGAAAAATTTAAAGGATTGTATAACATTTTTAGATGTTTTTATAATTTGCACATTATAATTAGTTAAGGTGAGGGTATGATTAAAAAGAAAACTTACAAATTTCTGCGAATTGTTGATAAAAATGGAGATAAAGTAACCAAAGCATGATTTTAACATGTAAGATCTCAAGGTTGATCACTTAACATGTATATATACTTACAATGATATTATACTCACAGAATAAAAGCAACTAATGAAAATTCAGATATTTTACATGATAAATTTGATAACGCTATTTCCATAAATATAACAAGCAACTGTGTCTGGCATTAAAATTGTGCCTTGCAGTTATATTAAAGGGGTGGTCCCAGATTTCACAAGGTATTCTTTGATAAAAGTGTTTTTTAAAGTATATAAATTATTTGCTAAAAGAAATAGGACAAATGGGTTGTCTGAAAATTTCAGCTCATGAGTCGTTCTGAAGTCACCACTAGATTTTCATAACATGGGTTATGTTACTCATTTAAAAATGACTTGTGCTGAATTTAAACTTGGTGAACACTGAAGCAGTATAGAGCTTTGTTGCCCATTGTTAAGAAGTTGCTTACCCAAATAGGACCTTAGGTTGTCAAATCTGAGATTTTGTTAGGCTGCTGTGGATTTTGAGGTAAAGCTGTAACTTATTTAGCTTATGTTAAATTCGGCAATCATCATGACAATCACTTTCAACTATAAATTTTGTAAGTATGTAGCCTTGGTTATTCAGGAATTTGGGACTAGTCATGATGAACATATGAAAACTGAACACACACACACACACACTTACCCCCCCCTGATTCATCTGGGACAGCTCCTTTAATTTCAATACATATCAAAATAGTCAAAGACAATAATCCTTGCATGTGATCATTTGTAGCAGAATGAAAATATTTTCACAATTTATGAAATTGAGTAAAAAATAAACTATGCTTAACTAGAAATCCAACAAATATTGACTGAATTTTTAAAAAAAAATTAATTATTCATAATATGTCATCATGAAATCTGTCGCTTTCCCCCCAATGTATTTATATTAACTTAGCTTCATCATAACATTAGTTTTCTTTCTATTAAGTGACAACTTTAACAACTTCTAGGTCTTTACTAAATCTAGGTTTTAAATTTAACCCCTTGTGCTACCTCTGAACCAGGGTTCTTAATTTTGAAATTAACTGGCCAGAATTTAGTCAAAAGAGGTCCCGGTAGGAAATAGTGTAATCTGAACAGTGTAGTGCTGAACGTGATGTTGTAGTGTTAACAATACATAAGACTTATGTCCAGAACGTTTGATGCCTCGGTTCAACAAACACCGTGTATATGCCAGGGAACATTTGGAAACTCAGTAGTCAAAGGGTTAAGGCATTAAAATATTAAGAGGGACTATTCTTCTTATTTCTGATGTATTTATCTGTTTTGATTAAATAATTTATTAAGATCCTAATTCAGTAGAATTATATATGGAGACATTAATAAGGAAAATAATCCTTTCATTCAAAATAACCATTTCATTTGAATTCTGAATGGTCATTCATTGTAAAATACAGATAACTAACCTTGTATCTCTTTTTTTAAAAAACAATATTTGATTCAGATTTGTATCTGATTAGGGGTAGAGGAACAGGCATAGCCTACATTAGACCCCTCCCATTTCCTATATTGTTTTAGCCTCTAATATAAAGCAAGGGAATGGGTCCTAGTTTTAAGAAAGACCAATTCTGTGCATTTTTCATACTTAGATAACTTTCGTCGTTTTTCTCGCTAATCAACTCTAATCTATAATCTGTTAATCATACCAGTTCATGTAATCTTACATCTATACATATACAGAATCAATGAAATTAATAAATGAAAATAAAATTGAGATTGAGATGCATCTTGTTTTTAAATTACTTAAAGGAAAGTAAAAATTAGCATTGTCAATGTGGTTAAATAATTTATTAGTATTAGAAGACGAGCATGATCTAAAAATAATATAGATTCTGCCCAGTGCATGATATTTTTATGAGCAAATTTATTTATATATTTATAAATTGAAGATTTTTGTTCTGATGAACAGATTTGTTAAAAAAAACTTTTTATTTTGTTGTTTTCTAGATACCGGTGTTCAGCAGCAGGCAGCTCCACCAGAACAGGTAATTTCTTTAAAAATTTCATAACGCTGAGGGTTAATAGTTGTGGGGTTAGTGCACTGGTCTCACAACTATGATACAGACATTTTCCAATTCTTTGTCCAAAATTAAACGGATAAAAAATTAAAAATATTAAAATTCATGGTCTGCCCCTTATTTTCGGTAAAAATGTCCAACAGGTCAAATTTGAAATAGCATCCATGGGTCCGTGAATAAGGCACTGGCTCACTAATCAGAGGTCATGGGTTTGATCCAAGTATTGATCTCGATAGTTCCTCAGTCTGGCTTCCTCTTGTTACTGCAGGTCAAGGACGGAGGGCCTGGCAGGGAAAAGTGTTGTGTCATTCGATGCGACCAAAAAAAAGGTTGGCATGCATTTAAGAGAAACCTTGACGAAGTTCTATAAAATGTAGGCAGAAACACTACTATTCAGGAAAAATGACTTTCACTACACTATTAGTAAGTGCAGGGGAACTGCACCACACAAAATTTACACAAAAACAAATACACGGACAGGACATCATACTCAGGAAAACACAAACATACACAGACAATTCAAAAAAAGTGAATGGATCCAGGGGCTAGCCGTAAGCGTTCTCTGCACTGTACAGTCCCGGGTCTGTAGTGATACAGACTTCAAATTTGAAAACAATTAGGAATACAACCTAAAGAACCCATTGTGTAATGCCAGCATGAGTCATGATCTGCTATATGCTACACGAAATACGAATGTAAGCATATGTAGTAAAATTCAACTATACAAGTAACCACATCGGTGAAATGTATAAAAAAGTAGTCTAAACTCTTAAATTCAATAAAGAAACGCTTCAGTATTTAATACATATAGGGTACATGTTCTATGGCTGTCTTCTGTAGCCACAGTTTTGCAATAAAAAAGTTTAGCCACGGTTTGTGCAAAAAAAAAAGAGTTATAGTTAAACTTTTATTAGTTTGTTCCAACAATATTTAGGTATTTGGGATTAAAAACATAGATTTAGTGGATTATATATTGTGATTTATTTTTACTGCTGCTTAGAAGGAATGATAAGAATGGTATGTATGGTAAATCTAATTAAAGTCACATGTTATTTTTATTCCATATATTCAGAAAGTCACTCCATTAACCTCTAAAGTTTAGAGGTTATTGGAGTGTCCTTTTCTACTAGAGTTTAGAGGTTAATGGAGTAACCTTCTACTAAAGTTTAGAGGTTAATAGAGTAACCTTCTACTAAAGTTTAGAGGTTAATGGAGTAACCTTCTACTAAAGTTTAGAGGTTAATGGAGTAACCTACTACTAAAATTTAGAGGTTAATAGAGTAACCTTCTACTAAAGTTTAGAGGTTAATAGAGTAATCTTCTACTAAAGTTTAGAGGTTAATAGAGTCATGTTTAAGGAAAGCATGTTCTGGGACCTAGGACTGTGATAACAGCAGAATGATACTTTCATTTGACAGACGATCAAATGACTCAATAATCCATGGCTTTTCTAAAATTTACCTAATTTTCTGTATCGCTGGTTTACTCTCTCAATCTTCTTCACTGTATCAAATCACAGAAAGGTTTTCTATATACAGCTTAAGTAAAACGTTAAAACACTGAAAGATTTTTAAACAGGTTAATAACACTGTTATTAACAGGGGAAAATCCTCTACGGAACATGTATAATATGTCGCCTGTATTGTAAGAACTGAAATAGAAACATTATGTTTCTTATTGGTCGAAACACATTTATTTACAGCTGTTGACCAATCAGACATCAGTTCTAGTTGTATTTATAGTAGTCAATATTGTTATTAAATACTAGTGGTTGACCCAGCGTAGCACGGGTAGAGCCATGAACCAGATGTAACATAACTCAGAAACCGGTACTGGTAGTCCGTTGCCACCAGGCCTATGTAAATCCTCGGTCCGAGCTATCCCTTTACACCAAATTCAGCCTCAGGACAGCCCTAGTGTAGCCATAATCCTGAACAGACAGACAGATAAACAAACGAACGACACTCACAAATATTAGTATACACAATTACTGCTGATTGTATTCTGTTGATTTTGTTGTAATTGTGTTCACGTCTTCATTAGCCCAGCAGAACGTACAGTAGGACGTTCATCCCCATTTCATTTCAATTGTGTTTGTTTTCTTTCTTTCCAGTTTTTCAAGAAAGTTCGATTTTGTGAAAATCATGTTATATCCTCCGCCTTCTATGTACAGTCGAACTATTTAATGATGGCGGATTACTACGACAGTGAAGGAGGTGAAGAGTCTCTTGTTTGACCTTAGATCCACAAGGTGTAGGGATATTATATATTTAGATTATGCATATTATGTAACGGGTATATATATATATTGATAAATGCAAATTAGTAGACGATGTACACCAATCATCATGTGTGTAAGATATAATTGAAAATAGCGAGTACCTTATTTAGTGCCTGTAGGCGTAGAGGATGATATATGTTGATTTATGCTAATGGCATACAAATGTATGCATTAATGATGTGATAGATGTATTTAGATTGACTTCATGATTCCATTTATTAAATGGCTCACATACAACATGGGACCTGCTTTCTCCTTATCTTCATATTTTAACACTTTATTTTTAAATGGAAATGTTGAAACATAATTTTTTTTAGAAAATCAGAATATGTTGAAATATCATTTTAAAATTATGAACTGTCATAATTTGATTGATTTTGAATGAAGAATTGGCTTAATGCTGCCTACTGGGCTGAAATCTTCTCCTAGCTTTGGACATGTGGACATATGTTGATCTCAGATTGTTCAATTGTATTGTGTCGTTAAACTCAGTAACTATTTGTCTGCTTAAGAAAAACAAGGGGACCCTACTCCCCATAAAATACAAGATTAAAGATATTTCTCAATACCTTAATTGTGAATAGGGTTATGTTAGTTTTGGTCTATTATAGCAGTTTACATATTGATAATGATTTGTTTTCATCGGGTCCCATGTTTGGTTTTTTTTTTTAAAAGATTTTACACAATATATAAAATATGTACAACTGTTTTATTGTTTTAAATTCTACAATCACAATGTATATATATAAAAGTTGTCATCTGTTGATTTATGTAAAAATCAAGTATTTATTTGTATATTAGAATCATATATTATATATAATGTTGATTTTTCAAGTATGTAGGAGTTTGAATTAGATTTATGTGTCATTGGTCTAACATTGGTCAAACATAAGCATTAAATAACAGTTGTATTGTTATTCCTTGTAGACTGGGGCTAGAGTATTTAATATAGATATACCATAAAAAAATTAGATGCATGTAAAGACAAGAACTTACATACAGTTCACCAATAGAATACATTTATTAGATATTTCAAACATTTATATATTTCATTATGTATGTACTTTTATTACTTGCTGGACGAGAACTGTACCTGTTTTTCGTGTAGTGTAGCATATTTTCCCTTCACATTTTATCCATCATTAAAATCTTAGATCTGAAATTAACCGAAGATACAAATCCAGAATTGATGGTTACGTACTTAAAAGAAAAGAGTTAATGTTGTGTCAGTTTGTTTCAGGGTGATTGCGTTTGGAGTTGAACACTATGGAGTGTCACATTATGAATACAAATTATCGTACAGGAGCCCAAATTTGCCGTTGTAGTCAAATAATCAGGACACAGGACTCTCGGCTACAATGTCTCGGGTTTGAATCCTGGTGTTGACTGGGAAGCTCGTTTAAGATTTTCACTTTTAGCGGTGGTGGTGGCTGACAAGTGTACCTAGTCGCAATCTAATTAAAATATAGATCTATATTTCGTTTCGTTTTTTATACTTTCGATGACCTACAGTACATGTAGATCTAACAAGTTATAGTGGGAGTTCACGTTCTATGACGTCAGGTACCAAGCAAGCGACATTTGACCCGATTACGTCTGTCATTCGATTAACCAATTAGCGACCGCCATGTATTTTTTATCTACTTTTGCTTTGTTTTGATTTCTATTGCCGCTAATGTCTACCTACAGTTCCGCGCAAAAAAGGTCAAACGCTCGATTCGACAGACCATTTGATTGGCTGACCCCTCATTTCAAGCAGAACACGAGTTAAATAACAACGCTTCCAGATCCAAGTGTAGTAAAGACAAGTAAAATCGAAATTTTGAACTATAAAAACGAAACGAAATTGGATCTGTGTTTTAATCAGATTGACCTAGTCGTTGAGAAAGTATGTAGAACCAAGATCTTTCCGTGTACATATCGGCACACACGTAAAAGAATCATTAACAGTTGGAAATAGCTTCAACCTAATTTCTGGGTCAGATTACCATATTTGATGATGAAGACATTATTCTGGAAATATCCAGCAAACAGATTGTATCAAATGTGACTATATATGTGTATAGTCATTCCATAGTTGTATAAACTCCAACAGTGATCCCCCTTTGACAAACCATTGCATATTGTCTCATAAAAAATGTGTTGACTTGTTTAGAAATACAACTTGTTGAATGTCCTATGTCTCGATTCTATTATCCATGACAAACAAAAAGATATGTTAAAATTATATCTTCAGCATAACATTTATTGAATTTAAAATGTGTTCAAATACAAAACACCAACATGTAAATAATTTGCACCGTTTTGAACACAAATCTTGCAGTGCTATATTTATTATTCATGTCCAGCTTCATATTGCATTTGAAAGATACGAGCATCTGTAAGTTTGTTGGCATTTTTTATGAAAGATCTGAACAGAACATATAGTGTGTGTCTGCACTTGTTCTAATACACTGTTTGATAAAAAAAAAATTGGACTGCAATTTACAGGGGTCTAATTCACGAAAAACTACAACTAAAATAATTTTAAGGATGCTGGCATTTCATTGGTTTTTAAAATTTGATTAGTCTATTGCTACTTTAAGCGTTGTAAATAATGTCAAAGGCATTCAATGCAGCATTTGTCTTTATTAAATCCTATGTGAATGTACCAATAGACAAGAATTAATTATATTTACTTGTGCAATGTAGGCTCTCTTGTATCAAGAAGAGGTATTGTATTATTACTATTACTATTATTAATAAATAACATATATTATGTGCTGCTTAAGAATTTACTGTAGGTATATTTAAAGGCATACAAGACTTAATGTTTTGACATGCAATGTATCTGTTAGTTTCATATTTGAAATATGTTGTACTTACAAATGGAGGGTGAATTGTCTCCCTTAGGCAGTTTTATTATCTCCCCTTTGGTCTTATTTGTGGCCCGACCTTAATAAAATCATCTTTTATTACTGAGAACACAATTATAAACTCGGATTAGGCTAATCCTGAGCTTAAACCCCTTTCTGTTATATAACACATATGCCATTGAATTATTTCCCCAGATATTTGGAACAGGAACTGAACCCAGTCGCTATTCATCTTGGGAGTCGTTCTTTGCAAAAAGCCAAAAGCTCCACCAATTCATGTACAATCGACATGATCGAAACTTGGCATGCTTGTTCATTGGACAATTGCCAGACTTTGATTTTTGATGACGTCACAATTATAAGATCGCATAGATGACATCACGCTCGGTTCCTGGTCCATAGTTTATGCTAATACTTGTTTTGTAATGAATTTTAAACTTTGCTAAAATATCTTTTCAACGAACTTGATCCTGTTAGCATATCATGTATACATGTATATATTATACTTATGCAATTTTTGATGCACTGTGCACAACTATGTTGATTTAGTACCGGTAACTATGGTAATTGTTGTATGATGTTATTATATAACTTTAGGCTATGCATTATCTGTACAGTGTTATTATATATTTGTCAGTAATTTCATGTTATTTGATGTAGTGTTGGATTGTGTCAGTGTCGTGCAGAGGTTTGGTGTTACCTGGGCCAGTTTCATGATTGTTTGCCTTCACGACTCTGGGTCAATTCCATGATTGTTTGCCTCCATGACTCTGGGCCAATTCCATAATTGTTTGCCTCCAAGACTGTGGGCCAATCCTATGATTGTTTGCCTCCAAGACTGTGGGCCAATCCCATGACTGTTTGCCTCAAAGACTTGTGTATATGGCCTAGTATACGAGAAAGGAAGACATCGTAAATATGTCAAAACAGATGAAACAAACTATTTATTCAAAAATAAGTAGTACAGCTTGTACAACAAAGTTAACAGCAATAATTTAAAAAAAAAAATTAATTTAATTTCACTGTTTAATTAGATGCCCCCTTGATATGGATGCCCTGGACAGTTGTCCTATCTGCATGTCACTGGTTGGTGATTTTCAACAACTGTAAATTATAGTATAACCACAGTTATCTTCTGTAAGTTATTTGTTTGTTGGCTTATTTGTTAAATTATACTAATAAACAAGGTTTTACACAAGCCCATTCTTAGTTACTTAAGTCTGTAAGTTTCAGTACGTCTGATTGGTGGAAGAACGTTTGTTTACAGCTTTTGACCAATCAGCATGATCAAACATATTTATGGCCTTATTTGGAGCTTTTCACATGTGACACTTTATTTATTAGTATATGTAAGTCTTAAAAGGAACTGATTATCGTATGGGGGTGGCGTTTAAGTATAACAGAGTCAACTTTCTATAATTGTGATCCATAAGGCAAATAATTCGATCCATAAAGCAGTGTTCTTTGGCTGCTTCATAAGTATCTCTAGGCATGTATATAATTTGTCAGCTGATAAAACTCGGAAGATTATTTCGGAAGTCCCAGTAATTTATTGGAATTTTGTCGAAGATAGATAGTTAACATTTAATTACCATAAATATTACTGTATTTATATATTTAAGACATTTTGCATGCCAAATACTTAGCCCAATTCCTAACCGTTAATGAAATGTTCCTAGTGTGTAAAGGTTATTACTAAGTGTTTTGTATACAAAAAGTCCAACACATAAACATAGAACCTTGACATTTATCGTAACTTAAAGTTTAACTATTAATCATCACAACCTATTACATATTCCTCAAGCAATGGTTACAGGCAGTATCAGCTCATTAACCAATAATGCTCATAACCATTGCTTCTGGAATGTATAATATCCTATTTAAACTACACTTAGCTTTGATTCCTAAAAATCCCATTTCAGCTAGTCTGTACAGAGAGGAAATCATTTAAGCTTGTGGGTTTTTTAGTTCTATTACAGCACATTAAAAATATTTATGCAAATTAGTACGGTATTTAGAATTGTTGATGGGTGTTGGAACAACATGGATAGTTTGATTAGATTGGCCACTTAGATAAATATTATAATATATGTAAATATTTATCAATGTTTGGTCATGGTAGTTAAGCATAATTTAGCAAACAACACTTTTTTTTAAATTATAAAAAAAGTTTATTATCCATAACATGCAGCAATTTCACAAATGTTTATGGAGATAGTGGTATATCAGGGAATTTTAATTATGGAAGGGAATCATGACCAAAATGTTAATTTCTATTACCTGTGTTTTCTCTAAAGACCCCTTTAGTTTGTGTCAGGTAGACGTTAAACCCCATTTCTCTCTGTCTCTGTTAATCTTTGAAGTCGAAGCATTAAGCTGCCATTCCCCATCACTATTTTTTAGCCAAATAAGATAGAAGTTTAGTTCTGGCCTCGATTTCTCTTCCATAATTTCACATAGGCTAATATTATAGATTAACTGTACATTAATTTGCTTGGGTTATTATTATAGATATATTTAAAGGAAGTTTATTTGTAATGAGTGAGTAGTATAACTCTTTTTATGTTGATGAATTGATTACCGTTGATTATTTTATTTTTACAAGTTTATCATTTATCCGTAGACAAAATACATAGATCTGAATCTATTCTGATTGTGTGTACACATTGGCATGCACACGAAAGATCCCTCAAAAGTTGGAATTCTATAAAAGAGTAGGCCGTAGCGTCACTGTGGCAAACTTTCCCTCAAAGCACAATGTATGCATATGTTCGTCTTCATTATCCCAGTCAGAGCAGAAAAGTAGGACATTAGACCCAATTTCATTTCTATTCTGATTGATGAAATAAAGTCACATGTTCATTTTGTCTATGTATAGCTAACTCATCCGGTTCACATCGGCTCAAATTCATTCTCCGGTTTGCTTTCTTAAAATCAAAGATAATTTTAAATGCTGTAAAAAGAAGTGTATCTTTCCCTCCCGTAAGATTTGGGTTTTTTGAGGGGGATGGGAAGATCTTTTGGTGATGCAAAAGTATTTAAGATATTTAATTATTCATATGTAAAGCTCAAAAACTGTTTTAATGTCATTTAATCATGTTTTAATGTCATTAAACCCAGCTCAGTCATTCTCACAATATTTAATATGTAAATTATTCCTATGGTTAAACTGGATCTGATTTGGGGTAAAAAAAGAAATGACTCAGAGGGCTAGTTCTCAAAATCCTGGATTATTAGATTTTAAATTTCTTATTACCTTGAAAATATTTGTTCTTTCATCTTCATCTCTTAACCCTTTGCATGTCCAAATTTAGCCCTATAAGACTTTCATGGTAACTAAAAACAATAAACCTGAGCATTAAAGTGTTAAAAGTACTTATAATAACAGACCCCTTGTAAATGATATGATAGGTTTCTGTATTAAACTTGTCTGCAATATCACAGATGCCTGTAACTTGGAAAATCTCTTTTAATATTTTAAGTACTGATAAAGAGTCTGTTTAAGATCAGTTAATTGCCCCTGAATTGGAGTCAGACCAGTTATTTAATAATCTCGCTCACTTATAATATAGTCACAGCTTAATATTAAAAGACATTTTCCATCTTACAGGTGTTTGTCTGCCATACGACTCTGTGTAACAGAGAACATGGCCGATGCAATCACAATCTATCTGTATTAACAGGAAGTTATTATTATTATTGTTTATTTTAATGTTGATTGATTATCGTCCGTTGATAATGTTAATGAGTTTATTTGTTGTGTATATTTTTATTTTGTTTATTTTTTGGTCTAGGATAATAAACACCATTACTACAAATATTAATCTGTCTTGTTATAAAAGGAAAGGGTCCAACGTTTCGAAAAAGATGGGGGTGGTGGAAGTGAGCCATTGCTAAATCTTATATTACCTATGATGGGTAAAAAGCGTGTACCGGTAAAGTCTTTAAAAGAACATCTTTGTGGACCAGGAACTGGTCCTTAAGCTATATTCAACAGACAATTATCCAATCAGGCCACAGTGTGTCGGCATGGGGGTTGCAAGGAGTTAAAAGCGGGGATCTGGACGAGTTATGAGCAAAGCGCCAAGTGAAGGCCAGAGCACCAGGTTAGCACAAGGGCTCTCAAAACACAAGTCTTGTAAATTATGTTTAGAAAAATAAAAGTATTATATGGAGTGTTGTCATACGAAACTAATAAGTGTATCAAGGTGTCAATCAGGGACTCTTCAGGCATCCTTAAGCTGTGATCGGGATCATTTGAATAATTTGTTGTGGGAAGAGGGTATGTTAGGCTTCTTCACGTCCACTGCCAAGTGAACTACTGTGAGTATGCACGTTAGTACGTATCAACGATAATACTGATATCATCAGTTTGAGTTGATAACAATCCAATTCCCATAGCTAATGTAGCAGCATGTTCTTGAAGCAACGAGTGTAAGTTTTACAATATCTGTAAGTTGCTAGAATACTTTGCAATTGCTGAACTTTTATCTACTTGCTCTCCCTTTACTGCAGACACGTGAACAGTAGCATCCAATCAGAAGTTTTGAAACTAACACATTCAAATCAACTATAAAGACCTCCATACAGAAACCTTTACATTGAACGAACCTTGAACTTGAACAACTCGATTATCACAGGTAGACATTTTAGCTGGAAAGCGCGAAACCAGATATTCGCGATGATCGAGGAATCTGATAGGCTCTCAAGCTGGGTGAATACTAGATAACAAACCTTAATCTCTCAACCCTCCAGTATATCTCAGCGTTTTTAGTTACGTTCTCGTAGCTAGGTGAATACCTAATCTAAATTAGTGCCGAAATATGAAGGGTATTACGTGAAGGCCTCGATAAGATGTACGGAGGTAAAGCGAGATCAAACCTTCTGTTGAAGATGAGATAGCAGTAGATGGCCAAGAAAATGAATGTAATTAGGTTTAACGTCCTATGAGGGAAATTTTTCCCGGATAGCGTCACTGTGACTTACTTATATTTCGTTGTTTTTTTTGTTTTGTTTTTTTTCTTGGGGGGGGGGGGGGCGTCCATTCCGAACGATTATACATTGTCCGTTGCAAGGCCCCCCGTCCTGCAACTCTAAGAAAGGGGAACCACGCCGGATAATGCCATCCCAAAGAACGGCATATATTGCTATATAACCCGGGTTCTGATTGAATTGTGGGTAAACCACTAGAAACATCAACGTTGATTGATTAATCAATGTCTGACGTCATAGGTCAAAAGCCATCGTGTGACCCCCGTCGCGGCCTTCCACTACTACCGGCGAGATCTTCATGTAGTGTAGGCCATCGAAAGTATAACCAACGAAACGAAATATAGATATGTATTTTAATCAGATTGAAAGGCTCTCATAACAAAACTAACAAACTTCTGACCCCGCCATAATTATTAGCCCAGTATAGGAGCAAAACAGTAGGACGTTAAATCCCATTTCATTTCATTTCGACACATTATTAATAGTGGATAATCCTCGACTCTTTCAGGCCTCTTGGCGCTAGATTATAATTTGTGTTGACTTGCCAAGACGAAAGCCTTGTTTTGGATTAGGTAGGTTGCACACACCTGAACAATTGAAATTTGTACAATTATAAAATAATATTAGTCCCCAATGTTAAATAATTTCTTTTGCACTTTGGTAGGACCAAAAACACAGTAACTTTTTATGTGGTCTGTTGACAGCGTAAATCCCCAAAATAACTGCCCATTAAAATAAATTTAATCATTATTTTAAGAACATATTTTGGGGCCACTTTGCTCGGCTTGACGGTTGAACATATCAACAAACAAATGCATCTATATCAGATTTCGACGAAATATTAAACCTTGATACATAAAATGTTATAAAACTTTACCTGCCTTCATTAGCCCAGTCGGAGCAGAACAGTAGGACGTTAAACCCCACTTCATTTATAATACTTTATAAGGTACAATCATCTGAATCATCATAATCTTTTATTTTATTACATTAGAAAATATTATGTAAAATCATTAGAAAACTTCAATGAAATGTTGTTTTGTTTTTTGTGGGGTTTTTTTCAACCTCACATTTTTTAACAATCCCATACTTAGGCTATCATTAACTGAAAATGTAGCCTTTGAGAAATAATTACAGCAAGGATTAGTTAATATACCATCAAATTTCTGCGCTGCACCTTGACAGCATACTCCTGGAATTGATTTCATGAATCCAAGTCGTTAGTCCCACTGAAATTTCAAGGGGAAATATTGTTTGATTTCGAAATGATTTGGACGGCACGTTACACCCGTTTCTGCATCATGGTTTATTCAGATCACCAGTTATACTGTAGATTGTTGCGTTACCGGCTCTACCTCCAAAACCTTACTTTTATTTTTGGTATTTTTACTACCAGTTACCTTTGCTGGGCTGTTAGCGGTGCCACGCTTTCTGGTCGTATCAATTTTGTTATCTGAGCGGGTTAAGTTAAGAACTGATCTCTGCCCACGGGCTAGGAAATGAATTATGTTCGAGCTGGCTAACAAATCTGCATCCGTATCTACTTCGGGCAATTCGTCAATATCACCAAGTTTAGTGCTGGTTGTCTCAGATTGCGTTTTAAAGGTCGACAACTCTATTTGAACTCCCTCTTCTTCGGCGCCTTCATCGATCATCTCTAAATCAAGCCTCGTCCCTGCAAATGCTTCTTTAGCTTGTTTGTCAACTTTTGAAAGTTTGCTGTTGTTCACAGGGCCCTGTTTCTGTTTTTCCTCAGTCCATTTTAATACTGAAATAGAATGAAACTCGAATGACCTGAATTTAATTAATGGGTTTAGAGACAGCAGGCATTCAAAAAAAAGGCTTTGAACAGTTATATTTGTAAACCTACTAAATGACAAAATAGTATCACGTGTTCTTGGAAGAGTAAGCATGTCCTGCTAGACCTACACCGTATGATTGGAATACCTTACTATGTTCTACTTACATTTTAATAGTGTTATTCTTTGGTCATCGGGTTTGTCATTAGTTGCTCCTGATAAAATAACATCATCATCAGGTGTATGGATGCTCTCCAGATATCGAATTTTTCGTCCTGCCTGCAAGAAAAATATGATATTATCAATTTTTATTGGCTTGTATAATAAAATCGCACATAAAAATGGAACTGGTGAGTGCATTATACTCTAAAAATCTATGAAACTATTAATGGTGATTTTCTAGGCTCGTATTTCACCATTAGTAAGGGAGACAACTTTAGCCTACTACTTACTCTATAAATAGAACCAGCTAGTAAACAGCAGGGTATGCAGGGGAGACAAGTCAGTATATTATTCCAGTCTAACACGTGATTAAAACTGGCGCCATTGGTAACACATATTCTTCCACCAACACAGATAAAATCTCGATTTAAGACGTTCAGTGCCCATTTTTCAACTGTCGGGCCATAATCAACCTATAAATATATAAAAACAGATATCGAAACCGGTTATAGTGCTGCACAGTAACGAACATTATCAGACACGCCGAGGATGTGGTTTATTGAATATATCAAAGTAGTAGTGGATTTGGTCCTTTTTCTATAATTAGATTTTATGGTTGATTGACAGATTACATACAACAAGAATTAAAATTCGAAGCATCCAAAATTATGATGAGTTGGTATAGTCGGATTATTGTATGGTCAGTGTGCAGGGACAAATTATGTGAGGTCGAACCAGACTGTAATCTACGACAATAGATACTTGAAAATAATGGTATGTGGATTCTGGCTATAAATGATAGGAAATGGTGTTTTAAGACTTGCATATGTCATCCATTGTGTTGTGAGGGATATTTTGTTCTGACAACGACGGTGCGGCCTACTCTGTCAAGGATATTTAACGTACTGTCAATTGTACACGTTTTTCATTTCATCCAAATGTTTAGACGCATCTCGGTTTGTACCACTGACTAGCAGAATTACAAATCCAAATAGTTTCCAATAGCATCATATTATCTTTCTTTACAACAAGAAAACTGACGACGCACCTCAAATGAGAACTGTTTTGATCTGTCGTCGTTACTACTACCTCGAACCTTTTTTAGTTTGTCTTTTAATAATTCTATACCACGTGATTTGTTGTTCACAAAAAGAACCATGGGAACTAGAAAAAATCAAATTAAATTATGAATATAAGAATTTTATTAAATGCCAAATGAAGAAACATACGGTAGGAGAGATATGGTTTCATACTGGTAATCTTTCTCTTCAGAAAAAAATCCCACCAAGGTAGGGTATGGTCACTTATAACAGGTGTAGGACGAGCACACAGAGCACTTGGTGCCTAATGTCCTCAAAAATGTTATCTACGGGTGATGGAATGACATTTCCCCTCAATATGCGATAGCAAGGATGTTTTAGACTTGGAACAGTGTAATATGCGTTTGCCTATTTATGTTTTCAAATTTGTATTACTACATAAGCTGAATAAACAACGTGGGGAATCCATAATGTTAAAAAGGAAATAGATATTTCCAAAGTAATAAATGATCTAGTATACAAGCATTTGTAAATTAGTGTAAACTTACTTTCTATAGAATCCGAGAAAGCTCGTCTTTCTATAAGTAAAACATACAAAAGACAGAATTGTGTCTCTAATTTCTCTAAAACATCATCTATATCTTCTACTGTATTACATGTAATTACCCTATAATTGATAAACATACATACTGGATTATATGGCTCTAGACACGGGACTTTCAGGAAACGATCACTTTTAGTCCAGGAGCTGGCAATTGTGATATTTGACCCAATCAGAAGTGGGTTAACCACTTAATTGACCACCCAGAAGGATTTATATTTTCATAAGTAATCTTCAGGGTCATTTAGACACCAGTGCCGTGGATGTACTCTAAAAGCAATTTCAGATGTAATGTGAACAGTGTCTTCTGGTGGTATCCCAAAAAAATATTACTGGAAGGCGGTGTAGGACATGAAGTTTAAGTTTGGACAGGTCAGGAAGGCAGTGCAGGTCTAAAATACGGAGGACAGGACGGCAGTCGGAGTTTGGAAGGTGTTGGAGGACAGGATGTTAACGGAAGTCTACAAGTCGATGGGAACGAGAAGGCAGTGGAGGTATGGAAGGCTTTCGAGGATTACCCCTCTTTCAACAAAACGCTCGCAACACCACTGGGAGACAGGTTTTATATAGGCTAAGACTATTCCCCAATCCCATTCAGATATAATAAATAAAATATTTTTTATCAAAAATAAAACCACTGATCGACAATAACCAGAGTGTTTCTTACCACATATTACAGAACTTATCAAGTTTACCACTGAGCTGAAGATCTGGATTGTGTGAAGGCATCATCATGGTCAGATATTTATCACCAACAACTCTATTTTCTCTACCATATAGATGGTTACACAGATCATTCGGGTATTCCTCGTACAGTTTCCACGGTGCTATATGAATAACCCGATCGTCTGTCTCCAAAGATTTTATTAACGGAAACTGTAGATCGGACGCCATTTTATTCTTTCTATCCGTTAGTTGCCCGCTTTCCAGTAGATTTGGCTTCCTTTCCTAAATTCAATTACAAAGTATGACTCGGATTGGCTATAGATATAGACCAGACACGACGCTGGGTTATTTTACTCTCTCCAAAACACCTGATAACACTTCTCAACAGGTAAAGTCACATAACTTAAACATTATTTGTTGTAGTCTACGTTTGTATTGCACAGTTAGTCCTACGATTATGATTTATCTAAGACAAAAACTATTAATCTGGCTCGATATGTAGACTTGTATATCTGATGTCCGCAAGAATATGTAGCATTTCAAAAATCCCCGAAAAACACTCTCTGTGAACTAATACACAGCACAGTCCATACTAATTTAGGTGTTCAACTAGTCATAAATCCGAAGTCTTATTGTGGTAATGTTTACCGTGTCTAAGGTACAATAGAAGCGTACTGCTTAGTGTTTACCTGAACGAGGTATTATTTCTAAATAAAAGAACAATATACAGGTAACACAGGTGTGTTTAACGTGTTCTATATGACATAATCACGCCAATCGTCATGTAGACCGTCTTTCTTTAGTTTCTGGTTGGTTGGTTTGCGTTTATTTATTGGCAGGTTTATTGTTCAATAAATACAGTAGATATACACAGTAAATATAACATGTATGTAATTATATACATTATAAATTATATCCCTCAGTAAACAGTTCAATTTGACCTCTTTAAAAGGCTGTGAGCTGAAAAGATAGCTTTTATTACCGAAACATTAAAGTTACACTTTCATATTTTCTAAGAAAGTCAAAACATAATTATTTCTATGTCTTTTGCTCAATAGGTTGTCAACTCACTATTATACGATCATTGGTTATCTTTCTCACACTTAAAAATCTTCACACCGGAAATAATAACACAATTACCTCCCTTGTTTTCCTATTCCCCACCATGGAATATATCTTCAAACGTTTGAATTTGAAGTTGGAAATGATATTTTTGCCAATTTCTCAACTGGCAATAGTGAATTGATAACGATAAGAGGATACTTGTCGAAACGTCGTGCTATTAGAATAAAACCAGTGATTGTTTCCCATAAAAATTGTTTTCTGTTAGTGAATTATAGGATTAATAGGATTATTCTTTAACAAAGTAGGACTGTTTATAGATACCATCTATTTTAGGGCTTTATTTTAATACATTTTATAAATATAACTTAAATATATGAAATTGTAACTTTAAGTCCTTTTCTTATGACTAGAGTGAAGTCGCTGGTAATTTGACAAATATTGTTAGTTAGGTATAAATTATATCTCAATCTCAATAGTCAACATTAAAGGTTCAATGTAACCTCTCTAAAAGGCTGTGAATAAATAGGTGCTGAAATAACAGCTGCTTCTAACAAAGAATCCGTTATGACATATTAGCGAGTCGCTGTTAATTTTGCAAAATTGGGCAGTTAATTGTGACAATTGACACCAAAGATTTCAGTCAAATAATGGGACGATTGATTGATCATCTCCTAGCGACCGCTTGTGACTGCTGTCTTAACCTCTTTGACCACCTCTGGGCGATATTTTTTCTAGTATTGTGACTATTGATAAGTGGTAGATTAAGGGGAGTAGTAACTGGGCTAAAGCGAGGAACTCCCCAAAATTTAGGGGGCCCTCAAATTAGTTAACAGAAAACAATACTTAAATACACCAGATGGATGCCATCTGTTAGAGCATATCGGAGTTTCTGTGTTCGCCCCCTGCGTTGGCCGAGACAGTTCATCGGATTTTCCGGTGTTCTTCTACAGTGCCAGGAAGGCCTATCAATGGACAATGTAGAGTCGTTCGAATGGGACAAAAAACAAGGTAAATTAACGTCCCTTGACCGTAGGAGTTCGAAATAAGATTAAAAACCCTACTCTGGAGGAATAACCCGTTACAGGTTTAAACAACCAGCGGCTGCCAGGCAGGATACGCCCACATTTTCGAGAGATGGATAGAGAACAAGCTAACAAGAAAGTGATTTTTCCTACAACCAAGGGCCATAATTCAGGAAATTACAATGCGATATGCGTGAATATCGACAGGAACCGAGATCTTTGGGTTATAAACTTACATTTCAAGTTTCAACAAAATCGGATAAAAATTGTGACCTCTATAGTGTCCACAACCTTGATATACCATACTTTTACGTTATTTGAGAACGAACGGCGGCCATTTTGTCTGTCAATTTTGGGCCGATTTTCACGAAATTCGAACTCATTCATCCTTAGGGTGTAACGGTGATATTATAATACGGTTTTTTTAAATCGGATAAAAATTATGACCTCTATAGGGTCCACAAGCTAAAAACGCGATTTTTCGTACAATCAGGGGCCATAATTCAGGAAGTTATGGTCCGATATGCGCGAATATCGAAAGGAATCAAGATCTTTGGGTTATATACTTACATTGCAAGTTTCAACAAAATCGGAAAAAAATTGTGACCTCTATAGTGTCCACAACCTTGATATACCATACTTTTACGTTATTTGAGAACGAACGGCGGCCATTTTGTCTGTCAATTTTGGGCCGATTTTCACGAAATTCGAACTCAGCCATCCTTAGGGTGTAACGGTGATATAATAATACGTTTTTTTTTAAATCGGATAAAAATTATGACCGCTATAGGGTCAACAAGCTAAAAACGTGATTTTTGGTACAATCAAGGGCCATAATTCAGGAAGTTACGGTCCGTTATGCGCGAATATCGAAAGGAACCGAGATCTTTGGATTATCAACTTAGATTTCAAGTTTCAACAAAATCGGATAACAATTGTGACCTCTATAGTGTCCACAACATTGATAGACCATATTTTTACGCTATTTAAGAACGAACGGCGGCCATTTTGTCTGTCAATTTCGGGCCGATTTTCACGAAATTCAAACTCAGCCATCCTTAGGGTGTAACGGTGATATACTTGAACGGTTTTTTAAATCGGATAAAAATTATGACCTCTATAGGGTCCACACGCTAAAAACACGATTTTTGGTACAATCAGGGGCCATAATTCAGGAAGTTTCGGTCCGAGATCTTTGGATTATCAACTTAGATTTCAAGTTTCAACAACATCGGATAAAAATTGTGACCTCTATAGTGTCCACAAGCTAAAAACGTGATTTTTCGTACAAACAGGGGCCATAATCCATGAAATTTCGATCCGATACATGCCAATATCGAAAGGAACCGAGATCTTTTGGAGATAAACCTATATTTCAAGTTTCGTCAAAATCGGATAAGAATTGTGACCTGTAGAGTGTCCACAAACAAATTGTGGACGAACGGACGTCCGGACGTCCGGACGGACAGGGGCGACGGCAGAAGAATAACCCCAAATTCCCCTGTATATATTCAAAGCCGCCCCGCCCGACTTTAAGACCGCAAGATTTGCCGTTATTGGTTTATAAGTTCACAAAACGTGAACTGTAGATTTTTCTACAGAAAACACTATAAAAAATTCTGTAAAATAATATAGTATTTTCCTATATAAATTTTAGAATAAATCTGTAGGAAAAATTATAGGATTTGCACTACAGAAACTGTAGAATATTTGGTGCCCGCAAAATTCTGTAGAATACTATAGAAATTGTGATAGCCCTGCCCTCCTACTCTTCTAGAATGTTCTATAGAAAACTACTGCACTTGTAACCTATAGGAATTGAGTCGACTCGTGCCATCGTTAAACAGATAACGGAGCCCAACACCACCGTTACATATATTTCGGCAAGTTAGCGACATGTTGAAGTTAACGGGGCTTCCAGCAACAGACTATCTCTCCGATAAAGGGAGATGCTAGTGGCCACTTTATATAAATGAGTATTTTGGGGAATACTAACCCTTTTTAGAAGACTGAACTTAGATCCAATTTACCCTTTACCCCACTTAAAAGGGTTAGGGTTAGTATTCTTCAAAATAATCATTTATATGAAGCGGCCATAGTGGACTCCTGAAATTCTCTTAAAGATAACAATCCGTTAAATCCATGTTAACGACTCGTTATAAGTTAACAAGGCTTTGAACAACCGGCATTAATTAGTAACTGAACTGGAAATACATAAGTCATTCTTTGGCTACTGTAAGTACGACGTTTCGACTAGAATTCTCTCTGTTCTATATCAGCAACCTAGCTCAGTAATGGTATTCCATAGAATCGTGACCTGTGTATTGTGTAGTTCCGAAGGTGTGCTACCCTGTCTAACATCGAACCGGTATGTTGACATATTCTGTACACAGAGATCCATCTACTTCATTCTTCGAGAATAGAATAGATCTCGGTCCTAAATGGCGGCCATATCCAAAAATGAGTATACTGTTTTGTAAAGATTAAATAAAACTTTTCAATTTTATTAAAATGGATGCAGAATAAATACTTAAACACATTATGCAAGAGCTAAATCTGTCTATTGCAGTAATAACTGAGCCGGACCTTAATCAACACTCGATGTCATCGTTACCCTACGATATTTAGTGGGTTTGAATACATTCTGTGACCGATAATGGATAATCGAGACTTTGTTTATTATCGTACCAACGTTAGTTATGATGACCGATGCTACCCTAAAATTAAATCGCTAATATCTCGGTTCTGAGTGAAGCAATTTGACTGAAATTTTCAGCATATTCTGTTTTTATTTTTTATTTTTTAACTATTATAACGAGAACTGTCAACTCTTACTTTAGTCTTACATGCCCATTTAACAAAATTCGATTTAGTACTTAAAATGTCGGTCAACTAGCTTAGTGTCTGTTCTCAAGTGGGGCTAACTACAGGTTAGTATGTTCTGGCCGGGTCATTTACGGTTACGAGCCGATTTGTCTTATTTGGGGATTTTATAAGCCATTCAAGACTGTGTGCTGTTTTCACTATATATTAACTGGTATATAAATTCATGGGTTATAATGTTTTTATATGTAATTATGATAATAGCCTGTATGTAAATGCCATTTATATTAGTCTATAAATAATGGGCTCTAATTACATCATTAAATGTCAACCATGTTCAATATAATCTTTTTGGGATTAAACGACTGGTCGGGCCACCTAATACAAGTTGTTAAAACATACGATTACTGTACCAGGTACATTTAAAATAATTTTGACCAAGAAATGAAATGATTTTTAACTTCGTACTTTTCTGTACCAACTAAGATACGGTCTAATTGTATTTCGAATTCCAAGTGACAAGGAATCTTTTATGTGCACACTAGACATGGGACCTCGCTTATTCGTCCCATCCAAACGACTAGACGCTGTTCTTTGAAAGACCTTCTGTCCTGCAACCAAGCCGGAAATCCCCGAAGAACTATCCCGACCAACATCGGGAACGAACCCGCGACATCCTGGTTAGCGTGCCAGTGATTTACTCACTGGGCCACCGCGGTTTTGACCAAGAAAGCAGTAAATATCTACTTTTTAACCAACGAATACAAAACTGTGGCGTGTGCGTAAAAGAACCAGATGGAATTGAATTTTGACAAAGAGCATGCGAAACTGTAAAAATCCCTCCCTGCGTAACCAGATAAAAAGTAACCGTATGTTGGTCTCAAAATGACCATAATACTGTGTTGACGAAATGTTAATTTCAAACCCATCCGAGTCATATCGCTTCTAAAATCCAGGTTCATGGAGTACATTAACTTTCTCTTTATAGAACAGTGGTGTCATTTCTCGCATTTCGATATATAAGTATATATACACGAATTCACCCTCTTCGATATTTATGCCATAAATCTTTATTATGAGTGTGTCGTTACACAGACTTGGTATGCCTCCCCTTTAAGGTGTTAATTTATTATAAATTGTGTGGGCTACATATTACAGCAATGATTGTTGTAGTGTTGTGGTTTGGATATGTATGTTTAATACTGAAAGTAATGGGACTATCGGAGGGGGAATGATTTCAGGTTAGATTGTTGTGGTCTGAATTGATCTTCTCATATTTCGTTTCTATTCTTTCTCTTAAACCTCTTCTTACTCACAAATTCTATTTTAACCTTTTTGTTTTGATATTTTGCAAAACTGTCACGCATGGTACTGTCACGCATGGTACTGTGTTAAAATGGTACCACATTGCTAAATGCGACATTTTATAGGTTTGCTATTGCAGTTGCAGTTACTTTATCCACAATAAGACTTTGTATTTTGACTACTGGTTTCAGGAACGATGGTTGCTTGATTAAAACGACATTTTAGTACCTAATTATTACACTAATGTCCTAACACCACGCCAATTTCATTTATTAATTGTATGTGCACTATCTGTACTGTCGAGTAAGAATATTTGCATATTCCATTTTTCCCCTTTTTCCGCCCATATCTTATGTTATTCCACTGTTTTACGCATTCTTATAGTTCACTTATATATTACTATTTCGGATCCTTTAGAATCTCTTTACTTATTCAATGCCAAGGTCGTGTCGATGATGCAGCCGCAACAGTACTAAGAATGTCTCCATACTAATATGACTGTACGAACTTCTGACATCTTGTGGTCTACAAAAAGTATGCATACGCATTCTCATGCATGAACGTAAGAAATAAGCTAGTTTATGAATTTACACTAATTTAGCTGCATTGGGTTTCATGGAGAAGGCCCTCAAGTTCAAACGGTTGTTCCATCTGCTCCAGACAATATGGTCTCAATCTTCAACGAACCCGGTATTACGGGGTATATCATATCAATTTCAAAATGGACCACGTTAAAATTATTATAAATTAGAATCAGGTCCGGTGGGGTTATCGGGACTTGTTTTTAGAAAAAAAATCCAAATTCTGACTGCCGGAAACACCATTTCCTACGCTCTGTAAAGAACTTGGTAGGTTCATTGTGCTTGATAGCGATAAAATGAAAGTTATCGAAGCATCGTGCTTTTAGTTTTAGAATAAAAATGCGTTCTGTTAATGTGTTTCCCAATCGCTAAATGCCACTTAATGATTATTATTTATTTTGAACATTGGTCAAATGATTGTTGATGGCGCCCCTGCTCAGTTTCCTCGTGCAATCCTCTCACGATTTCAGCACGATTTCAGAATTTCAAAGCACGGGTGTTTTATCCCAAGGCACGCCCTTTGCATGTATGCACGCTAAAATAGACTCTATCATTAACGCTAATATTTGAACTTTCATAAAATTACAATATAATATACAATTATTCCATAACTCTAATCCATATTTCAGGTTGTTAGTAAAGGAGAATGTCAGCAGCTGTAAATGTTCTGGATTTAAACGAAGTTTTACGTCGCTTTGCATGGAACAGGCTCTACACAAAATCCAATTTCGTTAAGAAACTACTTCTAGAAGAAAAGGATTATTATGTAGACGTGGACTGGAAAGGTGTTACTGTAGATCATAACATCCAGAGACTTTCTCTTAGACCTTCAAACCGGACATACGACACCCCGTTCGGTAAAATCAACGCCGGTTCTCGTTGGATTTCTCTCTTCACATGTGATTTCGAAAACCAATCTGATTCAAAGCAGTCACATAATTTTTGTGGAAAACGTGAGACAACCACGTGGGTAGGCGTTGATTTAAAAACTTGCTACACGATAGCTAAAGATGTGAACATTTCCATCAACCTTCCGAGTCAATTTTCCAAATATAGAGCTGGGCGAGACAATGGAGTCAGTGTTAGTAAGGTTAAGGGAGAAGTTTTTAAAGAAATCATAACATGGGAAGTCAACTCGCACGTGGACGTTAGGCCTGGATGGCGCGCGGTGGCAGAGTTATTGGCCATGGAAGAAAGTCACGTGATGGATTTCGAGATTACGACTAGTCTTTTTGTGCCACGTGGGAAAGTTCCGATTTGGTTTCGACGACGTTCTGATGATCGGATCAGCCACTTAGTTGAATTAGACTCTGAAGATTTTACAACTGCTTTTAGAAATAAAAATGTCGGTGGTGTTTTAGAGGATGACGAGTGTCGGTTGGTTACTATTTTAAAGGAAATGGTCATAGAGCAGACGGGAGAAGAATCAAACTTCACCTGCTTGCAGTTTACAACTACCGGCTCTTCCGCCATGGTGGCTTGGTCTGACCAGAAAGTGGACATTAGAACAGAACCTATGGATGTTATTGACGAAGAAATGTCTAGAACTGTTTAATTTATTTATTAATTATCTTCCATGAATGTTATGTAGATTTTTTTAACTGGGAAGTCGTCGACGGCTGTAAATGATTTTATATATGTAGACTATATTGACTCTTTTTTTCGTCTGACTACAAATTAATCAAGAAGATCTCTAAAACTAGTTGCATCTTCTCAGGTCTAATTTCTTTCAGAGAAAAATCATTTTATGTTTTAAATGATTCGAAGAAATGCTCATCGTTAACCGGCGAACCGAAGCAAACATATTTGCGGTATTATATACCGATCTCCACTGTTACGTGAGATCTACGGGGGGCATGGACAGGGGCATGAATATACGGAATCGGAGAAATTGAGATCCGAATGATGGAATAAGTGGACTCGGTCACAAAATGAATAGAAGTAAATATATTTCGAATTGCTATTAACTACAAATATGGAAAAAACCTTAATAAAAGTAACTATGTTTTGTATTTTTAATCTTTTTTTTTCATTAAAATTGTGTCTTGCCGACAGTTCAATTTCTCATATACTCCTATTCAAGTGCGAACAGCCTTTTGATTATGTACTTTTATAGTTTCATTTTCGTTAAAAAATATTGTTAATTATTTATAAATAGAGTCTATTATAGTTGTTTTTAAAATGGCAATAAAATTATACTTGTTTTAATAGTTTCTCCACTTTCTAGCTTTAACGGAATATGATTTTTAAAAACCAACAAGATTATCAGTGTGGTATATTCTAAAGCATGTATCTAAACCTCTGATTTAGTTTAAACTATTGAACTTGGTTAATCTGGTGAGTTTGAAATGGGACAAGGTCTATTCGAACAAATGTTTGATTTGAAACATTTTAAGTGAAAGTCTGCTCACTGCTTGTGCACTAAGTTTAGTTTAACGTTTGCCTAATGCTTATCATATACTGTGTCGACAGTGGAGCCCACAGTCGTTTATTATTTCAACATTTCCAAGGAAAACGGATTGCTATCCCAGAAAATAAACTACACATAAAATCAAATGAAATTAATTTTTAAATCATATTCAATTGGGTGTCATTTTAATGATTTAATTTCGTTGAATGTCATTTAATCACTGAATATCCATCACTACAGTAGAAACCGTGATCTCACATTAGACTGGAAATTGCCAGTTAGTAAAGTTAGCTGACTTATTTAAGGGAGACAACTGTTTAGTCACAAATAAATTAAACTTTGTAGTTTCAGATTTGTAGTTTACAAGTTGTATAATATAGTTTGAAACTGGTGACTATTCTCTGTGATATATCAATCATATTATTTATGTCAATCAGTGGCGTGATTTGTTTTGTAATAGCGTTCGTTTGTTTTGGACAGGGGGAGATAATCCTACACGTGTCTATTAAATAATTTACTCGTTTTTGGAATAGATAACATGTCTGCGAGGTTCCAGTTTAGAGTTTTGTGGTCAAGAGCAATAACTCATAATCATGTAATTGATTACACAAGGGATCAATTAATACGTTGACATGATACAATTGTGCCAAAACACCGCTTTTAAAAATCGTACCAATAACCTAAGAATTATTAAAATTTGTCTCTCGCCCATTTCCTAAAAAAACACAAAACAATGTCAAGTGCAGTGCTTACAATATTCATATACAATAAATACAGAAACAACTAATACAAAAAAACACCACAGCAAAACCATTTACAACTGCATACGAATTTAGTTTTATCATATCTTATGGTGTGGGGGTCTGTGTATAAAAATACCTTGGCATGGTCTGTTTAATAAATGATCAATGCTTCGAGGCTTCATGCGGGTGAAAAGTGTGAGGGGGTATTTTAGACAGATGAAGCCATTTGTGCCGAGGTGCTAATTTACGGTCCATTAACCAATAATTGTTTTTCGGCAGTGATCTTCTAAAGCGGTCTATTTTTGTTACCTGACCGTTCCAGATTCAAATCAACGAATGGTTAGAACCAAACCTTTTCGCCCTATACTTTTTTTTTCAAGTTCCCGTTGAATATTATAGGCTAATCCCGTAGGCATGTCTGGGTAGCCTATATAATTTGTCATTTTTCACAATCCCAAAACATTAATATACCTTTTGAATTTAACCCTATCATTGTTGTTCGCCGATTTATCATGCAGACGTATCTATAGGCTAATTGAATCTGTGATTTCTTATGCTTTTAATTCAGGTGAATAAAGCATTCTCATCGAAATGAAAGTAGGCTTCTACCCTCTGTGAATTATTGCGAGACTAAGGCTATTATGTGCGACACACCCAGTCCATTATTCATTTAAGGGTGTTACCTATTAAATCCCAATTCAATTCAGTTTATTCAACTTGAACAATAATAGTTTCATTCCTATATGTAGGTCTAATACCGGCACATACATTGAGCAAACATGTAAAACAAATACAAAGAACAGAACGGAATGGAATATATATCTATATATAGCCTAGGCCCTAATTCGGTAAGTTAAAAAAAACGTGGTAAATTCTATGATCCATGTGTGCAATGCGCCTTTCACTGCCTACTTTTCTCCGATTTTTAATTGTCAAGGGGTCTTTTAGTAACCTGCACGCCAATGTGTATCGGCCCCTATTTACATCGATCGCCCCCGTTTTTTGTACTAGAGGTATGGATAGGTAATGGTGATTGCCGAATTGAGTCACTTAAAAATTTTATTAGACCTTATTTTAGACTGAAATATATAAATTAAGGAGATTATGTCACCGCCTATGTAACTACTTTTACTTTACATTTCAAGAAACGGAAGTCAACCCAAATGCATTGTGGGCATGTTGGCAAGGAAAATATTATGGCGGACGAAATGCGTGTTTATATCGCGAGTTCTGAACTAAATGCCAATTACTTCTTGTCATTGTAAATCAAAATTGAACAAAGGGCACTGATTAAATCTTAGAACAATAATACATCGATTTGTGCTAATTATTACGAAATTGTCGGATACAAACCTGTTTGGTTTGAAAGGTAAGTTTGAAATTGTTGAAATGAAAGTGCAGGCAGTGAACTTGTGAACGCGAAGATTCTTTCACTGTTTATCGATATTGACGGTCGTGGTTGGAGTTATTTATTGTTGCCTTCATTTCAATCTTTCTGTTACGAATGTTGTATTTTGACATGCGCAAATTTTTTCTTTCATCATGAAGTGATGAGAGCCGAATCATCTGTAAATCAAATCTAAATGTGAAGAGTAGGCCTAAAAACAAAACAACAAACGCAAACCAAAATAAACTGTCAGAATAGGAATAGGTTAAAAATTAATTATATTTTGTAGACAAGTATAAAGCTCTATTGCTTGCAATTTTAAAATGAAAGTGTTCTGATCTTGCAGCCTTTAAAATATAAAGTTTTTAAATTTGGATACACGAGAAAAGATCTTGTAAAGTATACCTTTTTTTAGGACTTTCCCTTGGCTTTAAACAAAATACAAAGGAGATGCTAATTAGATATTGTGCCAATAACAGATTTGTCCACCAATATTACCGAGCGTAGTTGGTATGTGTAAGACGTAGCTCTGTTCGAGAAAAAACTGGTTCAGACAGATTTGAAATTGCTCCAAATTTGACCAAGGCAGTGAGTAATATTAATTACGGTACATAAATGTATAACTTATTGCAATCCTGTTACATGACAGGGATACATATTTCGACATTTTGCCACCTTTGAATACATTGTGTAAGCTTATAAATTACCGGTATATTAATATTAAGCATTAATTGATCATAAAAATCAGATTTCTGGTAGCTAACTATTAAATACCGGTACTTTTATGTTAAAATTGTATGATGAATAAATTTGGATAAAAGAAAATATGCTAATATTGCTAAACTTATTCAGTGGATGAAAATGAAAAACAAAAAGGAATATATTATCAAATCTACATGTGTATCTTATCTGTACAGTTTTGTTTGTGTAAGTGATTGAAATGTGTTTGTACATCTGTCAAGATTTTATTGAATTATTGTTTTAATATGAACTGATCAAATAATCATTGCTTTTGTAATCAATAGACTGCTAGCTAGCTATAGTCTTGCCTATAGGTTGTGGTGTTAGTGTCAATATACATGTATAAAACTATTAATGTTTAATAAGAAGACATGTATTGGATTTATTCCTAACATGCATAGACACCAATTAATCTAAGGCAGGTCAATAACCTTAATATAGTAGTCCTGTGTAATTTATTAATACTTTCCCAATGTTGGGGTGCTTCTATTTAAATGTTTGGACTTGCATAAATTATATAAAATCAAGTTTTATTTTAAAGAATGTTATAATTATTACTTAGTAGAAAGATTAAAAGATCATAATTAAAATGATTGGGCCTAATAAATAAATTTTATTTTATTTTTCCATCAGTCTGTGTAAGATTATGGATGACTAAATAAAAGTTAGAAATTGTTATTAAGTGCCACCTTGTGTTTTACTGATTGCATGTCTTTTCAAAGGAATAAGTTAATCAGCTTCCTAGTAAGATGAGAAACAATATTACCAGTAGATTTTATCAAGTCATATCTGTAAAGTAGAGCAGTATAAATTATTGTACGGATTAAACTAAAGCTTATAAAGCTGTGTACATTATAGAACAAAAACCAATCTAAATATACATGTACAACACACAGTACACATTCTTAACATTCTTCATTCAATACATTGGGTTTTTATATGGATTTAAATTTCATTATATAAGCTCATATATAAAAGATAAAAATGATCTGCCAATATTATATTGATCAAAGTGTTTTGTATAAATATTTAGAATTACTTTAAAACATAGATAACAAAACTAGAGTGGCTTTTTTTTAAAAGTTAAGTTGACAAGGATTCAGGAATCAACATTATCGTGATCGTGACTTGAATGTCAATTATGTTGAATATTATTGTAGTCCATAGTCCATGGTATGTGATTATGTAACAGGATGTACTGAGGTTGACTGCCTATCATCTAGACTTCACAATAATACTTGAATTCAAATAGTTTTTCAAGTCTAAATTTTTATGAATTGAATTTTTAGTATATAATATTATGTTACTCATTTACTGATTCATTGTCAGTTAAAATTAATGAAATATTTACTATATGTTTGTAAGTTACATGTATATCCCAAAATAAACAACAGATGAAGGAAATTTATTAATTTGAAAGATTAATAGTTTCAAGATCTGAAAATAGACCAAAAACAGCCAAAACATGATCATTTCTATTAAATTAAAGATGCATTATGTACATGTAAGAGCTAAATCTGCCTATTATTACAGATCTTTATTTTGGCTTCGAAGGTTATAAACTATTATTTAAACATTTATTCACATGACAAGCCTATAATCAGCTCACTAGGCCATCAGATGGCCAAGATTCAAATGGATTAGAACACCCGCAAGATTTTAAAATTTATTAATAATAAATTGGATAATCGAGACAGAATCAATTGTCAAGTACCATTGCTATGATAATGAACAATCTACTGTAGATCTTGTCAAACCTACACTTTTAACTTCGCTTAGAATAATGTCATTCAAATGGAATTTTTAATATTCATTTTTCATTATCTATTTTTGAATTATTATAGCAAGAACGACCAGCTCTACATGTATATCTCTATCTTATAATAGTTATATTAGTTATCATATATAATAGTTATCATATGCTTTGAAACACCCAATAAACAGATCTTTAAGAGAAGCTCCACCTTTTGAATTAGGTAAAAAAAAAACCCAACAAAGTATTGAGTTGGGTTGATCTGATGTTTTATTTTGATTTTGTTTCGGATGTCAGTCTGTTTACTTAATTTGGTTTCATTTTTGGCTCACTGTGTCAACAGTGGCACTCAAAATGAAATCAACTCGTAATATACAATGAAAGCTATAATTTTTGACACAGATCAAAGAGGATTAATAGATATTTTAGATATCAAAAATGCTAATAGTTTTCATTTGATAGTTATTTCAAGAATCCTTTAAACAGTTGGAATTCGATGAAGAGTAAATGGAAATGGTGTGCCTGTCTTCATTATCCCCAGTTGGTGCGAAAGAGTAGGACGTTAAACTTCTTCCTTTAATTATGATGAATAATTCTTGCCAGATTCTTTCTGTCATAGCACTCTTAGTATACCTGTCTTCATTAGTTAAATTTAATTTCTGACCGGATTTGCTTGATTTTTTGTGCTCATTTTTTTGATAGGTGATTTTTTCTGTAAGTGAAATATTTGAGAGAAATTTTAATTTGTTTGATATTGGACAATAAATACACAATTTTAATTTGTTTGATATTGGACAATAAATACACAATTGGTAAAAGATCATTAGATTTGTAGTTTTATGAGAACAAGCAAAATTGAGTTCTATAATCCATGTGTGGACTTAAATAAAACCAACATTCTTGGTGGTAGATAAAATCCCTTCTTCAGACAATTAATCATACTAGGATTAGGATCAGTTTTAAGGGGTCAAAGTTGAATCTATATGGGTTTATAAGTTGATAGGATTAGGTTTACTTTAGTACATGATAAAACATGATTTATTTTTTCTATCTGGTTGACCAGTTAGTCAATATTTCTATCTTATCTACCTGTACCTGTTGGTCACACCAGGTAAATACAGGTAAATATTTTACTGTTTGTAATAAATTCTACTCTTGACTTGGGTTTTGTAGTCTAGAAATTTCGACCCAAAATAAAAATAGTTATGATTAAAGCTATTTTCTTTGATGACATTGACAATCTCTTTAAATAGTTTTGGGTGTTAATCTTCAAATTTTATGTGTAAAATGAAATATAAGTTTTATGTAGTCTGTGAATTTCGATCAAAAATAAAATAGAGTAGACATTAGAGACTATTTCTTGGATGACAATTTCTTTAATTCGTTTTTGGGTGTTGATATTCAAATCTTATGGTTGGGATTGGATGTCATAAGGTCTGTCATTGAGTCAACTGGCGTGGTTTCGTTTCCCCAGTTGTATGTGACAAGGAGTAGGGTCGCCTGTCCAACCTCGTGGGTTTCCTCCCACTGCTAAAGATCCCTACGAGCAAGTGAATTATTGAAAAAAAATCAACCATATGTTAGTCCAGAAATGACCTTGTTTGTGTCGAGTGGATGTTAAACCCATCTCTCTCTCTCTCATGTGCAAAATGATATATTGCAATGGCAGTGGCATTAATTGTTAGTTTGAAATACAAGACCTTAATTTCCTTTCCACTAGACAGCTGGAGCTGCATAACGATAGTTGACATACAACTAAATGTTAAATAACCTGGGGTTAAGGCCCTAGAGTTTAAATTCTGTAAAATAGGTCCTATTCTATCTGTTGCTAATAGAAGCTAACTGGTTATTGTCGGGGTTGAAAGTTAAGAACTTCTATGGTCAACAGCTGAGGCCAAAATGCAGTGTAGTCTGAGATAGGATTCCATTGCTGTCTTGCCCTGCCCACTCTCCACCACTGAAATAAATTATGGTGTACTGCTCAAAATAACAATATCAATATTATGTCACACTTTTTTGGTGGGGATTTTTTTTCCTGGTGTTAAAATGGGGTGGAGTTTAGTCGCAGATATCATAAAAAAAACCCCAAATTGTTTGCTAATTCATTACTAATTATGTTGCGGTACCAATATAAGTATGGCGTGTTTAACTATTGTATTTCTGCACGTACAGACTTAAAATCTAGTTTATTATAATAGATATTGATTCAAATTCCTCTTCTTAGTCTTATCCAGTCGTGCCTTCACTTATTCGCTATTTAATGATCATACACGTACTGTATCTTCATTCATGAGCAGATCATCTTATCTAGACAGAGAAGTTGTTTGGTATGAAATCAATAGAAAGGATTTAATGTGTTTACAGCTTTAGGTAACAACAGACTTTTGTGAATTATTTTCGATATAAAGAGTTGTTTTGATAAAATAGCCAAACAGCTTTTAAATCATTAGCAAGCCTGTAAATAGTGATTTTACTTGCACCTGACAAAATGTCAGACACTACTGAACTATAGTACCAGATATTTTTAACTTTGTGCCAGACATTTATTAAAAACTAGCAATTGACCCAGCACTGCACGGTTGTGCCCTTAACTCGTAAACCGGAAGTGGTAAGCCATCGCCATGGTGCCTATATTACTCCCTGTCCCGAGCTACCCCTATACACCAAATTTCAGCCTTGGGATAACCCTAGATCAACCAACCCTGAACAGATAGACGATAGTCACAAATATTAGTATAGATAATAGATATCAATAATAAAAACAAATCAGGGCCAGACCTAATGACAGGCACCAGCAGGATTGTGTCTGACAGAGCTTGTATTCGTGCCTGACATTGTCTGTGACTAGTGGCTGGTAGTGCCTTCCAGACTTGTTTATAAATATAACTTAAGTTGGCTTATGTCACCTGTATGGCATGTAAAAACTAGTTTCAACTTGAGGCAATTTGTGAGTGGCGAGAATCAAGAAAAATTGATCAGTAGGAACAATACTTAGTGCTTCTGAAACAAGTTTTTAACCCTCCCAAACTAGTCTCTGGACAGTAAAGTGAGACAGCTTTTACCCTGCATTTTCCACCAGTTGACATGAATTCATCTACAACTGTCAAGTTAAGCACACATGCCAATCATGTGATACTATTGCAAAATGGGAAACCAACTTGGTTAATTGTCTGTAGTTTTTAATTTCAAATATTATGGAAAATATTGAGTTAAGAGACTTAGCTGCTATAAACAGGCTCTACAATAATGTTATTGTAGAATTAATTGGGTTTATTGAATAAATTCTGTCTGATAATATGTTGTCACAAGGTAGAAAGATGACACGTTATAGACATTAAAGATAAATTGCCACGAAAGTATTTATTGGGTATTTACATGTATTTCCAAGAAAAATATTGTGTATTTTTAGTATGTATGAAATGAAGAAATTTTTGTAAATGGTACAAGTTGAAAATTGGTTGAGAGCGATTTGAAGAAAACTTTTGATAGATAAATTTGTTTGAATATGTTTTTAGTCCAATATATGATTATATGACATATTTAATCTATAAAATGTATAGCGATTTAACGTTAGTTCATTTACATTTACAACCATGAAACCATATGTCTACATAGTTTAGTAGAGTGGGATATTATATGGACTATCGCCTGTTTTAATTGGATTAAATAATTTTCCTACTCCTTCTATTTACAGGCACCCACCATATTATACATGTATCCGGTTGCTGACAGATTGTTTCCATTACATAGCAATTAAACAGATGGTCATCACTGAGTACTGTAGACTTGATCAGATTATAGAAGCAGATATTTTTCATTGTAACATGTTGTGATCACTGATTTATACCATCACAGAGACTGGATAAACATACCTAATAGTACTGTTTTAGTAGATCGGATTATTAAGTTCCATGTACAATGCATGTTTTGACTTGTGAATACCCAATTGGTCCTAGTTTGACCTATGAACTGTGAGAGTGATGTATTTCCAGTGTGATGAGTGATTGTGTATCAGGGTTATGTAATGAACAAATACGAAATTTTGGGAGTTGTGGGTGAAGGTAAGGTGTAAAATTTATAAATTTCAATTTAGTAACTAAATTTATTTTTCCATTATGGGTACATAACTTAAAAACCATGTTGGCAGAGATATACAGCTGAATTCCTAGGTTTAGAGTTAATTAGAATGAAAATATTCTACGCTATCTGTACATGTAGGTTAAAATTTAAATTTTTGACGGAAGCTTATTTTGTTCAGCAAGATATTTTTGGCATTGTCCCAATTTGTTGAAATGTTTTGCATATTAAGACTATAAATCTGACGGCATGTATTACGATTAAATTCTTTGAAATTCTAGTTATGTGGCATGCAAAATTGAATGATGGGTAAGCTCTGTCGGTCAATTTTACAGCAAGTCATTCCAGACGGTTAAATATGTTAGAAACAAGAGCCCATGTACCAGATCACCAAGTACTAGTGACTGTTGCTTATATGTACATGTATGTACATAAACAATATGTAGATGGATAGAAAACAGTAAACTTTTCTGAAGCTGTGTAGTGAATAGGTATACTCCGATAGACTCACTGTTTTTCTTTAAAACATTTATAAATACATTACTATGAATGGTTATATTTTATATTTTAGGGGCCTATGGTGTTGTCTTAAAGTGTAGACATCGGGTAAGTTAATACATTTAGTTTTATAAAACTTATAAATGATCAGGTTTCTTTCCAAAACATAAAATTCCCATATTATACGTGTACTTGATATAAGGGTAAATTAATCCTTACAATTATAGTTAGTATGAATTTCAAAAACGGTTTGAACAAAAAAGTCAAATGTCAGTTTCTGAAATAGAGCTCTTCAGAATTAGTTTAATTTATATATTTTTTCTATTATAACGTGGTTAACCCAGCATAACCATGCTCGGGAAGTAGCATAACTCCAAAACCGAAAGTGGTAGTCCATCACCACCTAGCCTATCTTACTCACCGGTCCGAGCTACCCCTATACACCAACTTTCAGATGGACAAATGACCGTCACAAATATTAGTATAGAATAGATGTACCACTTATGGACTAGAACTAAGTATAATGTCATAGTAGCCATCTTGGAATTGTGACATCGTATCAAAAATGGATGATCGTACTTGAATGGGTGATGATGAGTAGAGCTCAGGGCCCATTTCCTTGTCTAAAAATTTAAGTCTTACAATGTAGTTGGTAATTTTGTTCTGCAAATTTTGAATTCTAGTTCTCACACGTCATTATACATGTCATTAACATCATTCAAATTTTCTGGTTTATTTTCTAATTAATATTTAAAATTCAAATATATTTAGTAAATACCAGTATGTTCATCATTTAATTATTGTTTTCTTTAGTATTTATTATTTAATGTGTTTTGATAAACGATCTACAAATTTTAAAATAAAATTTAACACTTGGCACGATCTGCATGAGGTTGGTATGGCGACGTGCTATTAATGTTCTGTTTGATTGATGAGGTTGATCAAAGTAAATGATGAAAAAGAATGTATATCATTTATTTAGGATCCGGATCATGTTCAGATCATAAATAGATTTGTTGTATTGTGTAACACATGTTTTCAATTGAAACATACTGTATGATCCTGTTTGAATTATGCACTAATTAAACATGTCATTGGGTTTATATACATAAAATTTTATCAATTATTTTGAATATCAGTATTGAACTGGTATTGAAATGGCGAGGTGTTGTGCGTGTGATAGTTATTCTACAGCTTGTTCTTCTTTCAAAGAAAATACAATGTTGATATATCGTCTATTTAATTAGAAATCTTATGCATTAAAACTTTGAATAATGGTACTGCTTTGTACTGATTATACGCCCAAACACCCATTGTGTTACTATTTGTAAAAATGGGTTTCCTCTCTTTTTTGTTACACTCGTCTAACACAGACTGTCATTGATGCAAGTGTAATGATTTCAGTCCCATGCTTGTTTGTGGCGAACGGCCGAGCACGAGAACCCTTGACATTTGGAATTCCATATAAGAGTAGGCCGTAGCACACTATCGAGTATGCTTGTCTTCATTAGCAAACATGCAGAACAGTAGGATGTTAAACCCCATTTAATTTTATTTATCATCCAGACTGATCAAGATGGGGAGATTTATAGAGCAAGAATTGATTTTATATTTGATTTTAATGCACTAAAAATCAAAAATAAAATAGAATTTATCGAGCGTAAAATATTTTTGAGGTTGATATAAATTCTAAAGCATGAATACAGAAGTGATATTAAATGGAAGTAGGGTTTGGTTAGTGATGTGGTGGTATTTGTAAAAAACGTGATTAAATATTAACGTTAGGATGAAGAAGTGAAGAGAATCTAGTGATATTGATAAAGTAGCAATCCAAAGTTCGATGAGATCAATATGTTTGTTTATCTCGACAACCACATCAGTCTACTCATCTGCCATCTTGTTTCATATAAATGTTATCACCGTTAATCAGCCAAGTCTGGAATTAGGCCACCTGTCATGGAGAATGTGAGGCAAAAATTCAGTCCATTTGTTTTTTTACACATCTAGCATAAAGGTTTTGATAAAATTACAATAGTGTTTGACATTTTTTCGGATACAACAAAACTCATTATTTCCCGAACGTTTTAAGGATCCCCTCTTAACTCTTTCAATTCCCAGGCCTATTTAAAAAAATTAGATGTAAATTCCCTGAGTTTGGGTTGGGTTTTTTTTTCGACCTTCTGTATATAAAATTCAAGTTAACTCTCATATTCAACAGAAGATAGTCTTCCACGCTATATTGTATCAGAATCGGTTAATAAATCGGCTACATCTTTTCATAGAGAGATAATCCTCTTTGCCTTTCGCAGCCATCTTCACTGAACAATAGAACTTGTCAACAATGCACAATTGAAAATCTCAAGTGACGTTGATGTTATAAACAAGCTACGTGGGAATGACATCAACGGTACACAATGCCGTATTTACTAGCAGACACTCCAAGTTGTCTGTAGACTGAACTATGACACCGGTGGAGCAGCTATGCCATCTACATTGAGCTTGTGGAATTAGGCCGTATATCTACGATCTTGCCAATTTTAGATCGTAAATGTACGATCTTGGCAGTAACAGAGTAAATTCATTAATTTCAATGTTGATGTTTATTTGTTAATTTTTCCCAATCACTACGATGTTAAGTGTCTATAAGACCACATGTAGCCATATCAATGTCGACATTCTTAATTTTTATGGGAAAAAAACCCCAACATAATGACTTTGTGCATTCTGTCCCATTATGATTAAATCCCTGTGGCCATTTCATTCCTTTATGTAGTTTTAATCTGCAATCTAGTCGATTAGACAGGGAAACGTAATTGAGTATTATTATGTTAAATATTTGTTGAACAGACGTATTGGTATGATTAGTCGAGATAAATAAATATTTAGTCTGGAAACCTATAGATTACATTGAATGTTTTTACAGTAATAATAGGAAATGATTGATTTAACAATGAATTATAATAAAGTCGACAACTGCTGCGTTGAAGAGATTAAGACTTGATGATTGATTTATAATAATCACAACCTGTTTATTAGTAAATGTTTGTATTGTCAATTATCTAACATCAATTTATATTAAAGAGGTATTATTTTAGCTCTTTGCTGTAATTTAATGGGCGGCACTTTTAGTCTATTTTTGCGCTTGGTGGAGTCACCCTTTGATAAAAACAATAAGTTTAAATTTGCTGGGATTTCACAGGCGGGTTTTTATTCTATAATCCATCCTTGAGTGGCATTTAGCTATTGAGCAAGATAACACAATTTATATGGAAAACAGTCACTGGTTTATACACGTAGAGCGTGTGTTTTACATCTTATGTTTTTGACATGGGCCGGTAATAGAAGACAAAAAATCACACAAACTAACCATATTATTAATTTTCTTCTACAAACTTTCTTCTCTAAAGATGCATTATTCAAGAGCTAAATCTGTCTAATGCAGATCTTTTGTTTGGCCTCAAATGTTATATATTATTAATTAGACATTTATTCACATGCCAGGCCCATGATCATCTCTCTAAAACTTCGGATGGTTTTGATTTTCACCAGATTTAAATACCATTAGCAGTTAATGATTTAATTTAAAAATGGATTATCAAGACTTTGTTTATTACTGTAATAGTGGCCATCAAGAATACACTGTTCTGCAAATGACAATAAGTTTGATAATTCCACCCAGAATGAAGTAATTTGACTGAAATTTTCAACATATTCCCTTTTCATTATCTATTTTGTTAACTATTATAGCGACAACTACCGGCTCTTATGTAAGTCTTACATTCATGTAATGCATCCTTAATAAGCCACCGTTTTATTTTGTAAATAATTTAATTTCTCACTTTAATTTTTCATTAGTTTGCCTATCAGTCATATACCGGTACAAAAAAAAAAACTGTAAGAAGAAGTGAAGCTGTTATTCCACGAGAGATACATTCGTGCAAGCAATTCAACATCAATCTTTGAACGTCTGACTCTTAAATGACATTTTGAATTTTTAAACAATTTAATTAATTAGAATGTTTGGTTGATTTGATCAGCAGAGTTCTGATGACTTCATTGCTGTTAATTAAATTCTTTAGATAAATATTTATGTAGAAATTCTGTAGAAAAAAAAGTTAAAATGCAATCAATAATCTTTTTTTGTATTCCAAATGATCAGTATGGCTGCTTAAAAATAGGAAAATTTTGAAAAAAAAGAATCTGTCTAGATCTGCAACCAATTAGTAAGCTTTGCGTACCGATTGCAATCAGAAGTCATATTACCTGGAAGGAAACTTAATTACCTGGAAGGAAACCTAACTTAATGGCAGACAGACAATGCTCAGAATCGCATGTTTTTTTTATCAGTAAATGCTTGCAGTTAATCGATGCTGATAATTGATTTTATGCATCAATCTATTTCTTTGCGATATTACCGTCTGATGTGGCCACCCACCTTGATACTCAGACATGCAAATTGTGTTGAAATAAATCCTTTAATCAATAAACTTCTACATGTATCACATACGTGTATAGATCTACAGTAGAATTAAACATGTAGAACCTGTATTATTTATTCATTGGCTAAATATTGATCACATGATTTATTACTTACCAATCATGTGACAGTATCATAACATCACTGGTATTCAGTACATGTAAATAATTATTGGGTTGGGTTGGGACTTATGAAATGAAATAAGTCACTTACCTCGGTGTCTACATATAATTTCACTACCAGGTACTTTAAATCCTTGACTGAGTTTGATCATGAACATTCTATGCATAGACTAAGTATAGAATATCAGTTTGATTGCTCAATACTTTTAAAGAAATAAATATGTGCAATTAATTAATATGTGTCATCTCTATTTTGGAATTTCAGCGAGGGACATCAGCCTACTGTTGGCTTGTTATTTATTAGATTGCAATGTACATGTAGTTTTAAAGAAACATATTTTAATGACTATCAGTTTTGTTATGTTTCCAGTCGCTAAATAAATGCCACTAAAAGATTATATTTTAATGCCACTGATCATCAATTGTATTTTTCAAATAATATTTAATTTTTAACAGCTTAATCCACTAAAATGTACTCAAATTATTTAATTAAGAATAAGAAACAAAACAAAAATATTAACCGTACATAATCCCAATCAGATAAAAAGAGGCCCATCAAAAGTGTGGGGTTGGGTGGCCGAATGGTTAACGTGTGGGTGTTAGATCATAAGGTCTGTCATTGAGTCAAGTGGCGTGGTTTCAAGTGGACAGGCCACCCTACTCCTTTAGATCACGTTCAAGTGGGGAATCGAAACCACAGCATTTGACTCAATGACGGACCTTATGATCTAATGCAAACATGTTGAACCAATAAGCCACCTAACCCCCAACCTAGGGTAGATCATAAAAATAGTTTTAAAAAGATAAATAGATATGTGTAATTCAATCTTATTGGAATGTAGATAATGTTCTAGATCTATTTCATGGCTGATTAATTTACTAAATGATTTGTGAAATTTAATCTTGTCAGTAAATATAATGGTAATAATACTAATAGTAATATGGTAACCACACAGTCAAATACCGGTAACATTATAATCTCTGAAGTGATCTGTGAAATTTAATCTATCGGTAAATGTAATATAGTACTAATCTCTTTACCCCACCCCTCACAATGTATGCATCATTCTATAAATATAAATATTAGTAAAGTTGATTAGTAACTAGATTTAAAGATATAATCCCTCAAACATAATTAGGTCATCTAATTGATCCTCAAGCATATTTTTGTCTGTATTGTTAGTATATTTTTCATGAACTTAAAGAGCCTATGATGGCTCTATTCTTTAGATTCCTAAAATGGACGAAAATTGGGTTAAAAGCCCAATTAATATAACATGAATGTATATAAAGTGATTTATATATTCAATTTTTAAAACAATTATTGTAATTTTTAATCAGTCATGTTCGTTGAAATACGTGAACAGTCCAAATTGAACATCAACCACTGAATCTGATATCTAACACATACAGATGATCATGATATTCACTATATAATAATAATATGTTTTGGGGAATGGCTCCATTTTTATGTTTGTGAATTGCCTACCTTGTTTTTATTTTGAGTTTAGTTCGAAACAAGCCCTGGATCCATTCACTTGATTTGATAATGTGTCTTCTCTTCTGGTTTGTTGTCTGTGGTTTGTTACTCAATGCTGCCTGGGAACACCAGAACTCGTCCAGTCATTGTCTTATTACAAGGGTAATACATAATATCAACAGCATTAAACTTTGTATTATTATGTCTACATTTTGAATATTTTATTGCAGGAATCCGGTGAAATGTGTGCTATCAAAAAATTTAAAGACAGTGAAGGTAATAATTTTTGTATTCAGGCTAATTATATGACTATGTTAAACACTTATAGCAGGATACCTGGATTTGCTTGGGCCCCAATTCACCCAGGCCCAAAATTGCCCGAGGCCCCAATTTGCCCAGGGCCCAAATTTGATGGCATTAAACATTTCAGGGTCATACTGGTTAATTTGATACCACATATGTGGCAGTGGAAAGAAGTGACAAAGGGTGATTCGCCTGGGGCCCTGCCTAATTCGCCTGGGAACCAATTTCGATGGCCTAAAACAAGGTCATGTTGGTTAATTTGATACCACATAACGTAGAGGTGGTTCGCGGCGACGAAGCGTGATAAGCTAACATATACATATACACATACACACACATACCTATATACACACATCACTCTAATACGGCTATATTATGAACATTCAGGCTAATATTATAGCTATATTAAACATTCAGCCTAATACATCATAGATATTAAACATTCAGGCTATTTACAGAGCAGTTATATTATACATTTACTTAAATATATGGCTATATTATACATTCAACCTAACACGGCTATATTATACATTTGAATTAAACTTTTAAGTGGTGTTGCTGGTTGCAGAACTACACAGAAACAATGATACATGTATAATAGATCATTATATACAGAAACAATATAAAATTTTATATTGTACATCGATGAGTAGAGAACCATTCTATTTCAAAATGTTAGGTAAATTTATTATTGCTGTATAAAAGCATCGTTTTGTGAGTTAATTAAATCACCTGTATTCTCTTGACCAATCAAACGTCTTGTTTCATGGTTAACGTACGAAAACGATTTTTATACTAAGAGATAAGCTTGTAATCAAATTCTTTATTCTCATTCTTTTAAATTGAATATATCTTTATTTGTCAATCTGTAGAAAATGAGGATGTTAAAAGGACAACATTACGAGAGTTAAAGATGTTACGGACATTAAAACAAGAAAATATCGTAGATCTTAAAGAAGCTTTTAGAAGAAAAGGAAAACTGTATTTAGTGTTCGAATATGTGGAACGGGTAGGTTATAATATTAATACTACTATTAGAACATTTCAGTTATAATTTACATAACTATTGCCCTTGCTAAATAGGCTTTTGACCACTTCCACCTAGGGTGATATCACAGACAACTGGTGATTTGATCCTTTAAGACAAATCATACTGCTTTGGTCTGATTGATAACATTTATTTTGAGATGAACTAGTCAGAAGGAGAAATACTACATGAATAGAATTTGTTCTATACTTTAAGAATTATCTGACTGTAAGCCAAAAAGGTGTCATAAAATAGACAAAGGCAACATGTAGTATTGGTTTACTATAAAGCCCAAGAGATTTACTTGTATTACATTTATACCATGTGTGTTATGACAGTCAATTTCCTTGTTAAACTTATGCCTTATTTTTATCGAGTTCAGGCAAGATTTGAAGATTAAATTCTAATATTAGTATTAGTCCTTAGATCTGGCACCTTTCTTTTTTCACTACGTGTGAAATCGGCTTGGTTCTGACAATAGAGCTTGACTATTATTAGATTAAATGTGACACGGTTCATTGATTTTAAACAGGGAGTACAAGTCAGAGTTCAAACACAGACGATTAGATCACATAGAGATCAATATATAAATACAGACAATAAATCCATAATAACATTGATCATATTATATGGTTTACAATTGTATATGAGTATAATAAATATTTGTTGGGAGTTGATTTGAACTGAGTTCATAATCATATGTCATGTTTAAATATAAGTTTGACAGAAAAAATGTTTGGCTTTTATTTACATGGGTGTATAATGGAATCAGTGCTGGATTTAGATTTGAAAGAGCCCTATAAGCTACTGTACATGAAACTTTGTGACTCGGTATAAAGTTACACCAAAGGATGTGTCAGCGTTACATGCGTAGAGCCCTCCAAAGTTTTATGATAGGATTTCCATGAAACAACACCAACCCTATCTCACTTATACACCAAATTTCAGCCTCAGGGCAGTCCGCACTTGGGAATAGGCAACAGCTACAAATGTATTAATATAGATTTAATAGCATGGTATTGAGACGAACTTAGCTATAGATTGTTTAGCTTGACATTGGAATTTAATATATTTTAGAATTAAATATTCCTTCCTCAATTAAATTATGGTGTCATTGTATGAATGCAACAATATATTGTGATCCTCATGAATGATGAATGTAAAAATGAAAATAAATAAAAACAAGATCTCATGTATAACATAGGTAGTACGTTAAAGATCCTCTGTTGGGACAAAATTTCATTCATAGTTCATTAGCTAGTGCGGAGCCACGGTAGCTCAGTGAGTAAGACGTTGGCTCGCTTACTTAGAAGTCCTGTGTTCGATCCTTGTGTTGGCCTAGAAAGTTCATCAGGGTCTTCCTGACCCGCTGTCCGGGTAAAATTTCCCTCATATTATAGCATGCTGTATGGCGGATGCCATGCTTCATTAGCCCAGTTGGAGCAGAACAGTTGGATGTTAAACTCCATATCACATTTTCTTCGCTTGTGCTAGGATGTTTAATTTCATTTCAGTAGCTGGTGCTAGGATGCTTAACCTCATTTAATTAGCTGGCACTAGGATGCTTAACCTCATTTCATTAGCTGGTGCTAGGATGTTTAACCTCATTTCATTAGCTGATGCTAGGATATTTAACCTCATTTCATTAGCTGGTGCTAGGATGTTTAACCTCATTTCATTAGCTGGTGCTAGGATGTTTAACCCCATTTCATTAGCTGGTGCTAGGATGTTTAACCCCATTTCATTAGCTGATGCTAGGATGTTTAACCTCATATCATTAGCTGGTGCTAGGATGTTTAACCTCATTTCATTAGCTGGTGCTAGGATGTTTAACCCCATTTCATTAGCTGGTGCTAGGATAGTTAACCTCATTTCATTTCATTTCTATACATCTGTTTTATTAGAATATGTTGGAATTATTAGAAGATATGCCGAATGGTGTGACCCTACAGAAAGTTAGATCATATATATATCAACTGTGTAATGCTATATACTGGTGTCATTCTAACGAAGTCATACATAGAGGTAGGTCAATCTGTTTCGTCTAGCAGATATTCAGAAAAGTCAAATTTGTTATTAAAACCAAAAAAAAAATTAAAGAGAGCTGGAACCTTTCCTGGAACACTTTAAATTTGCATTTAAACTAGGTTAATGAATGGTGTGTGTTTAGTAGCAAGAGGAGTCATCAAGGCTGTGAGTAAAGTGCTGGCTCATCGACCATGATGTCTCAGGTTTCGCCTCCGGTGTTGGCTTTGAAATTTCCTCATGATATTTTGTTCTTGTTTCCGCCTTGCCACTGGTGCAGGATGGTGCGCCTAGCAAGGAACAACATATGGTTCTTGAGATGGGACAAAAAAAAACGAAATTTTATTCACACACTGGTGTGCGAGTAAATGACCCCTTGGCAGTTAGAATTTGAAATAAAAGGGAATCTTGCTTGTAGATCCCAGCATCAGTCGTCACAATGAATTACCGGTACCATACTAGCAGTTTTCAGAAAAGATGACCCAGGTACAATTTATTTGAATGATGTAATATCATTAGAACTAGTAGCCATATTGATCATCACACTTTACAACCCGGGTACAAATGTTCTGGTATTAGAATTTGCTGAGTATGATTCATGTAATATAATTATAGTATTTATAACGTGTTAATAATAAATATAATTATATAATGATGATAAATTCATCTCTTCTACATTAATTAATAAACTCATTATATATCATTATTATAATTACTGTATATTGATTTTAATTATTATTATAGTCATATTTCATGTTTATCTTCTTGTTTATGACATTATTGTCAATTGAAATGTAATATATACTGACAAATAGTGCTGGTACAATATATAGTTATATTGATGTATTGTGATTTACCTTCTCACGTTTCATGTATTGAATTTCGAGACACTGAATCAATGTATCACGATTTTTTTAAGTAATTAGCCTGTACCAGTCACTCTGAGTCTTAATTATCCACTCCATACATTATCCATAGGTACACAAATACTCTTAAATTGTTTTGGTCCTTATTTTATCCACATCAATATCGTGATATAAAACAGTTTTATTTCTATGACATCGGCAGGACTATAAATATCAATTATTCATTTATCCTGTTGTTTTCTTGGTATATATTGACCTGATTATAAATCGTGATACAAATCATATCTTAGCCCCTGAATCGCAATATGTATCGTATCGTGACTGCAGTGGCAATATCCAGCACTACTGACAAAGTATATTCAAATACATACAGCAATAACCCATGTAATTTAATCATTATTATGGTACATTTTTATAGCACACAACTTCCATGACTAAGTGCTCACCTTTGCTTTACAAAATATGGTACAAAAATTAAATATACAAATAAAATATCATTCAGCAAATTGATTCATTTATCTAATTTGATTATTATATACATGTACTTTTATGTCATTTTGATTGATTTAATATTCATGTGTAACAGAAGTACCTCCTGCGACAGAATAATGTTACTCGCAGACTAATACTGTATTCAGACATTGAACTATATTCATTTATGTATTTCCTTTTTAAATTATAACATTAACAATTATAATCTATGGTCAGGCTGAATTAATGTATTGAATTTTATCTTTTATTTCAGATATAAAACCAGAAAATTTACTCATTAGTAAAAATGATACTCTTAAACTCTGTGATTTCGGTAGGTAGCTAGCTGACTTAATGCTTTTATTTTTACATCAAAATGTCTTTATCTTTTGCTTTGGTTTAATTTTAGTTATGTATTATTACTGTGATTATTACCATTAGAATATTTATTTCAGGTTTTGCACGGAGTGTAGGTGGTAATCCTAATGGGTTTTATACAGATTATGTTGCTACTAGATGGTACCGATCACCAGAATTATTAATAGGGTAAAGTCTGCTTATTTATGTCCTAAATTATCTCCCATTGATTATGTTGCTACTCGATGGTACCGATCAACTAAGGTATAATCAGTTCTGTGTCGAGTGGACGTTAAATCCCATTTCTCTCTCTCTCTCTCTCTCACTTGCCAGAGGTGGTGACTCTGACAACAAAAGTGAAACCCACCCCTGCGCTTGTCAATTGGAATTTGAAGAAGAGTAGACCGAGACACTATTGTCCGGAAAACATTCTGACTTTGCTCATGTTACCATACCATAGAAATGAAATTGACCAAAGTATTTTGTTGACCAGACATCTAACCCTATTTCATCATACAAACCCCATTTTAACATAAAGAGAAATATAGTTTATTGATTATTTGATAATCTTTGGTTTATTCTGTTATTACACTATTATGTGTATTTACAGAGCACCATATGGTAAAGCTGTAGATATTTGGGCTATAGGTTGTATTATGGGTGAACTGAGTGACGGGCAACCGTTATTCCCAGGAGAAAGTGAAATTGATCAACTGTATGTTATACAGAAAATAATCGGACCTCTACCTCCAGAACAGATGAATATGTTCTATAAAAATCCCAGGTTTTCAGGTTTAAAGGTAAAATGATGGTTTCATGTGGTAGGTGAGGGCTACCTTTATCGGTTTCCTTTTGAATTAATTGAAATTTAATCATATATCACCCATTTATATTCATAAGATGAAGAATCCTATTGATCTCCAACGATTTATGATAATTACCGTCAGAATTACAATTACCTAGATAATTCTTGTTGACACTCAACAAGCTAAAGTTATCATTCAATTGATTTGGCAGTGTTTATGTTCATCAGATGAAGAAGCCTGTTGATTTTCAATGCTTTCAATAACCCTAAATCACTTAGAAAAATCTTGCAGGTGCTTTATAAGCTAAAGTTATGATCTGATTTACCTGAACAGTGTTTATGTGCAGGAGATTAAGAATTTCTTTGGATTTTCAATGATTTCTGATAATGGCCCTTGATTGCTTTGAAAATTTCTACACAGTGTTTATCTAGTATATTAATTATTTTTAAAGTGATCTTGAAACTAATTAAACCTGGTTATTTTGTAATATTTATTGTAGTTTCCCTCTGTGTCACATCAACAGAAATTAAGTAAAAGATATCAAGGTATAATGAACAGTGCTTTAATAGACTTCATGCAGGTAAATATATAATATACTAAATACCATTTAATAACTTATTAGTCATTTATTAACTAATTGGTCATGGTTGAAGTTTGTTGGAAAAATTTTATTTTTTAAAAATACCAATTAAGATGTCTATTGTTATACTGTTGATGATTTTGGTGAAATATAGCCTGGTTTGACCTGACTTGCCATACAACTCCATTAAATTTATTCATTCATTACTTAGGTGACACTGTAGATAATATCGTAATATAAGAAAAGAGATAGGGGTTTAACGTCCACTAAGCACGACTATATCAATCTGGGACTAGCATACGGTATATTTTATTAGTTGAATAATGAGAATAATTATAATTGATTTACCTCTTTTTTTTGTTCAAGAAAACATTAATTTTAGAAGCACCTGATCGTATAGTGATAGAAGACTGTTTACAACATCCAGCATTTCAAACAGAACAACTGTTATATCAGAAAGCACGTATACCAGTCCGACAGTCATCACCTAATAAAAAACGCAGAAATGATTATACTACTAATATTGAAAGGTAAATTTTCTATCAACATCAACTTATAACTGGATTCAAGACTTAAGGTCAGAAGGTCCTAACTTTTATCTACACTAATATCTCTGTCAGTAACATTGTGAAAACTAAATTTACATCCACCCTGTTTTGTTCATTTTTTCAGCAATTTAAGTTGACACTAAAGGAGCCACGGTGGCTAAGTGATTTTCCGACGTGGTTTCCCCTTGTCAGTGGTGCCTGACAAGGACAGCTGTCTGGTCGTTTAGATGGGGCAAAAACGAGGTCCTGTGTATACATTGGCATGCATGTGAAAGATCCCTTGGCAGTTGGAATGCGATATAAGATTAGGTCATAGTGCCGCTACCTGGGCAAAATTTTCCACATAGCACACTGTACAGCGTATGCCCCCGGGCGAAGTAGATGTTAAACCCCATTTCATTTCATTCATATGTATTATTCTGGGCATTACAATATTCTCAAGTGATGTCAGTTGATTAACTCTCGATATGTCACAAACATTATTTTGGAAAATAATAAGTCTTCTAATTGAAGTAGAATGTTAAAATTTAGTGTAGATGTTCATTAGGTGAATGTTTTAACTGAGTTTGATGATGAGCATTTTTGTCCCTCAAAAGATGTCTTTTAGTTGTGTAGCCTTAGTTAGCCAGTTACTCGTTGTTTCTAGACACAGACCATAGAATGTCATAATCTCTATCATCATTATTATGATGCCCGAATTGACAGAATCGCAATCAAGTGATACAGAATTCAGCCATGTCACAGTTCTGCCAGTCCCGACAGCTGAGGTGGTGTGAATAGAATCGTGACATATTTTAAGTAACAAATATGTTTCAGTTGCCATGATTGGTTGAAATATTTTTTATGCCGTCGGCACATGCGTTGTACTCCGAATTTCTCCTTTTCACTCGATTGACACTATTTTTAGAATTGAGAGAATTTAATTCTGGAACGTTGAATCAAGTATCCCCTATGTCTTATACTTCTGCTTGAAAATTCAAGGGGGTTAACTCTAGATTATGTACATAATCCAGAAGAGACATAAATTAATAAGAGAATGTCTGGATGGAATAAATTTTAGAATACTTTTCGTTTTAGTGAGAATTTAAAGAACAAGTCTGAAAAAGCCAAAGAACTGCCAGAAAAAATGGAAACGGAGGAAGATGATGATGAGGATGAGGGAGGTATAAAGATCAGCCACTTGAACAGCAAATACATCAAACAGCCTAAACCCCTTGGAACAATTAAACCTTCTATAGAACATGATACACAAAATAACCACGGAGGTCAAGGTCATGACCTTAAACATCCGGATGATAAACATGTGAAAACGGACAGTGTATATATCGAAGACAGTTTTCCTCCAATGGAAGTGGAGGATAAAAATAGTCATAAATCCGATGTGAAAAAATTAACCAAGGACGGTCGACATCTAAGTACTTTTTCTGATTTTCGTAATATGAATATCTTAGATAAGGGAGATAACCAGTGTGATACTAGTGCTGATTCACGAGGCATCGAAATGGACATAACTCGATGTGAATCAAAATATATAAAAAAGAAAAATAATTTTACTGAAGCGGCCGTGGAAGCCCATAATCGGTCACATGACTCTAATAACGTGTCAGTTAACACTAAAACAACGAATAATTCATCCAATCGTAGTCAAACTTATACCGTCAGTGTTCAAGCACCTGTCTCATCAACCAATCAAAATAATAAATCACCCAGCCCACGTGTAGAGAGAAAAAAGGTAAAACTGAAACATCTATAATTCTTAAACATACATTATGCAAGAGCTAAATCTGTCTATTGCAGGTCTTTCTTTAGGCCTGAAATGTTATCTAAATTATTAATTAGACATTAATTAACTTATCCAGACCATAATCAACTCTAAATGGCATCACTAGCCTGCGATCTTAAGTGGATTGTGATTCGATTTACTGCATAACTTTCCCTCTGGATTAATATCTCGGTTGAGAGTGAGGCAATTTGATTGAATATTGATGAAAACTTTCTTCATTCATAAACTAATATTTCTATTTTTATTTTTATTTATTTTTAGTTTCTAGATCAGGCAACACAGAATGAATTACGTAGAATTAAATCTAGTACAATACGGAAAAAGAGAATACAGGATAATTCTAGAACAGATTTTAGCCCAGCCGAAAAAATAGCAGAAACAAAGGTAAACAAAGAGTATGATTTTTTGAATTTCAGTATTTTTGAGGATTGCTTTTGAATAATTGCTGCTCATTTAGAAAATATCTTTTTGGTATCGTATAATTAATATAAAAGCAATGAAATACAATATCGTTTAACTCACTACTTTTACGCACCAACTGGGATAATGATATGTGAAAAAATTTGTGCTATGACCTACTCCATTCGGCAAACCTTGACTGTATGACGGTAAGTGACATACAATTGTGATTCGGTTAACGTTTTACTTATTAGAAAATCTTGCCTCTTTTAGAAAGAAGTTCTTGAGATAAAACACTCTTCACAGGCGTCTTCATGGGCACCGCCATTTTTAATCCATTAACTTGGAAGTAGTTCCAATAGCGGAATACATCGTACAGCCAAGGTTAGATGTAGGGTACCGGAGGCTGACGATGTTTGTCGATTGTGACCTACTCTTGTTTCCAACTGTCAAGGGATCTTTAAAGTGATGTCGATTTTATACATGGACCTTGGTTATTCGCCCAACTAGAACAACTAGACTCATTTCCTGCCATGTGTAATTCAGACCTTTCGTCCTTCAGCCATACTCAACAAGCCACCGTAGCTTCCTGCTAACATGTTTTTTTTTTTAGAAAAGAAAGAGCATCACATTAAAAAATTGTATTTTTACATCTTATTGAGGAGTGATTGGGTGTTCTAAACAGTTCTTTTGTGCAAATATAGATTTTATGAACTAAAGCTGCTCGGTAGTATTTAATCCAGAGTTCTAGTCGCTGATTGAATTAAATCATGTATCTAAAGGATTTGTCAGTGCAGAAAAGTAGGACATTAATCCCCATTCATTTTTTATCTAAAACATATATAAGAGTAGATGTGTGTTAAATAATGTATTCATAAAATATTTTTATATTCTAGAAAAGTGATGTGTCAACATATTTAATGAACACTAGAAATAAAGATGCTCACAATTATTATAATTCTGGTCGTAAAGTTAGAAATCAATTATATAATGGTAGGTATATACTCTACCCTTTCCCTCTGTATGATTCATTCTAGACCAAGTATGTAGCATGTCCATTCCTCTTTAGGACTCTGTATTTGTTCACTTCATTCCACAGTATGACTCCGTCTAGACCAAGTTATAGCATGGTCATTCCTTTGCTTAACTCAGACTAGACTGAGTATGTAGCCTGTCCATACCTGTGTATGGCTTTGTCAAGTCTATGTACCGGTATGCTGCGTATCCATTCTTTTAACTCACTCTAGACCTTGTATGTAGCATGTCCATTGTCCATAATTCTAAACTGTACGTCTGTAGCCTGTACATTTCTCTGTATGACTTACTTTAAAAACTTTGTTTATTTTTATTGTTCAATACCTGTCTTTGAAATATATTTCCTCATATCTTCTTTCTGTAGCCTGATTAATTTATCTTCCTTTCTTTCGTTCACCTGATTGATGTAGCTGATTTAAATCTTTCCAAAAATAATTATTATTTTAGTTTAGCATTTTTCCTTTTATTTATTTATATAAAGAATCACCTTGTACTTCTCCATCATCCAGCCCTTCCACATCTTTAAAAGGTTTCAATGTTTTATTTTCATCCTTAATAAGAAAAAAACACATAGTATATTGAATCTGCACATTTTAATTATAATGACTTTTTTTTATACAGTCATATAATATACCATTAACAGATATTTCACACTTTTTTTTATTTTCTAATATTTTTCAGAATTTTTGCTTTAATTCTTTTAATGCATTATTATAATAACTATGTTTTCGTTGACTAATAAAAACTAACAAAAGATTGTATGAAATTAGAAATTAAACAAAAATGCAGTCAATACATAAATAATATTTGCAACTTTTTACTCCAAATTAATTATTTTGATTTCCCATTTTTGTCTCCCAAAGACAATATTCTTAACCTTCATTTTAGACCTAAATTTATAGATTTCTAGTAGATTTCCCACTTCATAATAATTTTTATTTAATAAAAGTAAATTTGAATTATGTTTCAGATTTTTCGTATCAGCGTGATTCAGTTCGTGATAATCGTCATGTAGCAATTCAATCGCGATCATACGCTAAGATGGCTGCCCAATCACCGTATCAATCACATGTTGATAATTCATCACACATCAATTTTTCAGCCTGGTAAGTTAGTTAACCTTTTGGAACTGTGTTATTGCTATGGCAATAATTTCAGTTTATCACCTTTTAAATGCAAATAACATGCCTAAAAAGTTGGAAATACCTCCAAAAAACATTTTTTTTCAATGTTTATGTCAAAATTCATCTGGAAAAATCAAAATCACAGTATGTTCGGTTTTTCAATATTTTTCTGAAGACGGTATTTTTGACAGTTTTTATGTCTGACAGTTTTATATCGAAAAAACAAAATATAGCCCAGCTCTAGAGGAGGGTCTTGTACATCTAATGCAAGAGTCAGTTTGATTTGATAGCAAGCAAGGATATACATCAGGGCTTCAGTATAAAACTGATAATGGGGTTAAGTGATAATCAAGACAGCTTCGGTAACACGCTGAATTGAAGTAGCGCGATCACCTACTCATAATTTGTGTATTGAATCGCGAGACAGTGAATCAATGTATCACGATTTGTTTTGTTTGTTTTTATTTTGTCGCTTCAGTAAGTAACCTGTCACTCTTAATTATCGGCTTTACACATTATCCATACATGTAGGTACACAAACACTTTTAAATTGTTTTGGTTCTTATTTTGATACCTATCAATATCGTGATATAAAACAGTTTTATTCCTTCGACATCGGCAGGACTAAAAATATAAATACCCAGCACTAATACACCATGAAGTGTACTATGAGGGAAATTTTGCTAAACAGCAGTGTTTTTGTCTACTTTTCATCAGATTCCATTCAACTGTCAAGGTTTTTTTAAATTAAACACTGGTGGACGTCCGATTTCTGTCCTATCTGAACAATAAGATGTTCTTTCCTTACCAGACTCTTCATGCTGATAAATCTGTTTAATATCCCTCAATAAAGGGATAAAAATGTTTAGTTTAGTGTTTTAAAGTTATAAGGTAGACTAACAGGTGGATACTATGATAAATTATAAACTATCTGGAACTACTAAGTCATAGTTATATCTTCAGTAACTTGTAAATTCAGTGTTGGTCGAGCATGAACAGTATGATTTTCAGGCAAGGTTTCCCCTTGTCAGTGATGCCTATTAGCTGTTTAAAAGTAGAATGTTAAACCTCATTTTATTTAATATTTGGATATATTACAGGCGATCAGATTCTACAAGTAATTTAGATCCTCATAATTCGTCTGTTTATGGTTTTAATCGCAAAAAGAAAAAATCCAAGTTTTTACAGGTAAGTCTTACCAAATAGAAGATAATCTTCTGGCTTGAATTCAGTAGATTAACAAGAGGCCCATCAAAAGATTTTCCCTTACACATATAGGTGGCATATACAGAGGATGCTGAATGTTGTGAAATTTGATCATATTTTTGTAAATATTTTTTTCAAAATAAACCATTTTGGGACTGATATCCCAAAACTTTGACAATATGTTTGTGTGTTTTTGTCACAACCTCTGATTGGACGCTATCGTTCGCGTGTCTGCGTTAAAGGGATATAATGTAGCTATAAGTTTGGGAATTGCAGACCAGTCTAGGAACATGGGTGTTGAGGGACATCATTCATTGTTTCCTTTTGTTATTTTTTTCATTGCATCTTTTTATTAACAAATAAATTTAAAATTCTAAAATAAGTGTAATAATTGTATGTAATTATAGGATGTAGATTTAGGACGAACATCACCATCTATACCCCCAACCAACCCTATATCTCGTTTATCACGGATGACAGATCGACCTGATGACGGGAAAGAAGAAGGGGAGACAACTAGAGATATGTATACACCATGTGTCGATGTTAAAGAGGCTGTGTATAATAAAGCATTTAAGTTCAATTCTTTACGTAAAACAGTTCAAACACCAGTTGATAGGGTAAAATAACTATTTAATACTAGTTATCAAATAGGTTATACTGAATATCATCTCTGTTCTGTATATACACATAGTTAACGACTTGCCTCATACTTTTGCATCTACTATCAGTAGAGGTACACAACTTTATTTAGATTTAGACCAATTAAGGTAGGAGTTTTGGATCACAAAGCACAATTTATCCCACTGCTTACCTTCAAATTTATCAAATCTTGTGAACAGGATAATCGATAGTTTGCAGGAGTTATTTTTCCTATTTATGTGAAGTGGTTGATGATATTGTTCTCCGTTTACTTTTAAATTTATAAAATCTTGTGTACACGATACAAGTTCTGAACAGAACTTTTTCAATCTTTGTGTCATTGGTAATTGTGGCGTAAGAAAGAACCCTATCAAATCATGGAGTCTTACAGCTTTACAAGTCCTGTCTTAAGATCAGCGTATACCATTATTAGAGACCATTTGTTTTGCCAACAATGTTTTTATATTTAATTTGATTGTTTCAGGGTGTCCGGTTACAACCATTATCCAACAACCAGTCATCCCATAATCCTTATCAGACAACAGAAAATTCAACATCAAAAGTTCCTTCAAGGCCGGACACAGAACTACGAACTGGTCCCAAATCCCGCCCACCTTCTGTAATGGGGGAAGAATTTCCTGATAAAGACATTCCGTCACCAAGAAATGACCTTCAACCTGTCCGACGAACTAAAACTCCATTAGGTTTTCGAGGATAATCTAACTCTGTGATTTAAATATTTAATTTCAAATATTTATAAACTCGCTAACATGTGGGTACAGTGTCCTTTGGTTTTCTCTCTGTGTGGGGTCTCTAGGCTGAAGTTAAATTACTCAAAATTTGAGTCAATCCGAAGTGATAAATGAAAAAATTTCAAGTAGAAATATACCCCTTTTTAAACATTTTTATTTTACTAATCTGTCTCCACTACACTATGTCTCTATGTTCAAAGACTATACATTTTTATGATCTTTAAAGATGCATTATGTAAGAGCTAAATCTGCCTATTAGTATTTAGACATTTATTCAAATGATCAACTCTCTAGAATATCGGATGAATGAGATATTAAATGGTTTAGAACACCTGAGCCATATAATTGGTCAACGTTTATTATTGTAGCAATGGTACTTTATAATCCAGACTATTTAGGGTAAATCGTGTCAAAAGTTCAAACACTCATAACTTTGCTCAAAATAAAGTAGTTTGAAATTTCAATATATTCAATTAGTAATTTGTTAAACTATTATAGCAAGAACGGCCAGCTCTTTATGTAAATCATACGTAATGCATCTTTAGGAGGAATGTTGAATGATAGATATTTTTTGTTTTTATTTTAATATCTAATATCTCAGACTTTATAAAAATTGGGTAGGAGATACTCTGTTTATCTCACAGTTATTTTAAATTGATTTTAACAATCGATATATACATAATTTTGACGAATACTGTCTAAATAATTTGAAATTATAATCCGATATAAATTATAATTAATACTCAATATACTTCAGGTTTTATTGGCTGATATTATAAATATCATCACATAAGGCCAAGCCAATTTTATTATTAGTTTTTCAGAGGGTTTTACAAATAGATAACCCACTCAACTCTTGTTTGTGATGTTTTGTTAAAATTTCAAAACTTAAAACATTTGGTACTAAAAGCTTTTGAGAAAAGCAACCAAGTACTGGCCCTGGCATTCTCAGACTTAAGAATTTACTCAACTTTCAGTCACTGTTTATGAGAAACAAAAATTTACATATAGTTTCTTATTGATGTATCTGATACATTAAAACAAAAGATTAAGGGCTGTATTTTAGTTAAAATAAGGTGAACAAGTTTGAGTTGTTCCAAAGAACAGAAATTCAAATTGGTTTGGCCTTTTTTTTTCGTTCAGTTTAAGATTAAATATCTATCTATGACCACATCTTGCCATTTATATTCTAAAAACAAGGTAACAATTTAGTTTTGATTTCTTAATTTTCTATGTTTTTAAAACCTTTTAAAGATGCTACGAATAAGGTCTTTTTGTGTGGTCATTAATTCAAGATTGTTAAAATAAAAGAAATTCAGGTCTGAGTCATATTCTTGGTTTATGGAGAAAACCCCACCAGAACCTGTATATTCTTAAAGTTTTCTCACAGATCATTTTAATGTTTTTCGTTATTTATCTATACAACCAGGGTTTTTAATATTTAACGTCTAAGACCATAAAAAAAAAAATATTCTGATTCTCAGATTCTCCTGTATCATTTATTAACATGACAAGACCATAATCAAGCCTCGATGCCATCGGATGGGTCTGATTTCAAGCAGATTAAAACGGTTTAGGCATTTCATGATTTAATCTAAAAATGGTGAAGCGAGGCTAAGCTTTGAACAACCAGTACTGTAGTTACAATCAGTGCACAAATCTTGTCAAACCTTCAAAGGCTAATATCTTTGTCCAAAATAAAGTAATTTGATTGAAATTTTCAGTATATTCATTTTGCATTATCTATTTAACTGTTATTGCAAGAACGGCCAGCTCTTTATCTGAATCTTACATAATATATCTTTAATTATCGCACATAACTGTTTTCCCTGGGTTACAGGAAGTAACTCTATAAAAAATTTTTTAATCAATCCGGAACCTCCCTCTCGCATTAGATTTTTAGGAATGATTGTCTGAGAATCAGAATATTTTTTTTTTGTATGGCCTTATCTTGCACTTTATACTCAATATATTGCACAAGATTATTGCTCTGAGTAAATCTAATTTTTTCAATTTGAAAATCTTATAAATCTAATATTTATTTTAATTGAAAGATCTTATAAACCTGTCAAAATTCTTTTGTTTTAATTGAAAGATCGCATAAATCTGTCAAATTTTATTTATTTTAATTGAAAGATCGTATAAATCTGTCAAATTTTATTTATTTTAATATGAAAACTTTATAAATTTGTCAAATTTCATTTATTTTAATTGAAAGATCTTAAAAATCTGTCAAATTTCGTTGATTTCAATATGAAAAGCTTATAAATCTGTCAAATTTTATTTCTTGAAATTAACCCCAAAAAATTAGTTTCGTGGAGCTGCTACAAATGAATACACATTTACTTTGCAAGTTTTAATAGATTTTATCATTAACTAAACTTTTACCTCAAACATTAAAAACAATGCTCATGTTTACTAGGATTATGAACAGTTCTTCAACGTTCGTCAAAGCTCTACCTCCAAAATTTCATCACAAAAGCAAATACATTTTTTTTTTAAGTTATGGTGACCAGATTTTAAATCTGACTCATTAATATTTAGTTGATTTCTTTGTGACCTTGTGATTTCAGATCTGCATAACCTGATTATAACTGTTATTAAATAATAAAATGATTATTATGCGGATGAATTATTGTATCATATAATTATTATAAATATCATTATTATTGTATAATTGTGTTAAAATATAAATCATTTATGAAACTTTTTGTTGTCTGTAGTCATTTGCTATGAAAGACATATAACCGTACAAGTAGGGCCAATAACTCTATTAGTTAGTGCAGGGAGACTATACCACACATAATTACACAAAACAAATCTATGGACAAGATACGCAGAAATCACAAATGCACATATCAGATTAAGTGAATGGATGCGAGGGCTAGCCGTAAGCATCCACTGTGCTGTCCCTGGCCGGTAGTGATACAGATTTCACTCAAAATGAAAACTAACAATAAGGAGGAATTTATCCCAAAAACATTGTGCCACATGAAATATGAATGTAAGCACATTGAAGGAAAGGAAATAAATTACCTATACACGTAACGATAACAGTGAAATGTATAAAAAAAAAAAGCCAGGTAGTGTACAACTAAATGGTCTATGTTATATTGAGAAGCATTTTAAGTGTCGAAAGAATTGGGGTGTAGGCTATTGACTTCAAAGGTAGGATATGTCCTATTTACCACAAAAACCGGAAAAAAACAATACTGAATACAAAAAAGTAAACGGAGAAAGGGGACAGTCATCTGCTGAATGACCTGAAGTAAAAGGGAGGTAGTTTGCCAAATGACATCAAGAGTTAAATGTAATAAAAAGGGCAATAATCCAGTTAAGACAACCAAAAGGATAATAAACTATCAATTTAGGAACTATTCAGCTATGTAATTGCACAAAATTTAAGTAATTATTCAGCAATGCTATGAAATGAAATGTGGTTTTATGGCACCTCAGCACCAACCCATTGATGTGTGTACAAAGTTTCATAATAAGACAATGAATAGTTCCTTAGCTATGTTCCAGAATAATAATTGCATCAATTTGTTCAATAGTAACACAAAATTTATTTAACTAAGAATTAGCAAAAGGCTCAACACCTATAATAGATTGTGTGTACAAAGTTTCATAAAGATACCTTGAACAGTTTTCAAGAAGTGCACCAAAAACAAATTGGAGCAGATGGAAGATTAGGATGGATGGACCAAGCCCATTTTAATATCCCTCCCGGAGTAAAAAAATCTGATTTCTACTGGCATCAAGTATTCCTAAAATTGGTAGTTAGCAACACCTTGAATTGCTTACTGGGTTTGGTGGTCATGAGTCTTCTCCATGTTCCTTTCACTGCTGTAGAACCATCTGCAATTCTAAAATGTTATGAGCGGAGTTGACAAGATGTGTCTTGTCTATGGTACGAAATCTAGAACTTAAATGTGTGTATGAATTTATAACCCACGGAGTAATTTAAAGAAGGTAGATACCACCAAACCCTGAATCATCTGTTCAAATATAACCCAATTCCTGTGACCATAGAGATCTTATCTAAAGTACGATTTTCAGACCGACCACAGCTCACCATTACTGGTCCAAAAGTAAACCGTAATCTGGTCATTCCAGTCTGTGCAGCTTAAGAGTGCAGGATGGGATCACCCAATGCAGAAAGAACTCTCCAACATCCTTTGTGACAACAACAAAAAAAGATAGGTTGCCAGGCAACGAAACATACGCCCACAGCAGCTTAATCGTCCGGGCAGTCAACAGTCCTTTTTGGATATTATCTTTAGCCTCTAGAGCATCCACAAGATATTTTGAAGTGATCAAGGGCCATAACTCTGGCAGTAATTATTCAAAATCGCTGAAAATCAATAGGCTTCTTCGCCTTGTGACATTAAACACTGTGTATAAATTTAACATCAATCGGATATTAACTTTGACCTCTAGAGCGTCCACAAGATTTTTTTGAAGTGATCGCGGGCCATAACTCATAACTCGATGAAAATAGGCTTCTTCGTCTCATGACCTTAAACACTGTGTATAAATTTAAAGTCAATCTCATTAACTTTAGCCTCTAGAGTGTCCACAAGATTTTTTAAAGTGATCAAGGGCCATATCTCTGGCAGTAATTATCGGAAATCGCTGAAAATCATGAGACTTCTTCATCTCATGACCTTAAACACTGTATGAATTTCAAGTTAATTTGATATGAACAATATACAACCACATTTCAATGTGGGCATATAAAACCCAATACAATATGCAGAATGTTTAAGATCCCCCCACCCCCCAACAGCATTCTGAAAGCCAATCTACAATAGCCGGGTTAGTGCTAAGTATGACTTCCATTGACCTAATTCTAAAAATATCTAGAAGCAAAATATTGCTACAGCATCTCTGCTTTAACCCCATTTTTAATAAATAACAAAGTCAATAGTTTGGTTTTTTGTTGTTTCTATTTTTTTTGTTATAATTTTTGTGCCACTAAATAAAATCTAAATCTAGATTCAACACAATCACAAATAATATAATAATAATAATAATAATAGTAAATCATAACAATTCATTTCTTTACATGTGTAATAATGTAAGTCAGTCCTATTTTTTACATTTTTACTCTAATTCTCTTATAGAACTTTTTTTTTCTGTCCAGAAGAAGTAGTTTGGTTTAAAAAAACAATTTAAACCCTAAATCCATAAAATTGTACCTTGTGATAATGTAAAGGAGGTTTGTTTTGGAATATGCAAATCTGTTCAATAGAGATTACAACATATTTTCGCCCATGAATACAAAATTGTAACTTCATGTGTTTATCAGGTGTAGAATGGGGTTTAACATCCCACTGTTCTGCTCCTACTGGGCTAATGATGATGGGCATATGCCATGCAGTGTGTTATGAGGGAAGTTTTGCCCGGACAGCGGTGCTACGGCCTACTCTTATTTCAATTTCCAACTGTTGGAGGTTCTTTTACGTGCACACATGACAAAACTTTGTCCCTTGCCAGACCCTCCATCCTACATCAGTAACAAGTAGAAACCACATGTAACTGAATCTACATAATTATGTGAGACCAAATAGTGTTCTTCATGCCCCAGATCAAACAATTAATAGATTGAGGAATTTTCATCTACATTAAATATAAATTCAAATACAGGGAGTTGTTGTCTACTTCTTCTGAACAATTTTTTACAAACATTTTAAACTTTTTTTTTGTATGTAATAAAATAGACCTTACCCATACCCATTCCCATTACAATATTAAACGAAAAAAAAAAAAAAATACAAATAATTTCAAATTTCATAATTTAAGTCGTACATATTTATTATCACTGGTAAATTTATTAAGAGTTAACCGTAGATTGAAACGATTCAATAATCCACACTATATTTGAGCAATTTGTAAAGCAATAGCATGATTATTACAACTTACTTCAATTCATTTTTCATTAGTTGACAAGAAATTCATTGATTTAATTTTTAAAAAATCAAATTGTCGGATCTTTGACTTATCAACATGTACAAGGAATTTGTCATTTTGATTTAAAAGTATTTTTCGATTCAGATTAGAGCATTTTTGTTTCTTTTATACATTATCTTAATTTAATAAAATATATTAAAAGGGAACATCAAATAAGATATGAATAAGGAGGCTTTTTTCTTATTTTTTTTTCAGGGTTTTTTAAAAGCGCAAAATTTTAAATCACTGATATATGAATCACAAGACTACTAGTCTCTTTCTCACACAAGAGTTATCCCCCTTGTGAAATTTCTAAAATGCCAAGGAAAACTTAAAACATCATCCAAATTTGGCCTTTAAAAGAAAATAAACTAACATAACAGGAACACCGGCCTTGGTGTTACTTGTTTGAATTTGTGATTTCATTCCTAACTAAAGACAAAAAAATCTAACCTGGCTCTCGTTTCAAAACCATATATAATATACACATAATTGTAATGACGTGTAGAGTCATTTTTAAACCAAACGGTTATTGTTGATACATTTCTCAGGTAAATTATCTACCCTCAAACTGTTATATTCAATTTAATTAGTGTTGACAATTGTTGTTCATGAGGCAGTGTATGCTTATGTCTAGCACAGCACAGAAGCAGGATTTCTTTTAAGCACTGATACAGATTCTACTTGTTCTTTTCAGTGGCAATATTTTTGTTTAATAAAAAAAAATAAACCTTTTATCCAGTTCAACAGTATTAGTTGCAATTAAAAGTTACCCTCATCAAACATAATTAATTTGGCAATAATAACCAATATAGTTTTTCTAAATGATAGACATCCATAGCTTGACAATTGTAAATTATATATGAGTTGTGACACGGGAGCACAAGACAAATAGAAATCAACAGTTTTTAAATTACCTTAATTAAACAAGGTATATATAATATAATATAATAATCATGTAATATAATCATATACACGCATAATATCCATACAGAAATATATATATACAACAGATACAAGTCATATATCACCTCTATAATATCGGTAGTTGTTGAAGAAACGGTAGATCTTTAAGTCTCACAATTTTCATGGTACTTTATGCAGATTTATATTGGTTCTACATTTTCTTACAATGAATGAAGACATGTCTCAATAAAAAAAAAACAGCATTATTGCTGAAGAGATCTATAATCAAATGTCTTATTCAATTAATCCTTGTTGTGATAATCAGGACTAACCCAATAGCATAAATGTCCAACAAGTTAAAAAGGCATTATGTAAGATTTAGATAAAGAGCTCACCGTTCTTACTATAATTTTTCCCAAAAAGATAGTCCAAAATTAATATATTGAAATTTTCATTCAAATTACTTTATTCTGGGAGATGGTAACACTGTTCGAAGTTTTGACATAGATTGTTTATTATTGTAGCAACGTTACTTGTTAATCAAGACTCGGCCTCGCTTCTTCATTTTTAAATTAAATCATTAAATGGTGTTCGTATTTTAATCCGCGTAAATCTGTGCCATCTAATGATCTTGAGTTGATTATAGGCTTGTCATGTGAATAAATGACTAAATAATTTATATAACATTTGAAGTCAAATAAAAACCTGTAATAGACAGAATTAGCCCTTACATAATGCATCTTTAAGTCTGGGTATAGGTGTTTCCACTAATTACAACATTACTAGAAGCTATGATAATACATAAAGCTTTAATGTGAGGCTAAGATCTATATACAGAATATTGAAGCCACAAAGTTTAACATAACAGTTTGATATGTTTAATAACTCAATCGTGGTTTACAAACCGACATTCTTATTGATATCCAGGGTTTATATAGAGAAATATTAGAAGGTATCCACATTACAACCCTCATGTCGCAACAAAACAGGCCTTCCACTTAAAGCACCACAAAATAGAGATGAATTTATATAAGCGTCTGCTTGTTTTTCAATCCATTACATATTATATAATATACTCAGGTTGTACTCCAAATAAACTTTTGTTCAAACCAAATCTTACGAAACATTGGTAAATACAATTATTCATGCACATCAGCCTTGATTATAACAAGGTGTTCTCTGTCCCGATTTTTAAATCATTAAGGTGCATTCCGAATCAGATCATGATTCATGGTGCATTCTGAATCGTATCATTTTTTTGTTGAAGTTCTTATTTCAAATTAATTTTAATTAAACTTTGTGGATTCAATATTAAAATAATTTTAATTAATATACGATAATGACTTGTCATAATAAGAAGATAAATTTTATACATTTCATTTATTATCAGCATACATGCTCTATAGATTACTATATACAAAATATTTACAAAATCTTCACAATAAAATGTACGGCAACATACCTTTATTTTAAATTGCAGGAAATAAACCTTTTTTAGCGATCTAATTGGTTTTGCATATAACCTTCGTATTTTAAGCGTCTCTACTTCAGAAGTTTATAGACAGAATACATAACATGTTTAAGAAAATAAAATTTCCATTAATATAATCTAAAGATTTATTTTAACTTGCCAAAAACAAATCTTAAAATGAAGAGAGAAAGAAAATAAAAGTCAGAAGTCACAAAAATATATTAACACTTTTCATTGGTGGATTTATAATATGAACAGCCAATTAAACACTTGACTGGTGGCAGGGGTGGGGGGGGGAATATCTAAAATATGTTCACAATGAATGAACCAGCACTTAAAAACAAACAAAAAAACAAAAGAAAATGGATGCACCAATCAAAATGCAAGGAATTTCATAGTTAAAATAAGCATGAGACAAATGAAGAAGCACTATTTCAATGAACATATAAGGTATTCTTGTTTGATTAAATATTTCAAGACAGCACAGAAAAATATCTTCATCTTAAAAATCATTAAAAAGTTGAGACTATCAACAGCAAACTAAACCATGTCTTAATAAAATAATAATCATCACGGTTTGGTTCTTTACAAAAAGATCAAATTATTACAATGCTAATCTTATTAATCCAGTATACTAGCTCTTCCAATAAACATCTAGAACTGAACAACAATTAAAGAGCTAGACAATGTTTTTACAATGTCTAGTATTTTATCTGGTTGTTTAACATGGGATTCCATAATAGTGACATCATAGACAGTTAGTCTACGAGTGTTGTAATCATTGTAGTCATAGTGACACGTCAGGTTAATCACTGCAAACAGATGATTACACACATACATGTTTGAAAATCACATCATACAAATTAGATGTCTGTAGACTTGGTTTTCCATGTAATTTTACAACCTATGCGACTATTACACAGGAAGTAAGTAGAATGGTTTCACAAGATAATATGTATTATAAAACATGGCTTAGACTTGCAATATGTCATATCGTGTTGTCAAAACTCTTTAGAAATGTTTTTTTCATGCACTCTTGTTGAAAGTTTTCTGGCAAATTGTCCTAATGACTAAGTTTCAAGTCAAAAAACATGAAGATACTCCATGACCATTGTTATAAGACTAAATCTATTTCAGATTATTTTCAACTGGATAATCATTCCCAACATGAATTCAATCAGGAATTTCATTCCGTAACCCCCGACAATATTAATAAAGCAGTAATTACATTTCAGCTTAAACCAAAATAAATATTCAGAGTAGATACGATCGGCAAGCAAGAATGAAACAGAAACTTTAGAATTAATCTTTTTTTTTTCTTTTTTGGGGTGTCTATTATTATGCCATCTTTTAAATAAAAGTCACAACACATATCAACAAAATTTCACACAAATTATGAACACAAACAAAATTAATATGAAGATTATATGGAGTGATATCAAAAGATTTAAATATGGAAAGAAGGTAGAAGGTGTAGACATCATTAAAATACAGTCCAAGTTGAAGTTAAATCCAAAGGTTTAAAAATAAACCCTTACACCAAATCAATTCAAAATTCTGTTCTTCAGGAATTCTGCCTCCATTTTCTTCAAAAAAGAAACTAATTTAAAAACAATAAGTACTTAGTTGCTTTTCTTGAATGTTCGTAGTTCCAAATTTTATCAAATATCGCACCCACAAGTTTAGTGCGTTATTAAATTATCAAGAGCCTGAAGAACTGAAAATTAAATTAGTTTGGTCTGAATTATATTGTGGAAGGAAACGTGATGACATTAAAAAAGTTTTTAGCCGAAATAATAAAAGAAATAATGGTCCTATAATTTACGAGTAAATGGCCTTCGATTAGCTCGTCGATGACTTGGACTGTGATGTTGAGCCTTTTGATTGGCTATCCTGATTTGAATCCTTGCCTTGTGATTGGTTGGGTTTGACTGGTTTTCCAACCTCAGCTTCTGACATCTAAACAAATTCAAGAATAGAAAACTTAAAACATAAAATTACACCTGCACATCAAGTTATATAATAAGGAGGATGCTCAATTGTCAATTTGGAACGTTCTGAATTCAGAGAACTACTATTAAGTGACACAGAATTCAGTCCTGTCACAATTCTGACATAATTAAACACAACCAATATGTTTCAGCTGCCATGGGTTGGTTGAGATATATTCTTATGCAGTCAAAACACACGTTGAAGCCGGAAATGCCCCTTTTCACTTGATTGTCACTATTTTGGGGATTTCAGATTATTTTTCTACTAGTAAAATGCACAACTAGAGATTTCTGATAGAAATATGAAGTTCTTTGAAAACAACAATATCATGACAATGGCTATATATTGAAAATAAGACTTGATAACTTTACCTCTACTCTAAAGTCTGATAGTTTTTTATATCCAGACATCCATTCTTTTAACTTGGGATCAATATCAACTGGTCTTCTAGAGTACTTTAAAAATGCCCAGAATTTTTCTAAACCATATAACTGACCTAAAAAAATACAATAGACATTTTGGTCTGATAGCTACATCTGTTGACAGGTATCATACACACAGCAGGCTATACTGGACTATTTCTCAAATATCCGATACCATTCTGAGTCTAAATATGGTAATCTTTTATTCATGATTACATGTGCAATATGATGAGTAGAATTTGACCAGGACAGCAGTATTTCTGCTTACTCAACTAATTCAAACTGTCCATAGTTTGTTTTTCAATATAGCTCTTGGTTTTTGTAAATCTGAAGACTAGGCAACACCTAGAGGGCGCTACCTCTAACAAGTGAAGATCAGGTTTGAAAATCCTGAGGTACTTCTTGGCTCACACCTGGATTATAACCTGTACCCTTAATGCACACTCCCTGGCATTCATCCCACTCCCTCTTTCATGGACCTGTCTTCATTAGCTAGTTGGAGCAGAACAGTAGGACGTTAAATTTCATTTCATTTCTTTGATGGACATTTGGAACTGAACTGTCATTACTTTAGTTAACATGTAGCACTACAACCATCTAACAATGATATTTAAATTTATAGTTTATGACATCTACAGAGGATATCATGAGAATTCTTACATTCTACATAGTAAACAATTCTTCATTCAAAATTAATTGCTGCCAAATAATGAAATCAAATACAATATTTACCAGTTTCATAATCCCTGACCGTGTCTTCCTGAAAATCCTTGAACACTTCTTGTCTAAATCGTCGTTCTAAACCGTAACTATAGAAACGGAATAAACACTCTAATCCATACCTGAAAAAATCACAAGCAAATTAAAATTTTGTTAGTAACTAATACTGAGGAACTTGTGTAATACCTGGCTGTCAATTTACACATGTAATCAGAGTTCAAAGATAAATCCATTTAAATTTTTAGTTTTTTATGTGCAAAAACACTTCAAAATATACTTTAATATCCTGATAATGAAAAGAAAATTTTTCTTGTTAATCAGAAATGAAAAAAAAAAAAAATTTCTTGTTAATCAGATATAAAATAAGTCAAGAAAGTACTGACTGCCCCAATTGTGATGTAAACACAATGGTTTGAAATCTGGTAATTTATTTGATGTTATAACAAATGCAAGCGCCATAAATGCTTGAAAATTTCAATCTTGTTGTATATAACAGCAAATTAAGAATATATTCTGTCTTCAGACTTGGTTTGGTGTAAATGGAGTCATCACTAGTTTTAACAGAGTGGTGCATGAATCATCATTAGACAGAATTACACATCGCAGACCTTCATTAGAACAATCTAGGCAACCAATCTCACTAAGAGCATCAAAGTGTCCGGAACACCAACGTTACCTGTTTACAGGACCTTAAGTTTTTTGTCCCATTCGTATGACTAGACAGCTCTAGTTATCAGGACCTCAATCCTGCACCACTGACAAGGTGAAAGTAGAAATGACGGAAAAGCCATGGGAACTTTCTCGGCCAACACCTAGAGCGAACCCGAAACCTCTAGGTTTACTCAGAGCCATCGCGGCTCACTACAAAGTCAATAATATTACGTCAGGAATGACATACCTGTATCCAGCTGAAGAATCTTCCCATGCCAAAACACGAAATTCTTGGAATATTTTTTTATTATAACGCTGACGTAAAAAGAAAGACCAGAAACGGAATAACGTATTCATCTCTTGTGACATGCCAACTCCTAACTTCTTACGATCTGTTCAAATATAAAAAAAATAGAATTATTTAGGCAAAATTGTTCTTTTTAAGGAGAGAAAGAAAAATGAAGTATATTTTCATTTCAGTGATGGCTTTTAGTAGTGGGAGGAAAGTGACAAAAGTCCATCAAGACTAAATAGTCAGACAACCTTACTGTTTGCAATGTACAAATCAAAAAGACAGACATTCTGGTAACTACAGAATTTTGTTTAGACCTTTAATTGCATTCTTAATGTCTACTTAAAATTTGTACACAACTTTTTTTTTTTCCTAGACAAACACAAACATGATATGCTGAAGGAGCTTCTAAGTCCACACCATGATACAATAATAGTTCCATTCGACAAGACAATAATATTACAAACCTTTGAGACATTTAGCATGATATTTTTGGTAGACGTGCCACACAAAGCCATTTTCTTTTAATAACTGATGTGACGGATGTTCAAAATGAGGGAATGATTGCGGAGTGCTGCCATAACTTGAAGATAACTGTGCATCACTGAAAACAAAATAAAATATTTTAACAATGAAGGGGCACCAAGGGGAAACCAGTCTGATTGACTGGTTAGTGATCCAGCTCCCTACTCACCGAGCCACTGTGGCTCCTGATATGGAAAAGTGTATTTACTTTAACCCAATACATTAATTTTGACATTAAAATTATTTGCTGTATGAATAATAAATAAAGTGGAGATTATCAGTTATTAAATGTTGACTAGGAAATAATTCCCAAAATTGGTTGGCACTGGTAGGTCTATTTACTCTATAATAGATGTCAGAATGGTTCATGCAATAATAATACGACATCAAAGCGAGAGCTTTGTCTGTCAACAGTGGCAATCACGTGATGTTCTCCCGCCATTCGCCTCCCCCCCCCCCACACACACACTCTATCCTTCATCTCGATCACCAGTGCCGTAGTGAGTTGGAAAAAAAAACGAAGAAAAAAATGCCGCACAGTAGTAAGAAATGGAACTATTTCACGTCAGTGACAGTGATCAAAGGAGGACCATTGTTTATTGCATAGTTTATAAATTTTATAAATAAAAATTCAAAAGCCAAAATAGGAATTATTGTTCATGTTTGTGATCTCTTATTTCTGGTATAAGTCTACTACATGATGACGCATGATATCAGCACGTATTGAAATGAGATCAAACAGAGGCCTCCGTGACGTACTGTTGGGTTTTCTAATTCTATCTCTTTTGATCATCATGCAATGGGCTTATTCCATATTCCATTCACATGGATTATTGGGTGGATTGTTTGCACATCTGCAGAAATAGTATTCTTAAAAAAAACTGCATCGAGACACCCTAACTCTCAAACAATGTGTGAATAAGGACTAAAAAAATAATGTAGACCGGTAAGGATTTTGCACTGTTTATTATTTCCTTTTCAGGCACTATGAGAGTCTTGTACTATGTCTAAATAGTCACTAGCAAGGCAACTTAAATACAAGTACCGAGTGTCAAGCAAAATAATGATTTAATTGTTCACTACTCCAAGGATATTATAGAGTTATTTACTGAGTCCTTTTCAACAGATATTGCCTAAGCCAGTACTGGCAAAATGGCTCAGTATTGATCGATACCGATTGGTTCTGATTATCGCCCAATTACCGATGTTAAATCCGAATATCAGACCATCACTACACTAAAACATGTTTTTTTGTATTAACTAAGCTCAGAAATTTCCCCCACTCTTCTAATCCCAAATTCAAATGCTATTGTATGTACAAACCAATGTGTACATCGGTAGAAAGCAGTTTTCCTTATAATCAATACAGACTACAAATATACTGTCTTCAGACTTGGTTTGGTGTAAATGGAGTCATCACTAGTTTTAACAGAGTGGTGCATGAATCATCATTAGACAGAATTTAAAATCAAAATAATCCACGTAAATCATAAATAATTCAGGAAAGCTGCCATACAATCATGTGTATATAGATAGAACTCAATGATCATTGAATACCGCTCGAGTGGAATGTGGCAGGGATACACTAGAGTTCTGTTTTTATTCTATAACTACATGTAAATCTCAAAATACACTGTACTATCCAGATTATCAAAAACAAAATCACCAATAACGTTAAAATTCATCATAGGTTCCACCCTTTATTCTTTCTTTTTTACAAAGATAGGTTGCCAGGCAACGAAACATACGCCCACAGCAGCTAACTCGTCCGGGCAGTCAACAAGAGTTGTCACATATTTTTACTTTTTTCGGTAATGAAACATTTATAATACATTAAAATCTGATTAAGAGTAACAAGTCATTAAGTAATTATCAGAAAACCAATAGAATTTGTTTGGTTTTTATAAAGTTTTGCCCCATGATAACGTTTAGTATAGGAAACTTTTAACATCATGGATTTAGCTGTTCAAGTCATAAAAATTCATTGAAAATCAATATACTTGTTTGTCTCAAGACCTTACACTCTGTGTATGAATCTGAAGTCAATCGGATGATAACTTTAGCTTCTAGAGGGTCACAAGGTTTTTAAAAGTGATCAAGGGCCATAACTTTGGCAGTAATTATCGGAAATCGTTGTAAATCAATATGATTCTTCGTCTCATGACCTCAAACACTCTGTATCAATTTAAAGTCAATCGGATATTAACTTTAGCCTCTAGAGCATTTACAAGAATTTTTGAAGTGTTCAAGGGCCATAACTCTGGCAGTAATTATCAAAAATCTCTGAAAATGAAATAAACTTCGTCTCATGACCTTATACACTGTGTATAAATTTAAACTCAATCGGATATTAACTTTAGCCTCTAGAGCTATTAGCTTGGATGCATTGGAAGCGGTAAATTTGACCGTCGCTGAATCTTGCGCCGAACGAAAATTCTTTACTCAAATCTCGGACATAACTTAACGGGAGTGGCCTCGTAATAAAATCTTGGTGCTTTTTGTGCGGACATAAATTAAATATTACGCTTGAGTGCATTGGAAGCGGTAATTTTGACCGTCGCTGAATCTTACGCCGAACGTAAATTCTTTACTCAAATCTCGGACATAACTTCTGTATACTTGTCATTTTGTACCAACCTTCGATACTACTGTCTACCATTGTGATGCATTCGATAATATTTATCCATTTTTGTGAAGAAAATCGATGAATTAATTTTATTTTATCAAAAAAGCACATGAACAAAAAAACATCGCTAATTTTATCTATTTACAGGGGATGTAACTCTGTATGTAATATTATAGGAGGCGCTAAAACTTCTGTTTAACAATAAAAATACTAGATGATCGTGACAAAACTCGGTACTTTTATTTTTTTCAATCAGTATCAAATAATGTGTGGTTACGCGTGAAAACAATGATCAGGTTAGTTGTTTAATAAAACAAAAGATTAATTAATAGATAATCCCGGGTTGATTGTTATTTTTACTTTTCTTTTTACCTGATCAGTGGGGGTCCAGTTAATTAACTACTCCTCACGGGATTAGCGGGGGTGTTACAAAGAGCGACAAGATGGTATCATTCAACAATGGCCGTTGAATGGGCGATGTTTTGTTGAATTTATTAGTAAAATAGTGACCGCGTTAAGAGGAGTGACCGTTGAATAAAGAGATGAAACAACAGAATTTTTATGGGGGGAATTTATCGTGACCGCTTACAAGGAAATGTCGCTGAATAGGAGTGGCTGCTCATATATACAGATTCTACTGTACGTGTCCAAGCCATTGAATACAACCATAGGTTATTCAATGGCTGTATTCAATGATATTTGCTTGTATTTGCATGTAGTTATAGAATAAAAAGGGGTCATTAATATTCTGATTCCTGATGAAGTTATTATTTTTATATCGTGGGTATAGACAGATTAAATTGTATGTAATTTACCTTGATGTAGAATTGTGTCGAGACCGAGTTTTATGTTCTTTAGAATCCATGACCCATCCAACATGACCTTCATATGGTGGATTACTACTATGTCTTGTTTTCTTCTTACGGGGTGTCTGAAATAAACCCAATTGAAGACAATGAGGTATAATATAATACAATTTATACAACATCAATTTATCATCAGTATTACAGACTTTGTTTTCTGGATTTTATTTCAACATCAGAATCTGAAAAGCCACAGGACAAGAAATACTACTTGACTTTTCATGTCATTCAGTAACTTATATCAGGACACTGATCTCACAATGGTGTCAACAGGTTTTCAAATAGTCCTCAAATAATTGAATATTCAAATTTGAATAATGATTCATTTAAAGATACATTATGGGAGATAAGATAAAGAGATGGCAGTTCTCGCTATAATAGTTAAAAACTAGATAGTGTAAAGGTAATTTGCTGAAAATTTCAGTCAAATTGATCCACTATGAGCAGAGAAAGAAGCCGGTGAAATTTTTGCATAGTCTCGGTTATTATTACTAAAATCATTAATATAAACAGCATAGTCTCGATTATCCACTTTTTCTGATTTAATTATCTTTGGCCGTTAGCGGCATATAGGAATCTAATCCAGCCTACATCGAAGGCTAGCCTTGACATCGAGAGTTTATTATGGTCTGGATAAGTTAATTAATGTCTAATTGATAATATAGATAACATTTCAGGCCTAAAGAAAGACTTGTAATAAGCAGATTTTGCTCTTGCATAATGCATGTTTAAAGCTATCTGATTTTTTTTTTCTTTGGCATATATATCATTTCACCTTGAATCTAATATTTAAATAAAATCAGCATGACCACTGGCCAGCACAACCCCTAATTTTGTCTGCACAGTGATGTTCCATTTCGCTCCGTATACTGATCGCACACAGAGCAGAGTAGCTTTGATGTGAGCTGGGTTTCAATACAACAATAGTTTTCATACAAATAGTCCAATATTCAATTTTTTTGCATATTTATCATTTTCGTTACATACAATATTCAAATATTAAAATCAGTATTCGGTGTGTGATCAATAGCCAGCATGGCTCCCAATTTTGTCATTTCATTTCACAGAGTATCGTTTTACTTGCCAGTAATAATATATTTTACTCACCTGTGGGTCAGCAGGTCTCGTAGAATCTTTTATCACGGGGAAGAAACGGGGAGCTTTTATAGAACTTCGTGGAGTTCTTGGTCCCTCCCTACGACCAGGGGTATCTGGTACACGAGAAGGAAGAGACTGTGCCAATCCTTGACCTTGACTTGAACCTGATGGGGAAGACGGAACTTTTTGGGGTTCTGAAACAAATAAAGTGTTAAATTAAGATGATTTTCATACTCAAATAATGTAATCACGCTTAATTTTATATAAATTTAAGGCCAAACCGACTGAATCTCACACAAGGCCAAACCGACTGAATTTTACACACGAATGTAAGGGCCAAACAAAGATATTGCAAAATAGAGAGAAAATTCAAAACTTCAAAAAGTTGCAGTCCTGGATTTTTTTAATTATTTTTAAGAAATATTTTTCTTTAAATATAAATAATAAGTCAGGTTGAAGATGTAAAATTATAATTCGCTTGGTCAAAAATAGTTCTAATATTTCAAAATCGTTTAATATTCTGTCTTCAGACTTGGTTTGGTATAAATGGAGTCATCACTAGTTTTAACAGAGTGGTGCATGAATCATCATTAGACAGAATTTGTAATTGTTTAGTAAAAATTACATCACTATAAACAGAACCAACATGTACCCTCAGGAAACAGTTATTTTAGGCTTGTAAACAGGAGGTGGTATATATTGATCCGGGGGGGGGGGGGGGGGGGGGAGTATATATTGATAGGGGTGATGGACGATATACCTGGAAACCGTTATTTCAAGGCATGTAGACAGGATGTGGTATATATTGATGGAGGTGATATGTGTGATATTATCAGACTTACCTGTACCTTGTGTTACACATGGAGGGGGTGGTGGTACTTCTTGCTGTATCGTACTTTTCTGTGGTGTTATGGTTTTAAATGTTTCTTCTGATATCAGATTTACGTTTCTATATTCTGTCTCATTCTGAAAGATAAAGACAATTTACATTTTAACTGTTGTAATCCTTGGATAAGCATTGTTACCAACATTTCTGCAGGTGTCACATAAAATTTCATCAATCCAAAACAATCGTATCTAACACAATCTATTTCAGTGCTACATGTACATCTAAACAAGGAACTGCTAGCAACTAGTTGTGTCCAGTTTTTCAATTGTGCACAATCACTGGTTGACACCCGTTTCCAGTCGTTCTAAATTACTTGCAACTAGTTTTACCCATTTGTAAGCTGAGTCTACACCGGATTCAGTATTCCCACAGAAATGGAATATTTGGTAACTTAACCTCTGTATAAAAATTCACTGCTCTTATAGTCAACTTTTATTAACACAAATTAACATAAAAATTTTGATTACTGGTTTTACTGTAATATTAATATTAACTGAACCATTGTTAAAAGATATGCTTACCTTATAAGAAGGCTCCCATAAATCTTGTTCATAATAATACAAGCCGTCGTTAATAATTTTACCGAAAGTTGCCGATAATTTAGAGCGTGACGTATGATCACCGGTTCGATCACCTTGTGGATGTTTACGTAAAGATGGTGGTGTTTGTATCACGATAAGAATTTTAGAAATATCACTATCAGCTAACTCATCTTCAGAATCATCAGACCTGTAATAAATATCAAATCAATTTCAATTGAAATTTCATATCTTACTTTATGTCAAGGTATGATTTTTACAATGTAGCATACAGTGTGTTATAAGGGAACATTTTCTAGGGACAACAGTATTACAGAGTATTCTTCATTTCGATTTCGAACTGTTCAGAATCTTTAATGTGTTTTTATCCCTTCTGAAAAACTTCACATGCTAGGCTCTCTGTCACAAGCCTGACGAGGGGGAATCCGACTTGAAATTCTGATGAATGTCCTCGACCAAAGTAGGGATTAAGCCTGGGTCCTCATTAGCAAGCCAGAGTCACTTTCATTAAGGAATGAAATGGGGTTTAACATCCTATTGTTCTGCTCCAACTGGGATACAAAAAACGGGCATACGACATAAATTGTGCCATGGGGGAAATTGTGCCCAGACAGCGGCGCTCTAGTCTATTCTTAAATCGAATTCCAACAGCCAAGGATTCTTTTACGTGCACACCAATATGTACATGGTACCTCTGATTTTCTTCTCATTTAAATGACTACATTTTCCCTTGCCAGGCCCTATTCCATTCACCATGGGGAAGCACGTTGGTAAATCCTGATGAACTTTCTTGGCCATCGCTACTAGGACCGAACACAGGACCCCCATGTTAGTGAACCAGCGTCCTACTCACTGAGCAAACTTGGACACCATGTAATTTAAAGAGGGAACCATAAGAAACAGTAATGTAGAGAATAGAGGTTTAATTCTGTCTTCAGACTTGGTTTGGTATAAATGGAGTCATCACTAGTTTTAACAGAGTGGTGCATGAATCATCATTAGACAGTAATACACATCCAAAATAAATAACAAAATGTACAAACCAATCTGTGAAATTATTTTTTCTTCCAACTTCAAGTTGATCCAGTTCTTCATCAAACATGAAATCTAATTCTTCTTGTTCAGGTTCTTCATCTTCACCAGGCTGAAAATTAAACAGATTAACATTTACAACAGCTAGCATACTATATGGACCAGGAACAGAGTATGATGTCCGTGTAAAATAAGCCTGAAAACTAGAAACAAGTAATTTGGAACATGGTATAGGGATTGCCATTGCTCATCTCATGATAAATTGGGCTGCCATTTTGTGAGACCATGTGATAATTTAGGGTTTTCCTATAGGTCAAACAAAACATTGTTTCACGATCGCGAGATACAGTAAAAAATTTTGATTTCAGAATGACAAGCAATTCTTTGTCACAAAATATTAAAGCTGTCAAATTATTTGTCAACAGAGGTTCATATTCAATAGTTTTTTATAGCAATATGCAAACAATTAAAAATCACTTACAAATGCCGAAAAAGAAACACCTGTGCTAGGCTTAAGCTACTTAGTGTGAGGAATTTTTTTGCCAGGACAATAAATGAATTGAAACGGCATAAAGATCTATAATAGCAAACTTTTCAGAAGATTTCTTGTCAATAATATAATAGAAGATTGACAGATTAGACTTGTACCTTTTTAGTTGTTTTTTCTTTATTACCAGGCTTTTTCTTCTTCTGTTTGACTTGCTGCCATTCACCCTGTAATTCAGGAGCACTAGACGATAATACCGGTGTTATATCTTGATAAAAATTTGACTCTTCTTTCTCTTGTCCACCTTCATCCTTCGACCATTCCTGTCTTTCTTGTCGCTCCTCTTCATCTATAATAAACATATAAAAACATCTTTATAAATTGAAGGAACTTTCTCATACGGGCAGTCAAGAAAAATTCTAAAAAACTGTAAAGGAAACTTTGGTTGGCACTAATGATATGGTCCTTTGTAGACAATTGGCAGCACGTTCTTCAAGAATCTATGACAGTTACAAATCAAACTAAGAGGTCTAGTGGTGTCGCCATACATAATAGTCCTCATAGTGTATCCCTGTTGTCAGTCCCTGTTAGTGCAGAAAAGTACAATGTTAAACCTGATTTCAATTTATTTCATAAGTAGCTGCATGCTTTGAACCCAGGAATCCCCCTGTTCAGTTAATTTGCACTAATAGTTCAATGTGGAGAATTCAATTTGGTAACATTCAATGAGTATCCTGATAGTAACACTATCATTGACCAGAGTTTGCCAATATATATATATACGAGCATATTTGAGTTTGCCGAGTTAGATGTTTGACAACATTCTAACACCGACTTGGCTACAATGACTGTAATATGACAAGAAGCAAAGAAGGCCAAATTTATAGACTAAATATCAACAAAAAAGTGGATATGACACCACCCCTGGGTGTTGGGGCATGCACCAAAATGAATAGTTGCTGTCCTACGGAAAAAGGAATAAATATGCCAAGTTCCAAGACAATCCATTCAGAATTCCAGTCTGTAGACAAAAAACACAAAAATTGTCAGTGGTTTTGCCCCTGGGGGTTGGACACGGACCAATATAAATATGAAGGTGGATGGATAAAAAAAATGTATAAGTTATATACTTACGTGGTTGCGGGAACTGATAGGCTTGTCCAGGTACAAATTCTGGAACATCAGCATGTAAATTAGATGCTATCACTGTCATGCCTTCTATCGGCCATTTCTTGGGGTCAACTGTTCCTCGTATTCTGGTTTCATCATCATAAAGTTCAACTTTCTCACTTTCTCTCATAGCCTGTAATAAAATAATTATATTATACATATAAACAGACAAGGAGGAATCTGACAGGGAAATCTGAGGAATGTCCTCAGCCAAAACTGGGATCAAACTAGCAAGCCAGCGCCATACTCAACAGACCACCACGTAATTTAAGAGTAATATGGAAATGATAAGCTATCTCTTCAAAATGAAATCGAAACCTTTCTTCAAGAAGAATGGGGTCATAAGCAAAGAGACCGAGGACAAAGTGGAGATACTCTACAAGTTTAATTCTGTCTTCAGACTTGGTTTGGTGTAAATGGAGTCATCACTAGTTTTAACAGAGTGGTGCATGAATCATCATTAGACAGAAATTACGAAACCCATGGGAAAATCAATGCATTGGCTTTTTGAATAAAGTTTAAACTATCAAATAGAACAGATTAACATTTGAAGACGCCAACAATGACAAGATGAAAACATTCAGCATTTTCCAGTAGCTGTCTTATGCTTCAAAATAAGGTACCAGTCACAGACATTGTCAAGCACAAATTCCGGCTTTGTCAGGATCAATTCCTCGGATGTCATTTTGTATCTTTTTTTATTATAGTTTCACTGATATTTATAATACATCCCAGGCACACAGAGTTTAAAATGACAGGTACTAGTTCATTAGTGTTCTGTATTTTATTGCAACTATAATCTACCTGAAGAATAAGCTTTGTCTTGTAATAAGATCTGGACCTACCTGAAGAATAAAGTCCTTGTTTTGTGATAAGATTTGAACTCTATGAAAATTACTGATCAACGACACAGGTAACCATCCTTCTTTATCCATTCGTCTCCGTAAGAAAAAATCTCGCTCTAAATTCTCCTCACTGAAGTAATACTCACTGAAACAAGAGAAATACAATATACCCTATTATTTATATAGACATGCACAACAGGTCTTTAAACTGTAGACACTATTTAGTCCATACACAACCAGTCTTATATATATAGACATACACAGCCGGTCAAATCTCTAAACATACACAACAGGTCTTTTATCTATATAGACATACACAACAGATCTTATATCTATATAGACATACACAACAGGTTGTTTCAAGCTTCTCGACAAACAAAGCAACATATTCTACATATCTAAATAGGGCCTACAGGTAAATTGAAATGAAATGGGATTTAGCTAAATTCTGCACTTTTTTGGACTTGACGTATTTCGAATGGTTTTTGTCCCATCCAAATGACGCTTTTCGTGCGTGTTGGATCATATTTGTACCCAATGACCGAAAAGTAAAGCCAAGACATCTAATATGAAATGAAATGGGGTTCTGCTCTGACTTGGTTAATCAAGATGGGCATATGCTATACGGGTTCATTTACGTGGACGCCAATGAATTTTTCATCCCATCTGAATGACTATCGTTTAACATGTACTACTTACATCTGTTTTTTGATGAAATCTTTGAGTACATTATCTTCAGCACCTGGTGGGTTAAAATAAACTGTTTGACTGTATGGAGGAACAAAATTAGGGTCCACGAAAAACTGCTCATCTGCTCCAAATTTATAATCACCTAGAATAATAAATTGACATTTTTAATCCAAATAATGGAAACTGGCGAAATGAAATGTTCTGCACCAAGGCCTACTCGTTACAAATTCCAATTGGCAAATCTTTTTTTTTTTACATGTATGCCAATATCCACAAAGGACCTCAGTTTTTGTCCGAACTAAACTACTAGACAGTGTTCCTTGCTAGGCCCCTGTCCTGCACCACTGACATTGGGGAACCATGCTATAAAATCCTTATAAACTTTCTTGGCCAACACCAGAATCAAGCCTTGGTCTTATTTTGTCCGAACTAAACTACTAGACAGTGTTCCTTGCTAGGCCCCTGTCCTGCACCACTGACATTGGGGAACCATGCTATAAAATCCTTATAAACTTTCTTGGCCAACACCAGAATCAAGCCTTGGTCTTACTTTTTCTAAGAAAAGGGAAGTTAAATATGTATAGCTGAAGAAGTAATATTTTAACAGGTTTGGTCTAAGATAGTATTAATATTTCGAAACCCTTTAATTTTCTGTCTTCAGACTTGGTTTGGTGTAAATGGAGTCATCACTAGTTTTAACAGAGTGGTGCATGAATCATCATAAGACAGAATTTGTAAACTGATTAACGACTTTAATACAAACAGATCACTTCATGATATTAATGTTCGTTTCGGATATTATAATAAAAGAATGGTATTTTGTGGAGAACTTGTTTTCTTATGTGAACGTTGATATGCACACTGGACCTCAGCGTTTGTCCAATCCAAACGACTAGACAGCTGTCCTTGCCAGGCTCTCCGTCCTGCACCACTGACAAGGGGAAATCATGTTGGAAAATCCTGATTAACTTTCTCCGCCAATGCCACCATGACGACTACCAATTGTCATAGTAATTTACTGACATTTAATGAATTTTGTTGTACCATGGACAAAGACCAGACTGCCAAAACTTGGTAAAATGTCGTTCAATAAAAGATAATAAATAACATCACTAACCTCCATAATCTGAAGCTGTATCTCCTCCTCCTCCTCCTACTCCACCTCTACCTCTCCCCCTTCCTCGTCCACGACCTCCACGGCCCCTCCGGCCGCGGGGATAAAATCCTCCTCTACCTTCTCCGGACTGGGGACCAATCATGTCCGCACGCCAATCTTTACTATCTGATCCTATTTAAAGAAATTCAACTGTGTCTTTATTCAATTCAAAGAAAAGTCAGCTTTAGGCCTCCTAATAAAGATGCCTAATACTCTCTAGAGCGGCCAAGTTGTTCACAGATCCCCTGTAATGCGTTCATAAGCTTAAAAGACAAACCATGAACAACAAATTAAATTCTAGAAATTTAACCCAAATGAACAATATTCTATCAAGAACTTGAATCAATTCTTGCGAATTCGATTTAGAAACCCCATCTAACAGAAATTGCTGACATACCATGGGTGACTGACCAATAAAATCTGGTCATCATACTTCCATATTGAATGAAGCAACTTTTGTCAACACAATACTTCGGTCATCATGAAAGTAACATAATTTTCTTTTGTATGGTCACATGTGCAATGCATATTTTGAATACCAAATGTCAATGGTTCTTATACGTGCACGTCAATGTGTACAGGAGACTAGACCCTGTTTCTTCCTCGGCAATGCTTCAAATTCAGTATGCTCCATAACAGCCAACGTGGACTGCACGCAAAGAACGAAGCTGTATATAAAGTACAGTACCTGAATTACGATCAATAGGTCTAGTTCGCCTCATATCACGTCTATTAACTGGAGGTGATTTACGACCTTGTGACCGACTCCTCTTTGGTGGTTCTATATCTAACGGCACCCACCGCTGTCGAGATCCTGAAAATAAAAGAAACAAATTAACAATGGCTCATACCAGACCAGGGTGTAAAATCTTGAAAGACTAAACTAACTTTGTATGTATACGAGCTAGAGATAAGAGATGGGGTTTAAAGTCCACTGAACACAAACTAGGTCAGTGCAGGACTAATATATGATATAATTTGATTGCAATAATTCGCTTCAGAGCCAGAGAAAACCAATGACGCTGGGTCAGCATCCCTACTCCTTGCCACATACACTCTAAAAGATCAAAACCAGACCATATCATCTAAAGCACACCCAATCTTGCAGTGCTACAGACCACTCTAGCAAATTCACCCACTTTCTGTATATATATATATGTATGCACTCATGATTTTTCTTCATTGAATTTATTAACAATTTAAGTTACAAACCTTTGGCACCACGTTTGGAGCCTTTTGGCGTTCTCTGTGAAGCATCTCCACCATTTCCATTTTCTTTATTTTCTTTAGCAGAGTCATCGCCCCCTGAGTCACTCTGTTGTTGGTTTCCATTGGTTGCTGTGGTTTTTGTCACATTTGTAGTTTTTTTAACAGTGTTCTGTGTTTGCTAAAAATATAAACATTACATGTAATCCTACCTTAATTAATAGTTATTTTCTTAGCCATCTTTGAATAAGTTAGGTTAGGTCATAAGTGCTGAACTGATCAAAATAAATCCTCGGAAGGTATCCATCCATCATCCATACAACACAAATATTAGGTTATTTTGGGACTAACATATTGTACATCTGCAGAGAGATATTTACCAATGGGCGGAAACCGACAAGGCAAGTGATCCTATTCTTAGTCACGCCCGATGGCTCTGTGACAGACCTTATGATGTTAATTTCATATGTTAGGACCACTCAACTGCCTACTGTGCCCCAATTATTAAAATAAAACATACCTCCGAGACTTCACTTAATGCAGGCCAACTTTCTTCATTTAATGAAGTCTGAAAATAAAAAGAAATTACAATGTTCATAGTACTGACAATGGATTTTCGTGACTACTGTGTAATTTAAATAGACCTATAACCATTTATTTAAATACAGAACTCATATAATGTGTTTTTGCTTCATATCATGACTAAAATTTTCCTTATTACAAATCCTATATTAATCCTGGCTGGCCAATTTGATCAAGTTTCTTTAACTAGAATAAAACTATGGTATGGCATTTTGAACATATATTCTGTCTTCAGACTTGGTTTGGTGTAAATGGAGTCATCACTAGTTTTAACAGAGTGGTGCATGAATCATCATTAGACAGAATAAAGGGGTCCTGACATATATTTATTGACGTCAGTCTAAATACAGGCAAGTCTAGAAATAAGGCACCTATCAAAAGACATTGCCAGGCACACTATCCCTGGTCCCCGTCTTTTTTAATCTATTTTCAGTATTTATATCTGTATCTAGTATCTAGCAGATGACCTGGTGCTGCGCTGGTTGAAAGTAGTTTGACTCCGAAATGGGAAGCGGTAGTCCAACGCCACCAAGCATATGTTACTCGCCGGCCCAAGCTACTCCTACACACAAAATTTCATCCTTGGGACAGCCCTAGTGTAGTCGCCAACCCTAAACGACAGTCACAAATATCAGTATACATGTAGATACATGCCAGGTTCAGCGTAAATTGTTAGGTACAAGATCAATCTACATGTAGTGTCTGACATCTTGTCAAGTGCAAGTAACATTACAATTTCCAGCCGTGAAAATAGGACACACTTCCTTTATTATATTCTTTCAGTTTTTCATCAATAAATTTACATAATACTACACTTGTTTGATGTGTTAAAGTTAAAAAACGTTATCAACAGCTTGTTGCCATGTAAGTAAACAATCAATTCGAGTACAATATATCAATATTTAACATTCTAATTCTATACAAATATGTCAAGGTTAATGTAATTTTTAAGTGGTTAAAGATGCATTTTGTAAGATTTAAATAAAGACCTGACCGTTCTTGTTATATAATAGTTCCAAAATAGATCATTCAAACTTAATACAGTGGACTGTCCCTTCCGACATCTGAATACTACAGCATTGTGAAATCCATCATCATTTTCATTTTCTGATTTATTTCCTTTTTCTTTCATTTTCATTTTCCAATTTATTTCCTTGTTATTCAACCAAAAAAGTTTTGAGTAATCCGGATTCTGAATATTCTGAATTATGACATCACACGATTTGCACACAATTAACATTAGATAATCCGGCCTTCAATCAGTGGGTGTTAACCGAGAAGCAATCACCAATCAATTAACTGTGAGCATATAACATGTGTCGGTCTTTGTCGATTACCTTGATAATTTTATAATCTCTTGGTATAAGTATCCGAAATTTTAAAGCAAAAAGATGAATTCCAACACAGTGGTTTAAGAGCGTGGACACACAACCTGTCAGTCAATCGGAAGGCTATTTAGTCAATGAAAATATATATTCAAAGTTGAAGTAATAAAATTTGGAATGTACATGTATTAAAGCGTTATCATATTTTAAGTTCAGTGTATTCGAGGGTGTATTATAATAAAACTTCAAGTATTCGATGGTACAATACTACAATAATACTTCCGGTATAATTGAGGTAATTGAGTATTCCGACATGCTGTCTAATCTGGCATATTGTATCGATCCCGAATCATGTCGGAATTGACATAGATTGTTTATTTTCGTAGCAACGTTACTTGTTAATCGAGACTCAGTCTCACTTCTCCAAATGGCAATCGTATTTCTAGAGTTGATTATAGGCTTGTCATGTGAATAAATGACTAAATGATAATTTATATAACATTTGAAGCCGTATTAGTCCAAAAATGGTTCAGTTCCATTCAGTACGTAATATTCCTGTCAACATCTTTTTTTTTTTTGCCATGGAACCAAATTGACAGGCGGGCCAGTTTTAAATAGGCTTGACAAGCCAGGAGATTATCTAGCGTGGTATTTTGGTTTTGTTTTCTTAATTAAATAATCATTCTTAGTACATCTTAGCGTGGATTATTTTGATACAGTTACTTTAATTCACTGACAAATATTTTGAATTGTTTAAATATGCGTATTTGTATGGCATAATAAAATAAACTATTTTGTAACTTACATGTGTATATATTTATTTTCAATTCATTCAATATTCAGCTATTCCATATTTTTTATAAGCGTACAACATGTGTGGTAGATCAACAGAAGGAAGAAGGAATAAATGAAAAAGATAATTTGATCTACCCGATGTTAAATAAATTTTGAAATGTCTTTCTGTTTATTGCAAAACGGTCGGATAAAAATAGATTTCATTTCAAGATAGTTTTAAGGTCTATTTTTTTTTTTTTTACCAACGTCGGCACACAATATTGTTGGGGTTTACTATTTTGAAGTATAATAGAATTTTTGTGGTTTATTTGACAAGAATTTATCCCAGTTGTGAGTTAACAGTACATGAATATTTCTTACCTTTTTATTGGTTTTATCAACAACATCTGGTTTTACAACTTTAACTTCTGCTGCTACAGCCTCCACTACAATAAACAATATATATATATCACTACTCAATACATGTAATTAGTGGTGTATTACGCAAGATTTCAAAAAAATTAAATAACTTGATAACAATGGGCGACAAGTAAAAAGGACGAATACAGATCAAATCACCACAATACATCACTGATTTGTATACATATACATGTATGTCCTACAGAGGTGGTTAATGAAGAACAGGTTAAGTTGTATATTGTTTAAATGACTCATAAGCCCTGACCAGTCTCTAAAATTTGATATTAATAAAAAATGTTTAGTGTAAATAATTAAATATTATGGCCAATAAGAATATTCATGTTTTAAATTGATCTCTATTAATATGAAACAAGGTACAAATTATAGTGTTATTTCGCCATCAATCCGCATACACTTTCACGTTCCAGACTGTAAAGACTAGATCGTTCCAATTTAACGAATATTCCAATCTGCTGTCTATGCAACATTAAAGGTCACAGTTATGACCGAGATATGCTCTGGAAACAAAATCACAACCGAAGGACAGAGCCTATTTCAATGTCTCACCCAAATATTTAGTGCAGGATCATGAAGTTTAACATCTTACCTGCACCTAACAGGCTTATGGTGACAGTCATAAGCCAGGCAGTGTGCCACAAGGACACATTACCCTGACAGTGGCACTACTTCAAGAAATTAAATGGGGTTTAATGTCCTACATGAGCTTGATCTCCATCCCATCTAAATGAACACTCTTCCTTGTCATTCACTGACAAGGGGGGAAACCAAGTTATGAATAATCTGAAGCGACTTACTCGGCCAACCCCCCCCCCCCCCCCCCCCCCGAGATTCAACCCTGTACCTCTCCTGTAAACTATCACCTTATTCACAGAGACACTATGTTTTCCACTATTTAAGAGAAAACTGATTGTCTACAATCAATCCTACGCCTCATGACTTTAAACTAAATGACCTAATAATAAAATAATATGCTATTTCTGAATGTCAAGCTGTCTTGCACTGTCCTATCCGGGCTTCCATTCTCACAATAACACCTGAGCTGCTCGGATTTAAATGTTTTAGATCTTTAAATAAAAAAGTAATTTAAAGATGCATTGTGTAAAATATAGATCAGGAGCTGGCTGTTCATGTTACAGCCCTTACATGATGCAATGAATGCATCTAGAGTTTTCAAATCACAAATGTAGAATTTGCAGACGAAACTGAACAAACGCAAATAAAATGAAATGGGGTTTAACATCCAACTGTTCTGCACTGACTGGGCTAATGAAGAAAGACAAAGCTGAATAACACTGCATACATTTATGTAGAGGCATACTTTTTAACACTGTGTGCAACTGCATTGTACATATTTATCTTGAATACACAGCTCAATACGGTTCAATATTGTTTACATGCATGTAGACTACAGCATATATACATACAATGACCTATATGCACTATTTTACATGTGCAAAATTTTATCCATCATAACAACAATGCTTACTTTTACTTCAATATAAATCCACAATCCAATCCAAGTTCACAAATGACCTAAATAAATTATATCCTTTAAATGTTTTTTTTTTATTGATAAATTACTGCAGGCCTTTAAATCAACAATGCTTCAACTATAAATAGGTCTTCATAACTACCATATGGTACATTTATTCCTTTATATCGAATGTTACAGCCATTGACAACATTTGTCAAAATTTCACATTTCTAAAACAGGAACATATTTCTACACAATTCACTTGTCAAATCTTCAATTAATCCAACAGTTACAAATAATAAGTCTGAATAAACAGTTCTATAGTAGCCCAGTCCTATAACATATGTTGTCTTCTCATGGATAGAAATTATCATGACTTCACATGCAAATATGAATAAAACACATCATACAGATAGCTCAATATCTTTATTATATCCTTAGGCTAAACACTGAGTTAGACAGGTCTTATGTCTTTTCCTATATGCAAATAGGGTTAACTGAGTTAAAACTGTAAATATACATACATTTAGGCCTATATACATGTATGTAACTACAATGTAGGCAAGATCATTGTTTACATAAAAGTGACAAGTGACACAGTGGTGGTCTCATAATCTAATTATAGTAACATTTAGGAAGTCCTCTGGTAATCTATTAATAGTAACATTTAGAAAGACCCTAGTAACATCTACAAATAGAACTATACTAAATGTAGTTTAGGCCAGAAAGTTTACTCCGTATAAATTGCATAAAAAGATCTGAGTGTAAAAATTATAGGGAGATAAACACACATTGAATTCCTGCCAACATACAAATTGATGAGAAATGGACAAATGAAACTTCAATAAATGTTCAATGGGTGTTAGACATATTTTAGTGTTCTATGTAAATTAGGGGCAGGATTATATTGGCCTGAAATGCAGCCTAGATTCAATCAGATTAAAAATAATTCAGCCATATAAACTATTAGGTGGCACTAGCTTGTGCCATATATATATTGTCTGCAGTGGATGCTGGATGCTGAATGTTGACAAATTTTCAATTCACCATTCCACATATTATATTTTAAATTGGGTGGAGTCAGGGTGGATAAAAGTTCAAGACACAGAGACAAGTAACTGGAAGAACTTTCTCGAGAGTTAGTCATATCAACCTGACCACAATCTCTTGATCTCCTTTCAATACCAGACTTATCGAGATCAATACTTACTCAACACAATATTTCTATATACATGTAGCTGTATGATCTAAGCTACACAGACAGACATCAGACATAAAATAGCAAGACTTAAGAGTATTATTTACAACAATATAATCCAACCTGACTATATGATGGTACTACACTATTTATAGTACAATATACATAGGCTACATATTTCACAGCTTGTAGATCCACCTACATGTATACGTCTTCACATCTTCCATGGTATATCAAAGATCTATAACTAAGATCTAAATTTGACGACCACAGATCTTTTTTTGGGAGCTTCAAATGTTATATTATTCATTAATTACATGTACATGTAGACATTTATTCACATGACAATCCCATAATCAAATCTCTAGTTTATCAGATGTCAGTGATATTGAATGAAATACTATCAAATATAACACACACGCCATATAATAATGTAACGTTAAATTTGATAATCGAGACTGTTTATTATTGTGTCAAACTTCAAACACTTATAAAATTAACTTCGCACAGAATAAAATAATTTTCAAATCTGAGATCTCTAGGTTAGTGAATCCATACTTGAGATACAACTAGTTAAAAACAATTATCAGTTCAATCTGCTGAACAAAATAATCAATAAATTTATCTACAGTTATATAAACACTGTTAAATCATGCATTATTCTCACTGCGATTCCACGTAGACACGTATCATATAATATTAACAGATGTATAAAATACTTTTTAAAACATTGGTTGCCATGCAATGAATCATACGCCCACAGCAACTAAATCGTCCAAAAATGTTTACCTACATCGTTTGGTAATTAAAAAGCATTATCTTGCTTCCCTTATTGTTAGTTTGTTTTCATTTTGAGTAAAGCCTGTACCACTACACACCCCTTGCGCAGTGGTGGGTGGACACTTACAGCTAGCCCCAGATCTATTCACTTGATCTGATGTGAGCATTTCTTATTTATAGTGTGTGTGTATATTGTGTCCTGTTCGTAGGTTTGTCTTGCTTAATTGTGTGAGGTGTATTCCAATTCTTGCTCTAACTATTTATACTGAATAATATCATCAGGGTTATGACAAGATTGTAGGACATGCATGTAATCAAGGGCCTGAACTTAAGTAATTATCAAAAAATTGCTGAAGTAGATTATTCTTCTTTATTTCAATTGTCTGAACAATGCCTGTAAATTATACAAGAACGGATTGTGACTTTTGTCATCAGAGCATTCACAAGATAATGCGAAGAAATCAAGAACAATAATATTGTGAGTTATCAGAATATTCAGGAATTCAATAGGCTTCCTTGTCTCACTAACTTGGAGATAAACCTATATTTCAAGTTTCGTCAAAATCAGATAAGAATTGTGACCTGTCGAGTGTCCACATACAAATTGTGGAGAGACGGACAGAGGACACGACAATATATGTCCACATGAAAATGTGGACGTATAAAGACAGGAAAATAAATGTAGTAACAGTTATTCTCATATTAACAGAAAGAGAAAAATCGGGTTTAACATCCACTCGACACAAACGTCATTTTGAGACTAACATATGGTTTTATTTTATTTCAATAATTCGTTTCAATTCAAGTGTGTTTTTTATCACTGGGAGGAAACAGGAGGCCCCAGATTAAAGAAAACCCATAAGGTGACCTCTCGTCACGTACAAGCTTGGGATTTAACCAACGCCACTTGACTCAGATATACCTTATGTTCTTAAACGCACAAGTTAAACCATTCTGCCCTCCCCTACCCCCTTTATTAACAAACAAGTGACAAATACATGTACATCAATTTCTAATACATGCTTTAATCTCTGTTCCAAGTAATAAAGATAGAGAAATGGGGTTAAACGCTCTCTCAACCAAGGCTCTACAATGCGACTGAAACACTCGCATTTGCGAGCGAATTTTGACAATGGCGACCAGATATTTATAAATGCTAGGTTTCTGGCGAGTGAACATATATCTTGAAGTCCCCAATTAACACTATAGCTATCTGAACTTTTCTCTGTAAAGATAACGTAATCGGCAATGATCCCAGTCAAATGTCACTCTTGTTACTTTCCTGGTTGAAATTGGGTCAATCTCATTGTCCTCTGCGAGGAAATTCTCATTGCGCATGCGCTGTATTTATCGTAAGTTTGCGAGACAGCTGACAGCATGGCTAGCAGACGAATCAAACCTATATCGTCTTACTTTACTAGTAAAGTAACCTCGTCTCGCAGTGAGTCTCAGTTGGGGAAAAATGATGATAGTCATGCTACTGACGCTACACCACCCAAACAAGCAAAATTACAAGCTTCGCCGACCGCCGTCTTAGTCTCGCAGCGAGTCCCAGTCGGAAAAAAATATTTAAAACATCTTTTTTTTATTATTATTATAGGATGACGAGTTATGTATGTTCACAATATAATTTAGCTATATCATACGACAAATTATTCTAATCTTCAGACTTGGCAACTGAAAATTTTGTTTGGCTAGTTGTTTTGAAAATTTACTTATGTTTGCACAAGTAAGTTCAAAATGCTGTGTAGAGCCTTGCTCTCAACACAAAATAGGTTATTTGGTATCAACATTTATCTAATTCTATTTCAATAATTTGCTTTAGCAGTGTGAGGAAACACGAAAACCTGGAGAGAAAACTAAAGTGATCAGGCAGAAGACCCTACCCCTCGTCACTTACAAATTTGAAATTGATTCCACAGTTCGAGACTAAATGACTGGCCTTATGACCTAAAGTGCGTGCATTAGACCACTCAACCACCTAACCCCTTCAAAGTAGTACAAACCTTAACTTATACGACAAGTGAATTAACACTATATTTGAATTTGAATACATACGTATCAACAGCACCAATAGTCAAACATCAACTGTGATTAAAGATGACATGGAACAGGGTTTAACATCCTAACTTTCTGAATTGACTGGTTACAATTAACATGATGTATCCATGTACATGTACTAATGTCTCATGCTTCCCTTTAAAATTGGATTGATCAACATCAGTACATGTCTATAAACATGCATATTGTAATCTAACAGTCATTCATTAAATATTATAGGCTATAAATGTTATTGGAGTTTTGTATATCCAGGAGGAAATTTGACTATTGTTAAATGTACAATCAATATTTTAACTGATGTCAACTATTTAATTATTACCATCAACAATCATAGAAAGAAACCAAACCAGTAAAACAATCAGCAACTTTAAGCAGTAACTTCATCTCAACTGTGCAGAAATGTACATGGCTTCAAAGCCTTTGTGAAATATTGATATGGTGAGATAGAGAGAGAGAGATGGGGTTTAACGTCTACTTGGTATAAACTGGGTCATTTCAGGACTAACATATGGTTCAATTTTACTTTGATAATTCACTCATGCGTAGGGGGTCTTTATGTATTCAATTACCGGTACATTAAATCAAATGCTGTCAAAACACAAACTATTTCTGATTCCATTGCCGATACATGTAAAATAGCTTAAAGCTACAATTTCATATAAAATTTTAAGTTATATTTTTAAAATTTATTAAAATAATGCCTTAAAATAGATGGTATCCATAAACAGTCCTACCTTGTTAAAGAATAATCCTATTAATCCTATAATTCACTATTGTCAGCTGAGAAATTGGCAAAAATATCATTTTCAACTTCAAATTCCAACGTTTGAACATAGCTAATGCATGGAGGCAATGGGAAAACAAGGGAGGTAATTGTGTTATTATTTCCTGTGTCAATGATTTATAAGGGTGGGAAATAATGCCCATGGTCGTATAATAGTGAGTTGATAACCTATAGGAGCTTTTACGGGTTTCCATTTTGACGTCATTTTCGGTCATGCGCAGACACTGGCCTTATTCGTAGACTGAAACCCATAGGCCAGTGTGTGTTTTTTTGTGAAAATACTGTTGTACATTAAGCTTCTTTTACATAAAATGGAACTGAACGCCATTTCTATATACGCGCAAGGTTTACCGACCGATGCCAGAAAGCGATATTTACAAAAACTTCGATATAGGAAAGATACGGCAAGTTTACCAGACCCGTAATTGGCCGTTTGCAATTGAAACAAGTGGATGACTGACCCGTGCTCAATGGCCCGAACTAGAATTAAGTGAAGTTTATTACGCATTTTACGGTCAAACAGATGTTATATATTAATTAACACAAAAGATTTAAATGGTCTATCCTATTTACATTCAACTGCCGACTGGACAGTTCTTTGCGAGGTTGATATATCGTCTGCTATAACGCATGCTACGACCCTACTCGACTATGTTGGTCTTTGTTTGGGGCTGTCGACTTGAAAATAATTCCAGCTAATAATACTATAAATAGTATGCAATATGCAAATAAGATTGTTTATGCATGCGTGCTGTTAGCCAATAGCTATTGTAAATTTCCCCGCGTTTAGACGGCTCTAACCAATGATGAAATAGTTGTTTGGTGCACGGGGTAAAACTTCATTCATTTTTATAAATTTTCCTCTTGATTGATGGGATATGAATAACAGAAAGAATAAAACGACGATCAAGTTAATCTGTGAATATTTTTAAAACCGTTTTTTTCTGTTAATTGTAGTCACATAAATAGTTTTGGCTCAGCTTTTGGCACTCAGTGAAATTTTAATCCAATCAGTTTATCTTGCCGCAACCAAGAAGAAGAACGATGCATTTGTGTCCATTTAAATATCAATTTCTTATTCAGTATTTGGTTCAGAGAACAACTGTTGAATGGAAATATGTAACTGGACTCGGTACATTCTTTACATCGTGATTATTATTTGTTCTCTTTTTTTATTAGATGTGGCATGATGTGCTACGGTCGTGCTTAAATTTTAATATCGCCTTGAATAATTCTTTTGTGGTACCGCAGGTCAACATCGTTAATTACCCATTCTATAATTTACTCTTATGCTCTATTTCATGGCATTTTACAACCAAACAGATGTTATCTATTAATTGTTTGCAGTAAAATTAAAACAAAACATATAAACCGGCTTCATACAGCAATGCATCTTTGTAATGCTTTTGCATACTGCGGTCAACTGGGCCGTGTGCGAGCTTGACATATATCGTCTGCTACAACGCAGTATATCGTCATTAAAACAAAAAAATAATAACTTAGACATGATTTGAAATCGGTAATTTATTTCGAATGCTACACGCAACTTAAAACAAGAGTGGCATTAAAGAATACGTTTTCTATAAAGAGAAAAAGAGGGAAGGCTGAAATAGGCTTGTCATTTAACAGTGTATGATTTATATGCATATATAAACCACCAGTAAGTCAGAGTTATGGCTAGACTAGATTTTGTCCACCACTCCCATAAACCATATTGCACACATCAATAACACCCAGTTACATACCAACTGTATTACCGATAATAGTATTAATTTCAACTAATCAACTAAACCATAAAGATGCCACTCAAAACTGAAAAATTTACCCAACGTAATATTCTAAAGTTAATATTATTGTGATCTGGACATGCGGAGTAGAGCTCTAATATTTGATAGATGCATAGATATTATCACATGAATGGCTATCTGTAGACAAATACTTGCAATAACGGGTGAATACATATGCACCAGAGCTCTTATTTACACTCACAACAGTGTAAAAATGAATTATGCAAGATTTAGATAAAGAGATGTCCGTTCTTACTATAGGAGCAGCTTTTTTTCATCCCACGACCCTTTCACCCTGGGCCGTTTCATCCCAAATTTACATGGGTCGTTTCATCCCACTAATATAGGGCCATTTCATCCCATCAATTAAAAAAGAGTATTATATCATTTTTTTAATATTTTATTTATGCAATAGCATCACTTGCTTAACTATTCAATGATTCAATGACTATTCCCACATTTAGACGCCTCTAGCCAATGACAAAATAGTTGTTTGGGGGATACATGTGTGAACATGCCGAACAATACGCTATTTCCTCTTGATTGAATATCCATAACAGAAACAATAAATATGATGATTATGTTGAATCGGAGAATAATTATTAAACCCCAAAATTAAAGTAAAACCTATATTGGAAATCGTAATACTTTAAATTTAATATAAAGGCCAATGACCCTGTCATGTAGATTCTATATACATGTATCAGTATAAAATTGAATATCAAACACGATGTCGCACCTGTACATGATTCTATTAGTAACCACGTACAGAGAGAAAAGCTGATCGTACCCCCTGGAATTCCTTTCTCACAAACCGACTTATTTACGCTAAAAATAATATTTGTAAAATACTTTGTGTAAATACAACTCAACTCTCGCCCCAGTTATTTACATGTTTTAATTATTAATCCATAACAATTAATAACATATTTATTTTAAAAAAAAGATAATTACGTGTTTATTTAACAATAAATAATTAATTACGTGTGCATTTAACAGTAAGTATTTAATTACATGTTTATTTAACAATAAGTAAGTATTAATTAACTGTTATTACAATAACAAGCCAGATGAAACAGTCTGATAAAAAATAGGTTGGGATGAAAGGACAGGGTGAACAGTCATGGGATGAAGTGCCCACATCCCTTACTCTAATAGTTCATAAAAAGATAATAAATAATAACTATATTGAAAATTTCATTGAAATTACTTTATTACTGGAGAAGTTACGACAGTTTGAAGATGTAGCATATCTAGATCATTTATTATGGTACTGTTTAGCAACGATGCTTGACAACAGAGACTTATGCCTTTACTGTCCATTTTATTGTCAAATTTTTAAACCTCAACCATCTATCTGATAGTCTAGAGAGTAGATTATAGGCTTGTCATGTAAATAAATGTCTAAAGAATAATTTATATAATATTTAAGACAAAAGAAAGACCTGCAATAGGAAGATTTAGCTCTTACATAATGCATCTTTAATTAAAGCTCATTTCTGGCTTTTTGAGACACTCTACCAATAGTTCAATCTTTTTGATAAGTTTTGTTGTATCTACATGTAGGCCTTCAAGTAACTTAAGATATTGACTTTACTGATTCATCATATACAAACACCTTAGAGATTATAGCAGAAAACAAAACGAGTCAGAAACTAAAACTTGTCTTTAAAGTCTCTTATTTATGACAATGATGACCTGATCAGTATGAATGGGTGATGATTGCCTTATGACTGTCTAACTTCACTAGTAGTAGTATATTATATATGACAGTAAATAGGTCAATATCTGATAACTCACTTAATATTCCATATGGTTCAATATTTCATATCTAAACTTACCTTTTTTAGGGGCCTGGATTGGGACTGGTTGTGCTGCTTTAGTCCAGGGGTTGGTTTTTGGAGGTGGTGCTTCTACGTATAATTTATTGTCGAACTTCTTCACTGTTGATTTCTCTTCTTTAGGGTTTTTATCGACTTTATCTTTTGGTTTGGGTTTGTCTGTGTCTGTACCATTTGTTTTAGCATTAGCATTCGGATGCCTATTTTTCTCATAACTTTTGGCATTTTCGACAGTTTTCTCTTTTTCTGTAGGAGCACTTGTCACCAAAGTGTCTGGTTGAGTAGCGGGGCTAGGGGATGAACTCACTGCGGTGGCCATAGTTATTGTTTATACAAAGGGTACGACCGAAAATGTTTATTTGAATGGGACAGTGCCCAGTTCTATTATCTATACCCAAAGCAAAGAAATAATTTCACTTAAAACAAAGAAATGTGTACAAACATAGGGGTAAGATAATACTTAAAAACACACAACAATGGCCTGCAATTTCAAAGTAAACAATTCACAGAAAAGCACAAAATTCTCGAATTTGGTTAGTTTCTCTTTCAAAAGTTTATAATAAAACAGTAATTACAAGTTTTATTATTGGTTAGCGGAAGTTTGTGCAATAGTTTGTATCGAAAATAAATGACGACAAACGAAAATATATGGAAAATGAACTATAAATCTTCGACACTGAAATGAAAATATGGACTTCAGTTCAGCTGTGCAATGTTTGTGTCGAACGTAAACGCAGTAGCCACGTTGGAACAGTTTTTTCTGAGTTGTTCAACTTTTCTACAAATTTAACAGTTTACAACTGTTTGTAGCCGCACAAATACATTTGTGTAAAGTAACTGACCGTGTTTTCGGGAGTAACATTATAGTTTAACAGTAGAAAAATGACGACAAATCAAGGCAACTGGACAAAAACCCCAAAGCACATGTCGCCATCAGTACAAGAGGGAAGTACGCATGTGTTGTGACACGGAAGTTATGCTTGACCCCCGTTAAGCACGTGATATGTCGATCTACACGAGATTCTTCTAGGCTTGCGGCCGATAAGAATAACAAACGCTGTTTACAAATAATATTCGGAGTATGAATTCATTTGTAATTCTGACAATCCCATTGTATTCTTTTCTATATATTATTATTTCTTATCGAATGTCACAATTACAAACTCATTGTGGATGATTAGGCTTAGATTTAATTCCCAATTGAAAAAGTAATGTGAAAAGATAAACGAAATACACGCCCCTTTGCTACCAAGATAACAATACTCGTGATGTCTTTACACCAGTTATTTTCTCCCTTAAATTTGATAGTTTTGTACAACTAGAGATAAAAAAATATCCCAACATATGGCAAAATCTCAAGTATCCGATGGCATCGAGCGTTGATTATGGTCATGTCACGAATAAGTGTCTAATTAATAATTTAATTAATTTATATAACATTTAGCCTATATGCCTAAAGAAAGACCTGCAATATAGGCAAATTTATTGCGTTATTGTAAATGCTATGAGTATGAGGGTAATATTTTAACATGAAAGGGACGTCCTAGACCATATCACACTTTTCTAGACTGATCCATTACCGTCTGAAAAAGTTATAGGGAGTAATATTTTGACGTGAAAGGGACATATACATATCCTGCCATAGTTTTCATGACTGAAACATTACCTTCTGGAAAACGCTTCACTTTTCTGGCAAATTTTTGACCTAAAAGGTTCAGGGTTCGATCACGGTGTTGGCCGATAACGTTCCCGGGAATTTTCTAGTATGGTTTCCCTTGTCAAGGTGCATGGCAAAGATCAGCACTATAGCCGTTAGGATGAGACATTTTAAAGAGATTCAGCCCTTTGTACACGTAAAAAAAAACTTTGACAGTTGAATTTAAGTGCATGTCAAGCGATCGGTGCAGAAAAGTAGGCCATCCCATTTTATTAATTACCACCATGCAAAGTTGGGTAAAGTCATATAGTTTCCTATAAATATTTATAATCCTTTTTTAGAAACAGTTCTTTATTATTTATCAAATAGTTGCTTTGTGAGACAATGTTTCGTTTTTATTTAGGATGCTGCACCAACCATTAGGCTACGCGTTAAGGGCATGTGTGTTCCTGTGGAGTTAAACCCCTAATAAGTGTTCGAGACGAAGATAAAGCTTTAAAAGATACATTATATAAGTATAGGAGCTAAATCTGTCTATTGTTATATAAACTATTATTTAAACATTTTTAGCATGACAAGCCCACAATCAACTCTCTATCGGATGGCTAAGTCTCGAAAAACAAGTACCGTTGTTACGATAATAAACAATCAATGCCAAAACTCCAAACAGTGATAACTTCGCTCAGAATAAAGTAATATGAATGATATTTTCAATATATTATTCATTTTGCATTATCTATATTTGAACTATTATAGTAACAACGGCCAGCTCTGTATATAAATCTTACATAATGCATATTTAATAAGATTATCTAGCAGTGCCCAACAAAAGATAGAACGAAAGAATACAACACGTACACAATCAAGTATCTCGGCGAATGGTAAAAGTCGGTTGTGGGCATTACAGTGTAGCAGCCAGGGAAGTTTAAAACCCCGTACGTTTATCAGGATGGATACAGACCACTTAAGCAAAAATATGTATTAGGTGTTTCGAAAAGTGTAAACATACAATACATCGTAATACACAAAACCAGGCACAAATTGTACTGTAGCTTGTTACCGTGGGGCGGAAAACGGGCCCAGTTTATGAAAGCATCAATGGGCAAGACAGACTGACACCTTCAGTCTTAAAATTGCGAATATTTCTCCCAATTATAAACTGTGTCCAAGGATGTCACTGGCCAGGGTAATCTACTCTAGTCTTATGAAGTAAATTTGACAACGTTTTGCTAAAATGACATTGGCTGTATAACTGGAATACCACCAAAATGTCTCCAACCGTTCCTCCGTGTGTGTTCTCTTCGGGATGCTATAGTGTATAAAAATCTTCCACCGTGTTTAAACCATATCGATTACTTCCCTTGTTTTGGCTTCGATAATTTATGCCATGAATATCTCTTCCATTAGGGATGACGTAAGTTATGTAAGGGTCGAAACGAATAACCTTTGTCACGTCTACAAATTGACACAAAAGGTAAAAGACTTGACAACCTCAGCTGAAATTCGCAGATGAATATGCAGTACGTATTTGTCAAAAAATTACCGAATGAAATGAAATGGGGTTTAACGTCATATTTTTTTTTATTATTGTTATTATTTTTGCGCCTACTGGGTTCTAACAAAAAATAACACATTTGACGACTGATAAGCGGAGCGAGGTAAAAACATTTTGGAACTTTTTTTTCTGCAACGAACCAATCCTACGCCCTCCCCACGCGCCCCACCAGATCATTATCGGCAATTACATAAACACGGTGACCTTTTCGCTGACATATTGTAAGAAAATATTTTGTTAGTTTAGTACGTGCGCCAAAGACGCGCCCGCACACACACACCAGACACAGACACAGGCACACTCACTAAATAACAGTTTAAAGTATTCATTAAATGTTTCTATGAAACGTGTAAATTTGAGCTTTTTGTTGGTTGGGGTGTGTAGCTGGTGACATTGAATGATTTATTCAGGTCAAGATATGCGCTAAAAAACAACATTGATACCCACAACCAAATACCATGCGTACGTCACTGTAATGTTATATTTAAGACATATGGATACAGTAGGTCACCGGCCATTGTAAATGCACGAGTACCCTACGCGAATTAATAGTAGTTTTATAACAATCGCTTCACTGCCAATAGTGCATAATTGAGGCGGTAATTTTTACGTGAAACAAAATTAGGTCTATATTGTTTGTCAAGAAATAGCCTTAGATACGAAGGGAGCATTGATCGGATTATAATATATTAAAGATAATATATACTATATACATTGAAATAGTGGATAAAATAATATGTGCTATTAATGTGAACGTGTTACATGATAATAACACCTCTGGTTTAATATCAATAATCCATCGGTTGTAAGCCTATTATTAGGTCTTATTGCTTCAGTAAACATCTTATCCACACAAAACACTTGTTCCCCAAAGCGTGATTCAAATCGAAATTGATATTTTGTTGGTTTATCTTGAATTGCCATGGTGCTTGTCTCCCCACCCCACCCCCTTAATGTCTACGATATGATAGATCTGTACTGTTATGACTTAAAATATACATGATTTTGTTTTTGTTTGTTGGTTTTTAGTTCGTTGTTATGTGTGGTCTGGGCCTGATTAACCTTCCCGGGGGTCTGGGACAAGTCAAAGGTGTGTGTGTGTAGGGGGGGGGGGCTGAATAGTTTCTAATATGGTGTGAGGCCCGTGGTGTGTGTTGGGTCCTCTCCCAGAAATTTTGAAAAAAAGATGAGATTTGGACTATTTCGAAGTGTGCACAGTATGTTGAAATATCACTAAAAGAGCCAAAAACGTAGCGTATAGTATTTATCTTCAAAGACGAACATGTGTGACGTACGCTGGGCTATATTTTGGGACTACTGGATGGGGGACTAGAAGGCTACTGCAGACCTATACCCAATATGGGCCAATGATGGTTCGGGCCCAACATTCCAAGGTAATTAAAGGTTTCAGAGAATAATAAAGGCATGGAATGAAATGGGATTTACCGTCCCACTTTTGTGTTCTAACTAGGCTAATGAAGACAGGCACATGTTTGCACAACGCCACAGTGGCCTTCTCTTACTTTGAATTCTGTCAAGGGTTCGTTTACGTGCACACCAATGTGTACACGAGAGACCTCGATTATTCGTACTATCCTAACAAGACACTGTTCTCGTGGTAGCCCCTCCGTTCTGCACCATCGACAAAGGGAAATAACAACGGAGAAACCGAGACGCTCTTGTTAGCGAGCCAGCGTCTTACCTACTGAGCCAGAGCGGCTCGCAAACAGCCCTTAGTGAGAAAGATTACAATCTAAAAGACATGGCAATACACTTCAACGATAAAACCATTCGTCTGTCAGCATTTATGAAGTATTAAAAGAAACATACCATTTGAGAAAACGAGAACAATTGAGAAATTTAACACGCTTGTAAATCTGCCAGTATTAGACAGAAATGAACCAAGGTGTTCGGCGACGCATATTTGAGTCAGTCCCGTCCGTCTATGAATTTTGATTTCATTTCTTGCCAATCGAATTAAAATTCCATACTTTGTTATTATATGCACTACAATAAGACTTAACAATATATTTTAAGAAGTGTGTGGTCTAGCTACGAGAACGTAACTAAAAACGCTGAGAAATTCTGACACGAAGGGTTGAGAGGTAATTAAGGTTTGTTATCTATGTGTGGTCCACCGCTCAAACCTGCCCCCCCCCCCCCACAAATCTAAACTAGAAAAATGCCTCGGAGTACTAATCATCAACAATAACCGGCAAGAGCGTTTTTTGACAATAGCGAGCATAAAGTATAATTGTAAAAATAAGTGACCGGCGGATACCCTACATTCTATACCATCCAAAATTTTAATGATTTCATATAAAAACAATGACAAAAATTTGGGTAATTGATATTTTAACAAAAGAACGCTCTTTTTGATTCGAGTCGGTGATGAGTAGAAAACTAATCATTTTAATCAAGCAGACCTTTTTATTTTCACTCACCCAAAAATGTTCATTTATAAAAGCAACAACAAACAGTAGATTCACATTGTACAAATGTGTGTCCAGCGTGACCCATTTTGTCTGCGTAATCAGGTCTATATCGTGACCCGACTATATTTACCAATCAAAGAGATTATCGGGGGATTAACTCCAAACGGATTAGAATTTATGAGATTAATTTTCTGTTTTCAGAGAAAACCCTGTTCGCCTGGCCAGCGTAATCAAGTCTATATCGTGACCGACTATATAACTAATTAAAGAGATTATCGGGGGATTAACTGTAAT